CAGTGATAGCTCATTTGAACGCCAGGACCAGGTAAGTTGACTTTCGGTTATGGATGATGACATCAACCTTAGTGGCGAGCATTAATGTTAATTTTCTCCGGTGAATGCTTAAGTTATATAGACTCAAACTTGGTCTGCAACATCTACGCGCTCCCCAGTATACTGCTGTTGCCATGGATAGCCGATTTGAGCATTTGGTGTAGAAGGTACAGCAAGATGAATGCCATTTGTTTTTATGACATAAATACGTACATTTCCATTAAAGGCAAATTTACAAAGGCAACTAGGCTATAGTGAACTGCTTCATGTCCAAAGAGATTCTGTACTTTATGCTCGCATACAACAAATGAATTCAAAATACCGGCTAAAGATGCTCGTTCATAAAAAAATTAAAGCACCCATCCTTAAAACCATATCCGCTATGAAGAGGTGTGAAAGCTTAGCAAAATGGAGAAACATAACTCATATTATCAATGATTTCAACGAATTATGGTTCAGAAGTACAAATCTACAGACAGTACGAAGAAAACACTTTCAAAGTTGGCTCATTGTGCCCAGAATGCAAAATGTAAACACCAAAACATAAAATTGAATTTCCATAAGTCAGCTAACATTGGTAAATGTAATATCGACTTTGTACACCGAATTTTCTTTACACTTACAGCAGATCAACATATAGTATAGAAAACATGGTAAGACGGCAAACAAATTGCCTCGATCACTGTTATTAACCATAAGAACTGCTCATCACTAAGTACTTTACACTTGTAAAAAACTAGGCTGTAGTTAACAGTGTAAGCCATAAGCATCAGCACTTAGCGCTTAATAAAAGACTGATTGTAGTTATAGTTCAGTCCGGACGACTGAAGGTTAAGAGCCTAGAGATGCTGTGATCAGTTCTTCTTTATTCGCGAAACTTCCAGCTAAAACTATATAAAAGGATAATAAACTATAAATATGAGGCCTATGTGTAAACTATATAATCGATTTGCTTGAGCCGAAGGAAGGTGTGGGAGGGCGGGAAATCTCTAGGCTCATGTTTGTTCAGTCCTCCAGACTGAACTATAAGAATCTGTCATTCCAGCTCATGCTAATGAAGCCTAACCTACCAGAATCCGAACCATATCATCTGCGCCGCGCCCTCTGCCGAATACAAGATCTGCTACTGCAATCGGTTGCGATGCCTTCTGCCCGAACACAATCGTACCTTCTCCAAGCCATACCGACAACGATCGCACAAGGACTGTCGTTACCATCGAGGAATCGGGATAGCTCTAACACTCGACAACCAGTAGTTCTAAGGTAGCTCTGCATCGCCGCTTCAGCGCTGTCTAGTGGTCGTCCATTGCTGTCCTCCGTCGTAGCTATCCACTGAGAAGAATTAAAACAAGCCGTTGTCCTCCACCTCCGTCCTGTCCAAGCCGTCCAACCTCCTGCGCAAAGTCAATAGCACTCCACGGCACATCGACATGGACTACCCACCGGACCGTCGGAAGGTCGATGCCCAACTCAAAGGCAGATGTGGCGACGATATAAGACGGTTTCCCATCTCGCCATTGCTGAAGCATTTTGGCCTTCTCCTCGATACTGCCAGGAATGGAGTGATACACCGGAGCATTGAAAGCCTGTACAACCTCCTCTGCCAGATCCTTAAGCTTGCAGTAAATGATGGCATGGGTATCAGCAGCTAGACCACTGATTATATCTTGGCATCTGGGACAGCAAAGTCACTGACAAAGTCATGGTTCGGAGCGCAGTTGCCAACGTGGAAAGATATATCGCGGCGCATAGTAGAGCTACGAACCATCCGCGTCCCATGTAACAACATCACTTCCTCGAATCGGGACACCATAACCGGTGGCATTGTGCCAGTCAAAAATATCATTTGAACAGCCAATTTCCGGAGTTGCGGAAGGAGTGCCATTGCAGGCCGATATGACACAGCAGTGATAGCGAGATGGCATTCGTCGAACACGACCCGGTCCAGTCGATTTGCAATGTCTAGCTGTGTTAAGAAATTCGAGAATGTAGGCTTCACGGCCGGCTCAACCGCAACTATGATAAGTGGAGAGTGTTGCAACTTCATTGGGTCCGACTTCGCCTCCCATACATGCGCCTGGATACCAGCCTCTTCGCACCGGCGCTGCATCTCAGCCTTTAGCACCACAAGGGGCAAAATAAGCATGGTCGTTCCAGCATCAGGGAGTTGACAGGGAAGGAGATAAAGAAGACTCTTGCCCTCGCTGGTCCGTAGGATCGCCAGGACTTGAGCACTACCCTCCAAAATATACTCCATAGCCTTCTGCTGCCCACTGCTTCGATACTGAGCATCCGCGCCATACATCTTTTGCAGAATCTCCATTGCTTGGTCCATACTCCATCGCCGCTGATTCCGAGCAGGCGCCATACGTTGCGGGATGCGCGGTACAATCGGGCTCTCTTGCTCCTCATTCTGGCGTCGCTTAGACGGAGTAGTAGATGATCTAATCGCAGCATTAGATCAAGTGCGACAGAATCGATGTATAGTTCCCGACGGACATCCACAAGGCTGTCGCTTACTCGGTCGAAAGAGCGTGTCCCGAAGATGGCCCTGCTCTACGGATCGGTGCCAGTAGCAGATCCAACCGCTGCCAAGCTTCGATATATTTCTTACGAGACTTCAGGTTCTGCAGTCTGGTGATGGGATCCTGGGATGCTTCCTTCCGCGTGAAAGTATTGAGCAGTCGTGCATCGAGCCGGGAGACGATTGGGGCCTCTACGTTCGGGTCATGCGCAAGGGCATTCATCGTTTTCGCTAGGACCCGTCCGATACTCTCACAAATCAACATTGACGACGGCTCTTCTTGCCCCCTAGGGAGGTAATAGCTAGGACCGAGTTCATCATGATTTAGCCATAAGAGATGGGCTTCGATACCGGTGCACTTCATCCACGGTGTAACTTCAGAGACATGTTGTCTAGTCCTTACAATAATTCGTTTCTGTCGAGATTTAGATTCGTACTTTCTTCTATTTTGAGTCCGTACATTATCAGGAACAGTAAGTGGAGAAGATTGGACGTCACTGGAATATAGGAAAAGGTTCATACATGGTCCATGTTCACACGAAGTAAGAAACAGACAGGTACTCACTTGCGGGTAGAAGTTGGGGCGTTGTTTGGTGCATTGGCGTGGAGATATATATACTGTGGGGTAGCGGACGGGTGGATCTGGTCTGCCAGAACTATTGCAAAGTTGACCATTGGGACTTTGAGATAACACAGCACCAAGTCCAGTATTGGAAGCATCAGTTGACAGAATTTGGATTTGGTCTTCCTTAGGAAAGGATAGGATTGGAGGACTGGTTGCAACTGCTTGATTCTGGTAAAAGTTTCAACTTGCTCTTGGTTCCAAACAAAAGGGACCTTCTTGCTCAAAAGACGAACCATGGGTTCTACAACAGAAGCGAAATTGGGCACAAATCGACGGTAGTAACCGGCGCTTCCTAAGACGGAACGGATCTCGTCTTTGCTCCTGGGAGACCTCATATCCAGCAACTTTCGTACGTTATGGTCTGTTGGGCTGAGACCATTGGGCATTGCCTTCTGCTAAAATAAGGTCAGCATGTATGCCTTATGCCATGATATAGCCCCATGATGCAGAACTTGCCACTATGCACTTCATTATAGTGTTTTCGAATCCGGTCGCTGTTAACCGAGCGAAAGTCGCAGTCAGGGAGGTGGCAGAGGAAGCCGAGTGCGGCTGGCAGCCCGCGAATCTAGTTAGTACCATCTCGGGGCTGCACAACATCAGCACTAGAGATAGCGACGTCTACTGCGCTACGAAATAATAAAATAATCAACAAACTTGATCCTGCGAACAGAATGCAAAAAGATGTAGTGATTCAGTTGTGGGGATATTTTGGACTGCGGCCAGACATAGTTAAACGCTTAACCACTCTGATCTTACGAACAGACGGCAAAAAGATGCAGTGATTCAGGGTAACGGGGCCAAACTGTGAATTTCAGAAGGCCTCTTCCATTTGTTTATGAATTTACGTCGGACTGCGTGTTTGTAGAATTTCTGAATCACGCTGTTGTTCAACGTCTACTCTATTGACAAAGACAGAGTACAAAATGTCGCAGTTGTTCTTTCTGCCGACTTGTCTTGTTTCTCTACTGTTTTTCACGTCAATGACATGCCTTCATTTTGCAAAGTTTGATTTTTTACACAATGCGATTTTTATGCGAAACGATTATGGAAAAGTAAAGTAATGCACTCTCTTAATGTCTTCTCTTCAAGCTCTTCAACTTAAGACTCCTTTTCAGCGTAAGTCAGAAAGAAAACAGCTACATTTTTCCTTGATTTGAAGACGGATAAGATACCCTAAAGCAATTGCATTATATAATAGATATTTTGAGATGGAAACACTAGTTTAAGATAAGTGATTGAATTAAAGACGTTGTGTCGCATAAAAAAAGTCGTTGGCTACTATAGAGTCGTCGAGGCGGTACGAGCTTGCCAACTCTACAATGTGGAAAGGTACAAAATTCTATCCACGAGCGGGCAGCTGTTTTGTAAACGTTCCGTCATTCGGTCACGGCTTTTGATGCTCAAGCATATCGCTCTATAGCCATGCTCACTTCTTAGCTCACTAACTACTAGACTACTTTCAGATGTTATGTCAGTTTTCCTCATTATTTCACTATTGTCCTTGTCCATCTTGGAAGACTGCCAAACGCACCAATCCAAGTCACCTATAGATCGACACGATACCTCTACGCCATCAGCAACAGTTGGATAATCCTCGAGACCTGAAATGTTACAGTCATGGGTGACCTTTTTCACATGGCATGCTCAATATCCTGTTGACTTTGATTTCATACGCGCTTTAGCGAAACAGCCTCCAAATGAGCCAGTAACTTCAGCTAGCTCTCAAAAAGTCATTAATAGATGTGTGGTCGATTTTTAAGCACTCAATGTAAATGTAGATCTACACAGGTTTTGAATGTTGTAGCGAGAGAATGACAACATTGTTTATCAGTGGTATTAGAAGAGTCCGTGTGGCTCAGGAAGAGCAAAGCGGGAACTACGACTTTTAACTTGTTCCGCTTTTCCCGACTTCTTACACTGAATTTTTTTTTTTCAGTCTCAGTAACATTCATTGGTGCCTCCTGCAACTCTGCTTTATACCATGGTACCGGGATGCCCCCCCCCGTGTATGTAACTTTGTAGATAACCTTGTTCAATTGATGCAGTCACCAATTCCGTGATAAGAATGCTAATAAACTGCAGATCATTCTATCGTGAATTGAAGCTGCTTTTCGGCTGCCAGTTGGCCTGACCAACACTTGCCCCTTGATCAGATCCTTCCGATCTTTTGCCCTTCTGATTCACCACTTGTCGTATAAAACCGCTTCGTATGGAACCATATTTCGCACGGTGAAAATTTAAAGTTGATCTGAACTAAATCACTTAATGCATCACATCGCCAGGTTTGCATAGATGTCCAGAATGTCATAACGCTACTTCTCAGGATACATTGTGCAGAAAAAGAGGCCGATTTATGTGCTCCGACCCAAAGCACCACATTTAAAACGCAGACGTCTATTTATCTAAACACCGCTTTTTTTTGCGATCTATCTTTTACCCGGCCAAATTTTGTTACTTATAAGCAAGTGTATCCTTCACTAGACAGAAACTAAAATATATTATGAGCTGAATATGTTGACAAAATTGTAAGGTTTGAGATGGTACAATTTTTATTCGTTTATATTCCAATGCGAACTCTTAAATCCAGACATTGTCTCTATCCCACAAATTTCCCATGTCCGATTTTCGTTTCTACTTATATCTCGCTCGTCATATATTATTGTCCTTCGGGACACATAACAAAATTGGAACGATACAGAGAAGATTAGCATGGCCCCTGCACAAGGATGACACTAAGCTTCTGAGATGAACGAAGCCTCGGCTTCAAAACTATTTTTTTGCCCTATACAAAATCCTTCTGGTGAATTACACATTGTAATTCCCTCCAGTGCGATTGCTAATTTTGCGCACCCCGGGATCCTGATAACGTCGTTTACGCTTTTCACACTACACATTTAGTTCATTTGTAGACAATGCTGACAACCGTTTATCGTTAAGGTTTTTCTATCTACATCCTTGCTCGGTTGTGTCATTGACGAATGGTACTGATTTTACTGTAAACAAGGTTCTATTTAACTAGTATAGCCTAGGTTTGTAACGGCAGTGTCATCAAGCTTTCCTATGGTTTGTCCTAGTCTTCGTCACCTTTACAGTCAGATCTACGCATAAGACGGCTGATGCTGCATACGACTAGTGGGTGTTTTGTTCAAGGTAAGTTAAACAACGATAATTTCAGCATTGGCGCTCGACTGAAAAAAGCGACAAAAGCCTGTTTCGCCAGGCATGGTTCAGATATTTGATAAGGCTGCCAAGAGCGTGGAAGAAGCAAAAGCATCTATTCTTTATCCCATGTCTAGAAGGACGTTGGTAGAGCCTATCGTGAAGAGAGTGGCTTGACAAACAATACAGGAGTGAGTTGCAAAAAGATGCAATTGCGAGGATACGCTTCAGCATTCGTAATGAAAATATCAAAGTACACCAAGTCTATGACTGGAAAATGGGTACCTCTACCCCTTTGTTTCAAAAACCGTCTTCAGTATATCGGCAATAAAGAAAATCGGTAGCTATTTCCTCCCATATACAATGGTAGATCATGACTAATATCATCAGGAATGGTTTTGCAGTGGATGTCAGTTTATTTGTAAAAGGGTACGTGGTAATCTAATTAGGAAACCCTTTAGCTAGTATATGGCTTCTTCACTCTAATAACATTAGCAAAGGTGTCATTAGTGCCGAGTTGGCCGATCTTGCCGGTCCAGTTGTCCTCGATGGTGGAGATGAGAGAAGTGTGGTTGTAGTAAGCCCAGTCAATGTGATCCCAGGTGGACTTGGTCTCAACGCCAGATCCCCAGATGGTGGTGTAGATCTGGTTGTTCATGTCAGAAAAGGTGAAGTTGCCAGACTCGTCAAAGGTCAAGATGTTCAAAGCATTTTCGTTAAAGTACTTCTCCTCAAAGATCTTGCTCCAGGTCTTTTGGATGTACTGAGAGCCATATGTAGTGTTGGTGTCATGCATATCATCCTTCACGGTAGGAACATAGTAGATATACTGGGGAAGCTCGCCGTTCTTGTAATCCTCGAAGAATTGGTCAGAGTTGAAGATATTGTTGCAACGCTCTGGCTTATTGGTGATGCTTTCGAAAGAGACGAAGGGGAAATGTCTGCGGGCATAGGCTATGATGAAATAGGTCAGCTTAAGAGTAACGACACGGCTTTTCCACATAAGCTAGCTTTTCGGCAGTGGTTAAATAGAGAAAAAGGAACTCACCAGTGCTATCTACCGTCATAGTGAAATTACATCCCTGGTGGATAGGATCTGATGGATATAAGGTGTTAAGCCTCAATATATTGAAAAGAAAAGCAACAAATTGAAAGGCGGTAACTTACAGCCTTCAGCATAGGCTCTCCAGGAGACACCAGCTTCCTCCAAAACATCAATAACGGTCTTGACATTGGCGGGGTAGTTGATAAGATTATCGGAATCAGCGAGCCAGGGATATTTGTAGTAAGTTTCCAGAGTGAGCGAGGTAAGGTTAGCGACTTCGGGGTGATGTGCCACAGCGTTGTAAAGATTGTCACCAAAGTCAGAACCGGCAATCATGTTGAAATAATTGGGCTATAGTGTGGATGTAAGTAAGCAAATGTAAAGATCTTGAGGAAAAGCTGGATATCTTGCTGAATTGCTTACCTGAGAAACGTGAGTAATGGCGTGGTAGTTACCGAGAAGACGATGGTTATCCTTCTTCCAGAATTTATTAAACCAGGGATCAGCTTGAACGGGCCAAACATCGTGGTTTTCAAAGACCTGAAAGAAAATGGTGTGAGATTTTGGAGGACGCTCAGACCACTAATTAAGACATTGCACTTACAATTTGAAAGATACGATCGAATTGGCGACCCTTGACATACTTGACGCCATGAGGACCTATAATAAAGGTACCAGACGGTTTCAGCGTAATTAGTGACATGCAGACTGAGTCGCTACATGCAGCTCCAATCCTTACCAGTTTGACACTTCTTGTTAGTGGGCTTGGCCTGAGCCATAGCGGCCAAAAGGACACAAGATGCAGCAAAAACACTAGCCAACTTCATTATGGTAAAAGGAAAGTATATGGCTACAAGATTGTGGAGCGTGGATATTTATTCAAATATTGGTATTCGGCCACTTGCGAACCATAGGCTCTTGGATTTGGCACGTGTAGATCAAGGTTTACTGAGTATTGGGGAAAATAAATTTTGCCGTAGTGCCGAGATTCAGTAATTTTTTGGTAACAGTGGATTAAACAGACCAAGCCGATCATAAGATCAAGCCAACGGGAAAGAATATGGATGATAGAAAATATAGCGCATGTGCATGATATGCACAGTTGCTAGCGTATTATCAGGTTTAGAAATCTGCTGCATCAAAAAAAAAAAAAAAATTGATTGCCACTAGGTGGAGGGGTCCGCTTTACCGGAAGGTGCACAAGAAGTTTCGCGCGGTTAGAAATTAATATAAATTTAGGCTCCAATTCAGATGGTGTTACAGCATGGAAAAAACAACGGCATTGATTGAACGTTGCTTTTTAACAAACGTTATATTACCAGAAAAGCCCATGTTCCCAGAAAAGCCAATGTGAACTCCACCAATACTGTCTTACAAATATGGGTTAATCCTCCTTCATAGAATTGTCATGACAAATTTTTCGGCGTTGGCTTTACCGGAAGATATGACTCTTTTGCTGGCTTTTGGACTGTGCGAGCTGGAGGCGGTGAATTCATCTGCTACCTTTTGTGCACTTACCTCTCATACAGCGTATCCTATTTGTGTTACGAGGTATGGCTTAAAAGGTGGTAAAATAACGTGGAAAAGCCAAGTTTTGGTATATATTTTTGTCATTTAAACTATTGCAGTATACCTTCATGTACATTTTGTCCCAAATAACCCGGGTCGACCATCCACGCATAGAAGCAAAGCCTGAAGATCACATAGAACTTAAAGAACAAGATTTAGATTGGTTGACAAGGCATTTAGAGACAAAACCAGATTTGAATACCAGTAAATAGAGGTGCATCTCGGTACTTTCACCTGAAATAGGATTCATCAACTTGTTATAAGCGTTACAATCGTCTCAAATGGCAAGCCATTGATCTGTCAAATTATTGCTGAGTTGAAATGATTGTATAAGCATGGTGCATGATCGGCAATGGAAATATGAGTTGTCGGGATATTAGAGACTACAGTGCATTAGGTGGGCAATGCAGAAATTGAGTAGAATGAAGATGGGTGAAAGTGAATGCAGGATGACAATTCGAGGCAAGTCCGAGTCTAAAATTGAACGGCCGTTGTCTCATTGTACTTGCATCAAAAAAATTTGATGTATTGCAGCTAAGCAGGCTATGAGTAGCGAAGTTTATTGAAACAGATTGGCTGTAGAGGATCGTGGTGGACTCACCCCCCACCCCACCCCCCAAATTTTAAAACACCTCACCTGCATTGCCTTTCGCTGATTACAATAGATCACTCTCGAAGCATCCATACAAAATAAATTTCTTTGACCATCCATACCGAAGTAATGGCTGGTGGAGAAACTCGATGTGACTCGTTCAAAAAGTTGTTACAGTGGATGAAACTTTATTTCAAAGGTTCGCGGCGAGCTAATTTGTAGACTGCTAATTGGTCCATGGTTGTTTGACGCTAATAACATTAGCAAAGGTGTCATTAGTGCCGAGTTGGCCGATCTTACCGGTCCAATTATCCTCGATGGTGGAGATGAGAGAAGTGTGGTTGTAGTAAGCCCAGTCAATGTGATCCCAGGTGGACTTGGTCTCGACACCAGACCCCCAGATGGTGGTGTAGATCTGGTTGTTCATATCACTCAAGGTGAAGTTGGCAGACTCGTCAAAGGTCAAGATGTTCAAAGCATTTTCGTTAAAGTACTCTTCCTCAAAAATCTTGCTCCAGGTCTTTTGGATGTAAAGAGAACCATATGTGGTGTTGCTGTCATGCATGTCGTTCTCCAAGTTAGGAACATAGTAAATATATTGGGGTAGTTCACCATTCTTATAATCCTCAAAGAATTGGTCAGAGTTGAAGAGGTTGTTGCAACGCTCTTGCTTACTGGTAATGCTAGGGAAAGAGATAAAGGGGAAATGTCTGCGAGTATAGGCTATCGATAAAAAGTTTAGCACAAGAGTAATAAAACAGTTCTTTCGCATGTTACATCGCTTTGTAGTAGCTGTTAATAGCGGAAAAGAGACTCACTGTGGTTGCCTTCGGTCCAGACAAAGTCAGGTACACCAGGTAAGTAGTCAAAGTCACATCCCTGTCTGATAGGATCTGATGGATAAAACGATGTTTAGTGATGGTATAGAGAAAAGGATAATGATGGTTAGCGCTAGCTTACAGCCTTCAGCATAAGCTCTCCAAGAGATACCAGCTTCCTCCAAGACATCAATAATGGTCTTGGTACTATCAGGGAAGGTGACAGGGAAGTCAGAACCGGCGAGGATGTCGATGTTGGACATGGCATCGGGGTTGCCATCCACAGCATTGTAGAGATTATCACCAAAATCAGAACCGGCAATCATATTGATATAATTGGGCTATAGTGTGTTTAAAATAAGCAAATGTAAAGATCTAAAGAAAGGCTGCATGTCTTGCTGTGTTTCTTACCTGAGAAACGTGAGTAATGGCGTGGTAGTTACCGAGAAGACGATGATTATCCTTCTTCCAGAATTCACCGAACCAGGGATCGGCGTGAACGGGCCAAACATCGTGGTTTTCAAGAACCTGAGAGTAGTTATAAAAATGTGAAAGACGTTAAGGCCACCAATCAAGTAAATCTTACTTACCATTTGAAAGATGCGATCGAATTGGCGACCCTTGACATACTTGACGCCGTTAGGACCTATAAAAAGGTGATGAGAGACACGCATACGTTGTGGCTACAGCCATTTTCCAATCCTTACCAGTTGGACCCCGGTTGTAAACGGGCTTGGCTTGAGCCATAGCGGCTAAAAGGACGCAAGATGCAGCAAAAATACTAGCTAACTTCATGGTATTAAAAGGAAAGTATGCAGTTACAGAATTGTGGTGCCTGGATATTTATTCAAATATTGGTAGGGAATGTCTTGCAAACGACAGGCTTATCGTTCTGGCACGTGTAGAGGAAGTTTCAATGAGTAATGGGAAAATTATGTGCCGAGAGTGCCCAAGTTCAACTGGTTTTTTGGCAACTATAGATCATCGGACCAAGCCGACCATAAAGCCTTGTGTAAGGAAAACATATGGACGACATATGAAAAAATTCATGTATGTAATATACACAGCCGCTAGAATACTACCTGGCTAGAAAGTCTACAGCAAAAATATATGTCTGTCATTTGCTGAGGGGTCCGCTTTCGAAATGTGCACAAAAGTTTTCGGCGCAGTTAAATTTAATCTTCAATAGGGATGGTGTTGCAGCATGGAAGAAACAACGGCATTGATTGAACGTTGCTGTTCCATAATTATTATATTACCAAAAAGATCCAAGTTTTTGGGATCTCCAATGTGGACTCCACAAACTGTTGTCGCCGAAAGATGGAATTAAGATCAGATTGTGGATTTGAATTTTTCTGTGTAATGATTTACCCATTGGTTTGAATCTGTGTCTACAAAGTAAAATTAACCTGACAGTTTTTCGCTGATTTTTTTGACATTTCGCCAGATTAGATATATGCTCTGACTTATGGACACCCTCATGTCTCCTCGGTGCTCATGGAAACCTCAACACCTATCATTGAGCTATTACCTTTTTCCTGTATGGACGATTTGCCGCCAAGCCCCACTGAGGTATTTTTTGGCTTGCGAATGTTTAGGGGCCTTTTGTTATAGAAATAAGTACTTTTTAAAAGCATGCTCTGTGCCGTTTCTTCTCGACTAATAAGCTATGTTCATAGATTTACACTACATAGTTGACTTTTTTAATTAGCTGCTCTAAGTGGGATATATTCGCCATTTTTAGATGATATTCGAGCCTTCTCTTTAATTTGATGCTGTTTTTAAAGCCAGGCAATCTAAATCAAAAAAATCCACGAGAATTTTTCTAGCGAGAACGCTCGCAAAATTTGTACCTAAGAAATCAACTCGTACAGAGTATGCCGCTTGAGCATCCCAGAATGCCGGCATTTCAGTTGATAGTTACGGAACAGAATCATGCCAATTATTAAGGATTTAGCCTTTGGCCGGTAAAGTCAGAATTTTTTTTATGTCATGTTCTGATGCATCATTGAAAAAAGGCATTCAATCTTCAAGTTCAGACATACGGTCATCGTTATGAAATAAAGTAAAAAAAAAATTTAAATGTAGCCGCCTAGTTCCCTTTGATGGCATCTACAAAACAAAACTTTGATGGAAAAATTGGCTTCCATTTACAAAAGGATAGGTCATTGGCTAGCAAGAGTACAAGCAGCTTCAACCGCAGCCTTTAACCAGACACAGTGTCGTAAGATATTCGTTGGTGCGAGTGAAAATATTTTTCAGAGCTATTGAACAGCATGCATTGACGAGATATATGGCAAACAGTTGCAATGAAAGTCTTGGGGAATCGCATTGCTACATAATTAAACAGCAAGTTAAATATGATACTTCTAACTAGGGGCGAAAGCAGTGGGGTTCTCTAACTTGCGGGCATGGCTGTGGACGAAGACATGACTTTCCAAGAGGATACTTTATATGACAAAGTTGCAATTGTGTTAAACCGCTTTCTATTTCACTACTGATAAAGTATGTTATTCATATCAGTGTAAACTTTGACTGCGCAATACGCTACTTGTTTTTGCGTTTAGCATGGAAAGTTTTCCTTGAAGACGCGGTTATGTAGATGGTTACTGGTTCTGCAGGTAGAGGTCAAGTGCATTGTGCCAGCTACATCCTATCCTCACAAATCCCTGTCTGACTTACCGATCAATAGCACCAGCAAATTCCATGGTTCCAAGTTTTTGCGATACCCTTTTTTGAGCATTTTGTTCACTTTGTATGCATTTTTTCGATCGCTGACTGCAATCTTCTGTACTCCTTGTTGCTAGGTACTGACTGAGAGCCAAATCAGCGCAGGGAAGCTTGGTTTCAGGAGAATTTTGCTGTATTGAGCCAACATATTCCTAGTATGCTTTTCTTGCTCCGATTTGGGACTGTAATAGTACATTGCTACTCTGATAGGACCATATTCAGAAACTCATGTTGTAGTGCTTCATTGCTTACTGTTATATACATAAATGATTCGGGTTGGTTTTCTCATCTTCAGATTTAAATCCTGGGCGCTTGCTTTGGCTATTTAACATCATACTGGGCCAGTATAGCTGAGTATCAGTACCTTTTGCTGGCTACCAGTAGATCTTTCGTGAAACGCAGCTTGCCTGGCGTATCATTCAGAGGCCTGATGATGTCAATCCACATATCTTGGCCTTATCCTTTTTGGGCTTCGTCATTTTAACGTCTCCCCTTCTGCTGTAACTCGTTCCTACTGACATTGCCATATGCCTTAAGCTGATGCAAACGTAATTTTTTATGGTTGTATGTCCTTGTATACCTTTTGGCGTGGATACTCCAAATGCCTCAGATAAACCAACAGCGCATTGAGGCAATGTTCCATCAATCACTTGGACGTAATGGGAACAAAGATCATTTAATTTTCTCTCATGAACTTTAGTATTATACTTCCTGTACATTCTTACTGAATACACTCAGATCAACCATACACACGCAGAGGCGAAGCTTGTTGATCACATAGAATTCATAAAAAGAGTTTTATCTTGAGTTAGCCAGGCATTCACAGAAGAAAACCAACATGAGTACTGTTGAGTAAAGTTAACACCGGTATTAACACCTAAATTTTAACGCAAGAGTTACTGATATGAAATTCAACTGGCTCAAACGACAAGAGACTGAAAGATTGGGTCATTTCAAGTTGAAATGGTCGGGCTGACATGATGTGTTGTAGGCGATGAAAATGATATATTGGCATGAGTTCCAGAACACGCGCGGTATAGTTGGTGGACTAAGTAGGAAATGTGCAGGATGCCGATGGCAAAATATGAATGTAGAACGACATTGCAAATACAAGCACTGAAAACAGTTGCTGTGGAAGAGGAAAAAGAAATTGATATCATTTAACCCCGAACAAAAAATTTGCCATGGCAGGCACTCGTGTATGGACCTGTCTAAGTAGTGGACAAGAGTCTGCAAGTCTAACGATGTAGATACTAATCTCTTTTTAGAAATCATCATCTTTGGAGGCAGTTTTGCCACAGCCATTGTGTACTATCGTTGATCGATGTTTTATATGAGTATTTCGCTAGCGACGAGTACAAGTAGTTGGTAGTTAGACTTTTACTTTGCACATTACTGTGTAAGTTTATTGTGCGTGTGTATAAGTGAACGCATACAACTAGAGATTCTAATGTCAAACTCATGGAGAATAATGGCATTGGAACTGTAGACGTAGTAAGACCTTCGTACTAGAACGGCATATTACCATGCTGTTAAATTTCTTATATACATCATCGTCAGGAGCGAAGCGAAGAAAAAAGTGTATGGATCGGAAGTGGTTTTCTTTCCAATGAATCCTACCATAAAGACTAATTGCTGACGGTGTTATGATGACAAAGCTTCTGACTAAGCTCAGGCTGTCTTCGTGATACCATGAACGCTTGTTTACAATATCAATATAAAACAAGTAGTTTGTCGCCTAAGCGTCTCCTAAAACTCTCATATAAACTATCAATTGATTTCAGTGCTATTTTTGGCTACATTCTACAAATCATTCCACGATCAGCAGACTAACAATGGCAGATGCATGATACAGAACAGAGCTACTTTCTTGCGCGAATGTTTGGTTCAGAATGAAGTGACGGCGCATGTTCAGGACTAGCACTATGGGTGTCGTTGAGCTACCGAGAATGATCTTGACTTCGATGGTATATGGTTTACGCGGGTGATTTTTATCGATTATGCACATGTTTACTGCGTGTAAGACGTTTGGAGATATCAATGTCTATTGAAATGCTATTTGCAGCAGTAGTGGACTGGCATTGTACAACTTGATGATGACAGGCCTACGTAAGCTCCTCAATATCTAAGGGCTTTAGCAAGTTTAGGCTGCGTTTAGACTTTGACGTAGCAAAATATTGCAATACTTATTATTGCGACGTGAGCAATGGGCATATACAGAAGAGGTCTTTACCAATACGTTCGAATTTGGCCATTCGTAATCACTGGCATGACGAATAAAGCGTGATAGTCAATATACAATAAATTTGCATGCAGCCAAATGGCGATAATGCATTGACAAGCATTCAAGCATTATATCTAGAAAATTAAAATGTCAATGGCTTGATCCATGTTGTTAGAATTTTGTAACAGATGCATGGCGTTGCCAACGGTTGGTGCCAACGTTGTATAGCTCGATAAACTCGAAATCAACGTTTTACCAAGAATCAAGCTGTGGGGATTTTCGGCTTTGGTTATTCCGATTGGCATATTAGCATTAGCAGCTCGCTCACTTTTGGCACATCAACTAGTCGACATAACTCAGCTCAGAACAAACTTCAGTTCGACAAAGGTCTGTTTCTAATTAAATGTGAATGTCATGCTGGAGCTAGCCTTGATGCATTTTTGTCAATATTTGATGCTCAATTCCCTGTTAGCTTCAAATTATTCTTTGTTGTTATCAAGTCATCCTTTGCTTCCATAAATTAAAGAATAAATATATCGTGTATCCGTCGTTCCAAGTAGTCAACCTTGATAGAATTGAATAGTGGCCATGCTCAATGCAGTGAGTATGTTTCGGGCGATCATAACAAAACGCTCAAGGCAATCAGGATGCTATGTCAACACAATCAACGCTTGCTCAATACTTTGAGGATGCTTGGTCAATGCATTAGAGATGGACCTAATGTCGAAGTATAAAACTTTAAAGATTACGGCCCGCGTGGCATGCCGGCTATTTCAGGGCCGAATTTACGTACGCCTGTTCCGAAAAAAAATCCTGGGAAACTCCTGCTGAATAATTTCCAAAATCACCATTTTCCAACAGATTCTTTAGCTGAAGATTTTTTGTTATAAAAGCCCCAAATTTAGAAAGCGAAATTCCACCATTATCATATACTTTCACTAATGGCTTTCACTCATAACCATACAAGAAAAGTCGTGCTGATTACAGGAGCTTCGGACGGATTAGGGCTAGCGGCTGCCAAGAAATATGCTCAAGCTGATTTCACTACTGTATTAGCTGGACGATCCAAGGAGAAGCTGGCAAAGGCAGTTGAAGCTGTCAGAGTAGCTGCAAACATAAAAGAGTCTCAAGCAGATCTAAAAGTCTATAGCCTGTGCTTTGACTTATCCGATCTGGACTCGGTACGCAGAGGCGTAGCTGAATTTCTGAACCTTAACATACCCCTCAACATCCTCATCAATAATGCTGGTATATTTACAACCACTCGAGAATTTACCAAAGCTTCAAACATCTTTGAGAAAACTATCATGGTTAACATGGTTGCACCTCTCCTCTTTACCGAGTTATTAATACCTAGGATGAAGGAGAGTGGTGGCGGCAAAATTCTTATAGTATCGAGCAACACACATAATCCAGAGCAAGCTGTCCCACTTTCAAAAAAGAAGGTTATTATCCCGTCCGATTTAATTATGAATGATTCCGCCAACTGATATTGCATTTGCTTAACGACTTCTCTTTTTTTTGTACAATTGACACATTCGTCCATCATAAAGGATACTAAAAGACTTATTCTGCCATTGGACAACCTTGACGGATCCAAGGAGTGGGACGGTCAGGATTTCTATGCGGTAAATGATGTACCTTCTTAAGCAAAAACATATGTGGCCAAGCTAATCCTTAGATCAACAGGCATCCAAGCTAGCAGACCTTTGGTGGGCTTACGTACTAGCCGACAAACTCACCAATTCAGAGCCAAGAATTACCGTGAACGCATTTTGCCCTGGAGCTGTCCCAAGCACTAGTCTAGCTCGCGAATTCCCATGGATACTTCGAAAAATTGCCCCAATGATTTTCCCTCTGTTGCTTTCAAATGTGTTGACCCCAGAGAAAGCCGCTGAGCAATATCTAGCTTACGGTACAGATCCCAAGTTTGCATTGGACAATGGTTTTTATTATCAAAGGGGTAGCAAAGACAAGTCATCAGATGAGTCTCATGATATGGTCAAGGCCAAAACTGTCTATAATTTAGCCTGTCAAGCCAGTGGACTTAATGATCATCAAGTTGCTGTTTAAGACCATCTTATGGACTGACAGGCTCACCAGAGATTGCGGACTCCATTGTTAAGGAATCCACCATGGCTTTTCTGACGAATAAATTGCTTATTTTATCCTGGAGCGGAACACTTTTGCAGTTGGGCAGTTGGAAGCGACGTGGCAGAGATCGTTCGATGAACTTTTCAATACTGTAATCAAATTGCGTGTGATCCAGACATATTTCTCGCTTGAGATGTGATTTGCCTATAAAGCTAACCTCTGGCAATTTCTTAGATGTTTCCCCTGGCTTGATCCACAAAATAGAAGTTGTCTGCATCCTGTTCCTCTCAAGTGCACATCACCAAAATCTACAGTATATTGTTGGGATAGTATGAGTTTGCATGCACGACGATCAGCTTTGAGACTCTGTCTGTGATAAATGCCACAAAGCGAAAGCTGCATCAAAGAATACTTCTCAGGATCTCAGTCGTAAAATTTCACACTATAGCACGCAAAACAAACAACCTAAAGGTATACGACTTTAGTAGATGACAAGGTTGCATAACAAGGTTTTAAAGCAGATACAGCGTCCATTGAAACAGCTACAAAGTCCACTGAAATAGCTATACACTCCACTGTAGTAGGTACAGCGAATTCAGGTATAAGCCTCGTATTTCATTGACCAACGATATATATTTGATGTTGAAACATAATTTACTTCAATATGGTAGATATCATTCCTACAAGGTCGATATCAACATTTTTTGCCAGTATCCTGTCCACCATGCCCTTCTCCTCTTCTGCGTCTACATCTAGTGAAGTTGAAACAAATGAAGTAGCTGCATCAACTGAATCAACTGAATCAACTACATCAACTGAATCAACTACATCAACTGCATCAACTGAATCAACTACATCAACTGATTCAATTACAACAACTGATTCAACAGAGTCAGCTACCACAACTACGCCAACTACGCCAACTACAGCAACTACATCATCTGAATCAACTACACCAACTACCACAACTACCACAACTACACCAACTACACCAACTACAACAACTACAACATCCAAATCATCTGAATCAACTACAACAACGGCATCGACCGAATCAACTACACCAACTGAATCAAGCTCTTCAGAGAATTTGGAGCAACCAAAGAGCACCACCGAAACCGGACCAACGACGACTGGTACAGACCTTCCACTTCCAACCTTTGCTTGCACAAATAATATCACGGGATTTCAAGCATGTGTTCACGAAGCACAAACGCCAGATTGGTATTGGTGTGTTCTAGATGAATGGGTCTTTCAAACTTGTGCACCCGGAACAGTCTGCAGACAAGGTGATGATGGAGGAGTATATTGTGACTTTCCATAAAATAAACAAAGGAAAAGGACCACAAGCGGCAAATATCATTACTCTATTCTTCATAATCAATTGCGCAGAAATAGTAATATTTTCTGCGTTTATTTTGAAGAAATTTAATAAAAAGTTATGTAAAATGAAGGTATGACATTGCCGCGTAGAATTCGTTTAAAAAACAAGACAAGTCAGCAGAAATAATGACTACAATCTTTTGTGACGATGCATTTACCCAGTGAGTAAGGTCTAATTACATGATCTCAGCAGGTATGGATTTTCTGATCCGCAGCTGGAAAAAGGAAATATTATTAGTGTTTGTGCTGTCCTAATGTTGATACCGCTCAAAAGGGGGGCCGTCGTTTTGCAGTTTTGCCCTGCCCGATCACGTGCTAATAATTGAAAATTTGATGCGAAGTGCATCGTCTGTATAATACTCGGTTTTTCGTGCACGTACCCATTCCATGAAGAGTTTAGCTACAACTACTGGCTTTGCTGATAGTTCTCGTGGCGGTACCTTAACAGATCGCTATCCATCAAAACTCTCAGTGGATCAGAGCATCGTCATCAAATTCCCTTTTTCTTCTTCTGTGACCATTAGGCTGAAATACCTTTTCCATCAAAGTCTCCACCGGTGACATGTTGAATTCTGTAGAAGCGGCATTATCAGTATGGCACAAGATCATGTTGTCACCTTCCACAAAGAATTTTCAACGATTTCCATGTTGTTATGCTCATGCATAGGTGCTTGTCTGGCGAAGTTTCAATATATGATGGGACAAAACCCCATCAACCCTAGAGCAAAATCAAATTCAAATCAGCTTATATTCAACACTCATCGTTCGGCAGACTATTAGAGAGACATAATACCATTTTATTTACCCTGGATTTAGATTGTCGTCAAAACCGCTAGTTCCAAATGATGAGATTTTACCATTACATTACAGACTACTCAGCAAACCTATATCTGCCATACTAAGCAATGATGAGCCACGGAAATAAAGGCTATGACGAAATAGGTGCTATGCAAGCTATATCTTTCAATCGGTGGACCAGTTACTTGTGCTAAAGGCTTTAGATATAGCTAGTTACGTTCTTGTGGAAAAAATAAAAACTGGATGAAGCAGCTAGCCTCCAGTATTCATTTTAAATCACCTATATTAAATCAGGACATTATCGGTACAACTCTTTACTACATTGCCGAGAGATGAGAATGAAAAAATGGTAATATGAACAGCGTTAGATGTCATTTTGAAATATAAACATTAATGAATTGATGACAATGAATTTGATAATAGCACCTATCTGTGACGAAACTGACAGTGTTTAAACGATAAGTTTTGAAGAGAAAACCATTACGTGATAAGATTATGTGCATCCCAAAGCTCTTGTAATGATATTCCTTTATAAAAACTTGGGGCTGAAGGTACTTTACGTTGACATACTTGGTATATCTTAATGCATAAACGGTTAATTTCCAGCGGTCCAGAGGTCTACTGTTTTTATTAGGAGCTAAAATATTAGTGCCAACATTCTTTAAGTTCTACCTCCAAACTTTCATATTGAAAATTAGAAAAATTCGACCTACATCCGTCTAGGAAGTTATAGGGTACCAATGATGTTGATGCTCTTTTGATCAGCACTTTGATCAGTTTTCATTTTACAAGTTATCTTGAAATCCGTGATAACTGTACGTTTAGAGGATTTTGGTCGGTTCAAATCGTTACGAGTCAGCAATTTGCATCTCAGCCCCTTGGCTTGATTACCATTTGACTTGATATGGAGATAATTATAGGCTACGTTGGGTGTCAAATGGTGTGAGCATCAATCCATGCACTGGTGTACAAAGGACTAATTAAAAAAATAATCGCGAAAAACAATAATTTTTTTGACGTCGATGTCATTGCGAGGGTATCGATTTTTTAGGAGCTCGCTCTACCTGATTTACCAATTTGTTTTAATTGCAGAAAGGCACAAATTAAATTTTTTAAAAAGTTGTAGTTGACACAGTTTACATAAATTTGATGGCTTCAAATGTAGAAGAATAGATTTTAAACAGTTGAACTGCCAATAATCTCAACATCAATGCGTCTCTTTGCAAGCGTTATCGTACTTTCTTTGGTCTGGAAGCTGAATTTTGCTGTAGTACATGCTGCTGACGTACACAATGGCCAGCAGCCCAATGTTGCCGTGATCGGCTCTTCAGCACAAGTGCATAAAATGGAAACTCCGGCTATGGAAGGAAAGATGAAACTTTGGAAAGAGAAAAATGACGAAGAAGATGAATGCTATGAAGACGACAAAGACTGGCATCATGACGATGATTGTGAGAGTGATGATGAACACGGCCATAAAAATAAGCGTCACTGCAAGTCAAAGTAAGTGCTACAGCCGTTCAGAATTCATTGAAAAAGACTTTCCACACAATTTTCTCAAGCTATTGGCTCAATAGGCATGGTTCAGATGACGATGACGAAAAGAAAAAACACAAGCATTGTTCGTCCACTAAAACAGGTATAAAACTAGTATCTCTTTGACTACGTATGCATGTTTGGTATTGAAAAGTAGTTTATCTTGATACTGTAGGCCTTTCTCCCACGGATTTATCAACATTTGTTCCCAGTTTCACGCCCACTCCCAGTACAACGGAATCAACTACGGAATCAACTACAACAACCGAGTCAACTACCACAACTGAATCAACTACAACAACTACAACAACTACAACAACTACAACAACTGAATCAAGCTCTTCATCGACTACGGAGCAACCAAGCAGCACTACCGAACCCGGACCAACGACGACTGGCACAGACATTCCGACTCCAACCTTTGCCTGCACTCAGGAGAACTCGGGATTTCAATCATGCGTTGATGAAGGAGTATCGCCAGTTTGGTATTGGTGCGCTACAGAACAATGGATCGTTCAAACCTGCGATAATGGTACAGTTTGTAGACAAGGTGATGATGGAGGTGTATATTGTGATTTCCCATAAAATAAACAAAGGCAAATGACAGCATATTATTAACAATCAAATCCATCATGACACATTGGACGGCGCGCCGCCCATGAGCGTCTCAGACAAAAAAGTGATATATGCTCAATTGTCTACAGAGCTCCAGTCATTTTGCAGGCAAAAATAGGATCGTATTGAGCAATTTATTGAATCACACCATACCAAACTTATATGATAGATGGCCATATTCACTGTTTTCCGCAACCATCATACCTAGGTTCGGCGGAAAGTCCTGCCGCTGTATATTTGAAGGTGTTCGTAGGTTAACAAATGAGAGAGAAGCAATAAGTAGAATGATTCAGATAAAGACTTACGTCGCCGTTTTCTTTTCAACATTGATATTCTCAGGTTTCGCGCGGTTCAATACCTTGAGGAAGTCCCGTACGCGAGCTCTCATACGTGTGTGCATATATGCCTTTGCACATTTGATGTGGTAATGTAAATAGTCGCGGAAGATTTGAATACGAGAGATAGTCTCCTCACGAACATCGAGTGCTGCAAAGTGTCTTGGGAACAAAACTGCGTGTGCCGAAAGTTGTTAATAGCTATGTCGAAATATTCACTATCCTCTGTAGCAATTACATATTGACATACCAAAAGTGATATAACTCATCTCTTCGCTATCTTGCAGGTTGAGATGTCGAAGTTCCAATGGAGGCTCACGAGTACTGAAGAGCACCGGAGGAGCATTCTGAAGATCTTGGCGCTTTCTAGCGTCGACAAATTCCTGCAGCGCATAATCTTAACCAAAGAACCATCTAAAAACGGGATCATTACGGTGCTCCTACCTGCAAAAACACTTTTCCAAACACTCTGTCGGTTTCATCCTTGAATCTGGTGCTGAAAATTACAGTAACTCTGTCTTGATTTGCCTTGACATAAATAGCTTCGTCTTCACGATAATGGACAGCCATTAATTCTGGGTTGGGATTTGCCTGCTTTTCATCTTCAAACTGTTCCTGCTCTTTGAATGCACGTTCAAATGGCGCAGCCATGATGTTTCGTTTTAAGAGAGACACTTTTCGAATCAACTCCTCTCGCGCCTCTGCCAAATCAAAGAACGGTTAAGGTACAGTATCCCATACTCACACTAGTCGCTTGATCATTCCTACCTGCTTCTTGAGGCAAGCTTGTGAGGTCGACATTGAGAGTGACATCAAAGCCTTGTTGGGGTGGAGTGACGAGCATGGTGCCATACTCGCGTTGAAGGATGTCGTTTGCACCGTAGTTGATGAGCTCGGGGAAACAGCGCCACTTGAAAGATATTTGAATATTAGTCTTGGAGGTAGGTGTTGATAAGTGATATAAGACACCATCAAAGTCGACTATGGTCATGTCCAAAGCTTCTGGCTTTTCGCTGTAGGCGGCTCGCAATTAGTACGGGGTCCAAGATGGAGAATGATGCTGCGCTCTATGCAAAACGGCTTGTCCTCTCCATGTGATCAATAACAGTTTTCTTACCTTTCGAAGCGTGCTGAAAGGGTATCATGTAAGATAACGTTATGGTAATCTAGCAAAATCATTGTGCAAGGACGGTAGATAGCTCCAGTGCCAAGTTGAACGTTATGTCGTCAGTGAATGCGGAGAAAGAAAATTCACAGCGCGGGCAAGGTCACCCAAAATCCCAAAATTGTTGCAGCGTCATCGAAATTTGTACTCGCCGGCTTTTTCATCAATGCTGACCCATGAAGCAAACTGTCAGATTAATGTTGTTTGTGAAAGAATCATTTTTCGAAAAAGAGAATACAAAGTTGAATATATGAAGTTTTTCTATTGAGAAAGAGTGTAGAAGCTATGTTAGAGTCAACTGCTCCATGAAGCAATTGTAGTCTCAAAACCGACATCAGTTGTACTCAACCTTGCTGTCAGCCATGGCCGACCGTGTTCATGGCACAACCGCCGAAATGTACCATCACAATCAATGTTATTTGAGCAACCCAAAAAATGCTTATTTTCATCAGGTAAAGCTTGTGACGGCATGGCAGTTGATGATTTGCAAGGCACCCCAGAAGCTGGGCCCGTGGTTGGATATCAATATTTCACATGTTCATGCTGAAGGGCGGGGGATAAAAAGGCAGGAGTCAAAGCTTGACTTTTTTTTACCTCTGTGGCAAAATGTCTGATTCAAAACAAAGTACGTACTTTACAAGCACATTTGTCAATTCAACATTACATCTCATCACTCACAACTTGAAAGCATCAGTTACTCCATCAAGCACACTGGCATATTTACCTTGGAGTGTTCAAATACTGATGATTGCAGCTGCTGCAGCATTGTATAGAAAGCGAGGCGGTTTCTATTATCGCTCTGCCGCTGCCATTACATGGCTGCTAATCATTGCAGCATATGGAATGGCTGCATCGCTAATCTTGCCATTGTTTGGTCAACGCAAACTCATCAATTGGACTGTTGCTCGATTGTACTATTATTGCGCTGGTTATTTCACTGCCGTCTCTGCTGTTGTTGAAAACGAAGCCAACCTTGAAACAGGCGGTCCTGCCGTTTACATTTGCAACCACCAATCCAGCATAGACGTGTTATTAATGGCAAGAGTGTTCCCCAAATCAACATCTGTTGTAGCCAAGAAGTCCATCAAATATTATCCCATACTTGGATGGTACAGTAAGTTCGATGCACATGTTTCGACCTGACATGTACCCGTAGATCAGATGAGACGTTAAACGTTTTCTTTCTCATGTGGTTTTTCTAGTGACTTTGAGCAAGGCTATTTTCTTGGATAGATCCAACCGAGATAGTGCCGTTGCTTCGGCTAAGAAGGCAGCAGAGGATATTCACAAGAAGGATACTAGTGTATGGATCTTCCCTGAGGGTACCCGTGGACATCCTCGGGAAATCAATATGCTGCCATTCAAGAAGGGAGCCTTTCATATGGCTGTTCAAGCTGGTGTACCCATCGTGCCCATCGTGATTGCCAATTACAATCACTTGTACGACTCCAAGGCCAAGAGATTCAATTCCGGTGTTGTGCCAATCAGAGGTATGTTTGTGACGATACACTTTTTACTCGAGAAATATGATGCTGATAATACTGCCTTGCCCTCTTTAGTTCTTGATCCAATTTCTACTGAAGGCTTGAAGGACAGTCATGGTGCTGTGGATAAACTCACCACGGATGTTCGCGAGTTGATGTTGAACGCTCTTAAAGAGATCTCTCCACCTGCTCTTTCTAAGAAGTCAGAATAACAAGCGCCATTGAGCGCTTTTTGTATCTACTTCCTTTTATCATCGTCTTCATAGACTGTAGAAATTTGTAACAAGAGTTCTTACTATACGATTCTACACCACCCAATTTTAATAGCACGACGTTTTGTTTTCCTTATGCATACGGCTCACTTAGACAAATTTTTGAAGGGCATAAATTGTTTGTACCATGAAAAAGACCTATTATTTCCACCTCTGAGTAGTTTATATTATGTTGTTTTCTCCTTGCACGATGCGATGTATATTGTATATCATAAAATGAAAAGAAGTGACCACGTTAGAGCTTTATACGACATGATGAAGCGCATGCTTTTAAGTTAATAATGCATATAGCTCGTGTGCTATCTTAATTCGTTTTGTGCCTGTCCCATATGGAACAGAATAACAATGGTACTTTTGGCAAACGGTGGGACGCACTCCTTTTGAATCAATAAATATCCTGCTCCCACTCCGTGAAAATTCCGGCTTATTCCAGACGGGATCGTTTGCACTTCGACCGTTAAAATTAACAACGCGGACAGCCATGTCATTTTCAAGTGAAGCAGATAAAGAAAGAAGTTTTAATAAGAAGGGGGCGGCAAAGGTATTATGATTTCGAACCGAAACATTGAAAAAAAGGCATTGTTCTAAAGCTCATTGATGCCTCTAAATATGAAGTTTAGAGCTGGATTTGGTTGCGTGCGTTATACTTGTGTACAAGAGCCTAAAGGTGATAAAAGGTTGTGAATAAATAAGGAGTTGACAGGCAACAAATGTTGAAGGTTATATATACCTGGCATCCACAGAACGCCAAAAAGCATCCATAGACGATAGCAGCGGTGAAGCAAGCTTGAGCAACGGCATGCGGATCGTCAGGATCATTGACCGATTCAGTCAGTGCCTCTACCTCCTTATCAAACAAGACTCCAAGTATCGTCTGTAGAGGTGGTAATAACGTGAAAAAAAGACAGTGTTAGTATTCGGTCTCTACATTTTCCAATTGTGTGCTGTTGACTCCATTGTCATATAGCTGCTGCTGTACCAACGGTGAGCCAGTGTGCAGAAATCAGAAACTCACCAAAAAGATAATACCAGCAACGGATACAACTGAACAGCAAATAGCATTGCCTGGGCTCACAAATGTTTTCATCTTTCAAGAGACACCTCTTCTGTAGCTTGTCACCAAGAAAGTATTGGGACCAATATCGGAGATGAGCAACGGCACAAAAACGCCTTGATCACATGACTCGTAGAGCTTCAACAAAATGGCCATCGCTCTGTAGCCCAGCGATAGGGCTTTTCCTGGTTGTCGACTGTCTCAAATTCAACCTTTCCACCACCTTGTTTCATATTGGCGGAAAAGAATATAGTAATAATAAAAAAGACTGTTCAATGAGCACGGCACATCGCACCTCCAGGAGGGAGACCGCACGACAAGCAGCCTTTACGTTTTTGTCCAATATCGCCTTGGGAAGCGAAGTGGATCGATCTCAAGTACGGAACGATCTCAGTGACAGCACTGACGCATTATCAGACCCAAAGTCTAAAAATTTCGCAAACTCAAGACCTCTGGAAGCCAATACTTCTCAGATCAGTGAACGTTCGGGTAACGCTATCGGAACATCTTTTGACGGTCATTCTAGTCTGAATTCGACACATGCGGCAAAACGAGGTCCTGATTTGAAGGTCGACACCAGTCGACGGGAAAACATGGACACTTTATTACGGAAACAATCCTCTCCAGGTGTACAAGAAGATTGGTCGGAATCCCCTTTGGACCTTCGTTTGAGAGATGCTGGTCAATCAGCAAACGGAGGAAAGTATCTACAATTCGTCAACACCGCTTCTTACTTGGTAACTAACCTTCGCAAAACGCTATTAGGGAGCAAGTCATTGCATTCGGTGGATAGCTCTTTGTCGGACGGCGATATTGATGATACCGCTCTTTCACGGAGTGGACAACTGTCAGGTCCAGCTTCCGCGGTGTTAACAGCCAGCGAAACAAACGCCACTAGCCTGTTAAGCAAGCAACTTGAGAGTCGACCAGAGGCATTCATCAACCACAATTATGGAGGGCCATATGGTCGGCGGATGAAAAGTGACAACTTTGAAGACAATGATGGTCATCACCACAAATTGACTAGAGAAGACAACTCAAAACCCATCGCTTCAGAAAAGATAAAAAAGAAGCACGTAGAGCGTGAGGTAGGTCTAAAGAAGATCGGTCATTCGTTGACTATGTAATACTCATCGATCCCGTAGCAACATACTGGATTGGGCATCCTCTCAGCCTTTAGATACTACAGTGACAAAATTCGCCAATCAGCCATCAAGCGGAGAGGTGAAGCTACGTCAAATACTGGATATGTGTAAGTAAACATGTTTTGAGAAGGGTGTGGGGTTTAATACACTCTAAAACGGCTGTCCTCATACTCCTCTCTATGTATACAGTCAACAACAAATTGCAAATCACGATCATCAACGACGGAGACCTGCACAGTCGTTTGGCCATTTTCTGGATCCATGTGGATCATTACAGTAAGTTTATTGGCCAAACTTTAAACTGACTCTTCAGTAGCGGTTGATTGTTTGCTAAAAGCCAGCTCTTTCTTTTGCCAGACCCGAAGAAATTGTTCAAGAGCAATTGTTACCGTCTGCATATGATCCCTACTTTCTGGAGAACGAACTGTATTCTCCAGACCGCATCAAACCTGGCGGTTCGTCGCATGTACGTTATTTCTAATTAAGCATGTATACTGATTTCGAAGTGTTATTCATGAGCCGTCACATTCTTAAGGGAACAAGCACGCAGCTTCGTCCAGCGGATGTAAAACGAGAGTTGAACGAAATGTTCCGATCTGAGCACCCGGAAATACCAGTAGAGATAACCTTGAGTAAGATCAGGGCGATCAAATTGCATCTGCTCGAGGTTGGCAAGGAACTTGATTTAGAAGTGTCTAGTGTTGCCCACGCATATGTCTACTTCGAAAAGCTTGTCGTCAAGGTAAACAATCGAAGCCTTGGCGCGCCTATACATATAGTTTGCAAGGAAATTTTGCATCCCCTGATATACTCATCAATATTCTTGTTCCGTTCCTTATCAGAATATCATCACCAAAAAGAACAGAAAGCTCATTGCTGGCTGTTGTCTTTTCCTGGCCGTTAAAGTGAACGAACCGAAAGGATCCAGGCTCCAGCCCCTGCTTGATGTATGCAAATTCCCAAACTGTACTATGTTCATCTCTTCATATCAAATTAACTTTTGCTTTTCTCTGGGGTTTTTCAATAGGCAATTGACGACGAGTTAGATATCGACTCTGAGGAAATTCTGGAGCACGAGTTCGCCGTGTTTGCTGATCTCGAATTCAACTTGTATGTTCCAAGGCGGGAATTTATGCCACACTTTGAACGGATATGTTGCGAATTAGGTATGTGGTTTGCATGGTCACAGATTCGTTTCCTTGATTTTATGGGTAAACACGTTTTTAATTCTATTATCAAATGCAGAATTGAAAAGCATAGAAGCATATCTAGGCGACCTCAACTTTTTTGCAGCAGATACCAAATAATGTTTTTCGTATGATTGCTCCGTCTGTTGACAGCACGTACAATATGTAAATCACGTAAAAAATATATATATAAAAATGATAAAGCCTGTGGCTCCTTGTCAGAAAGTTGGGTTTAAATGTCAATACACACGAATCCTTCGCAGCAGGTCCTGACCCCAGCTCTTTGGTGAACTCAGCTTCAATACACTCCCTAGACTATTGGAGATGAGGATAGGATAGGATATAAAAAGAAAGGCTTTATACAAATTGTATTGACTAGAGAACAGTATTGTGGAGAGAGAGAGAGAGGGAGAGATAGTAAGGAGGACATGACTCAAAAAGGTATATAGAAACAGAAGGAGGGGATAGCCATTTCATCTAAACTTTTGCTTTTTGGAATTGAGAGCTGCTGCTGCAGCACGTCGAGTGGCTCTGGCCGCAAGTAAATCACCATCGTCATCTTCATCAGAATGCTGGCGTTTAGGAGGTGGCGGTGGCGGTCGCTCCTCTTTAGTTGCTTCGTCCACAGTATCATTTGCCTCCTTTGCTTTCTCGACTTCCTCTTCAACATCCTCTTGACTTTTTTCATCCTCTTCAACGTCATCTTTACTCTTTTCATCGGATAGAGATGATGAATCGTCTTCAGATTCGGTTGACGGCTGTGGCTCTTCAGATGGTTCTTCTTTCTCTTCTTCTTCTTCTTCTTCTTCATCATCATCGTATTCAACCAGAGCTTTTGGTTCTGTCGATTTTTCACCAGCTTCTTCATCTGACGTATTAAAGTACTCCTCTTCCTGATCATCAACGGTCTCCGAACCCCATCCTTCATGTCTCACAGTTGCAGTACTGACAAAATGAGATTGATTAATATAGCTCAGGAGAGCAACGACAAACGTCCAAATGCTTACCTTGCGGCTGCTTTAGCAGTCTCCTCTGATGGCGGGTCAGGATCTGTATTTTGTTCGTGTTTTGTTCGTAATTGTGCAAAGACAGTAGAGTAGTCCAATTTATCAAGACTATCACCAAATTGAGTCACAATGTGGGATACCAATAGTTTGAGGTTTTCTTTTCGAATGAAGTCGAAAAGCTCAAGGATGGAGGAATTTAACAGGTTGTCACGACCTTGTGTATTTAAGAGAGTTCGCACAATGGGTTCAAAGACGTGATTCTTGATTAAATTTCGTAAATAAAAATCATCCTTCGTGCCTACGCATGCTCGGAATACCCTGATAGCCGCTATAATGGTCAGGATGTTAGAAATACCCGCATTAATGTGCCTTGTTGAAAAAGACCTCTTACTCACCTGCTTTGACGTGTTGTTGCTTACATCGCAGTAGCTGGGCAACTTTGCTAAAGCAAGGCGATGAAAGCATAAAATATTTGCTTCGTATGCCATGCTGTCGAATGGCAAAGCACAACATATCACAAATATGCAGACAGGTCTCGGCTTCACTACGGGAAAGAACCAACTCTTCAATGTCGCCTAATGGAGGACGATGTATATTAGTATTGATATCCGGCAATAATTTTAAAACGCTAAACATACCTTTGAGAGTGATTGGTTTGGTTTCAATGTCAAGTATGGCTTTCACATATTGGACCATGTACTTGTCATAAAACAGCACCAAAAATTGTCCAGCATCCGAATCCTGGCGACAGATAAACCACGCTTAAGTATTTCATCACGCTAGACTGGTGCGATACCCATGAACTACCAGCAACTTACCCTACTTATTTCAGCCATGACGCTTTCACCAATGCCAGCATTCGTGTCCAGCAACGCTCGCATAACTTCAGCATACTGCATCTTAATACCTTCATCGCTGTCTTTAGTGAACTGGTCGATGATGACCTCTATCAAAGATGTTGATGATTCCTTTGGGTCTCGTTTGCTTTGGTCGACAATAAAGGATCGCACAAGGTCAGAGTCATGTTCAAGAACGGACTCCAATATCTCGGCCCCGGCAAGCCTTACTTTGACATCAGAGTCTGTCAAAGAGTATTCAAATATCTGGAACAACCCATGGTTGCATAGTGAGCTAATAAAAAAAATGGTTTAGTCAAAGTAGCAATAAATTAAAGTACTGGCAAGCCCTTCAATGCTTACTTGTACACTTCTGCTCGGCTCGCCATTTGTAAATTTTTGGCAATAGAACAAAACTCCTGCACGAAGAGAACAACCTCTCTTTTCTTCTCTAGCGAAGCCCTAGCATCAGCCAAGATGTTAAACAGAGAATTCAAGAATTCGGAGTCATTTTGCAAGTGAGTCACGATATCAACATGATTGAAGAATATCATGGAGTTGATGATAGAAAAGGTCGGATCATCGAAAACACGTGCTAGTATAACATCCTTGAGATATTGTAGTCGAAAAGTCTGGTGAATCTTAGACTCGACAGATTTGTCTCGAATGGGCACAACCTGTGGTGAATGTGAGTTAACAATATGGTATTCATGCTCAAAAGCAAAAGGCTGGATGTTTACCTGCTTGAACTTCGAGTTGTCGGCTAAAAATTCTCGATGGTTGGCCTTGAGTTTTGGGAACTGAGGGTCATCTACCAAAGCATAAAAGAATTAATTATCGGTGATCTCCATCTCGTGCATACACCAAGAATATCAAGATAACGTACATTCCAATATACCAACAACACCAAGGATGATTTCGTCCTTGATGACATGTTCAATAATGTTGTTGTCGTTCAATAAAACTGTTACAGTGTTAATGCATTGAACAAGGGTCTGCCAACACAGCTGATATAAACATTTTACTTACTTATGCTTCGCATTATATTGTGTAAAACGTGCAATCCATCTAAATCTTCTAGATCTTCGCACGTCTCAAAGACAGGAAGAAGGCTATCAATATAATTCTGAAGTAAAAAAAAAACTTCTGGTTAGTGTGGTGATGTTGTGTTAGACAATGGTGCATATTAGCTTACCTCCATGATGATGAAGGATGATAGCCTCTCCTTCTGATCTAATGTGACACAATCCTTTATTATAGCCTCTATCTTGTTGAGATTAGACATCTCAGGTGGCGGTAAGGAAACGACACTGGTGGCCATGAAGGGTTGGGGGCTACCGTGAATATCTGAGGACAAATAGAGTCAATTCAAATTGTGGCACTAGCAAAAGTTAGAGGGAGTGCTTGTGGCACTACAGGCTAAGCTCAATACCTTGGCCGGCTAGTGAATGGTCACGCTGAACGTCGCAAATATGGTCCCTGCAATATAGAATGGTCAAACCCCAAGACGATTGGAAAGTAAGATGATCAAGAGATTTACCATAATGCTGCACATCCGTCTGCTTCTTGGAAACTCAATGCTAGATCAACGTCATTGTCCTCGGTCCAAACGATCAATGTTTCTACGCGCATAGATAAGATGGGTTAGCAACACGAAATCGTACGGTCAAATTTGGCAGTAAAGATGGTCTACCTTGCTGCTTTTGATACAACCGGTTCTTTTCAATCCTTGATTGCAATAAAATGGATTCGTCTGTTTCTGATTTGACAAGAAACTCGGCTTGGAGGTCATTCTAGATTTGCGATTAGATTATAATCGATGAGGAATTGATCGTGCTCGTAGATAGATCACCTGAATGTATGTACAGTAACCAGTTCCTTTGTCTTCCCAGTTACTATTCTCGCCTAGTTGGTATAGCTTGACGCGATACGACTTTTCGGTGGAAGTCGCATCTGCCATACTATCGAGATGAGAGGCAAGAGTTGAGCGAAACTCCACTTGTCACATTTTTTTTTTTTGGGAACCACGCTGGACAAAAAATTTGACCATAGGTTTTCTCACCCTTACAGCGATGAAAACTGGGGCAAGACGCGCGCATTTTTCATTTTTACACCCTTCCAACCTTACATGAATCCATAACTTAAATATGTTTTACACGGAGCTCTTTATAACTAAGTAACCGCGTTTAGAACTTCAGCAGCGTGCATTGTGGCACGCTACAGATTTTCGCTCCGGTCAGCATTGGGCTTGTCAAATCCAGACGTCTGCAGTTTGAGCCTAATGGACGGATTTCGCATCAATTTTAGTGCGAGATAAGTAATCAAATACTATCTCAGTGAATTCATGGCCATAATACGGCTTGTTCTTACCTATGATCATATTGGTGTTGCTGAGCTGTATTCCACCATGGTGACCTCACTTGCCCAAAGTGTAACGTAAGAGAGGTACTTTCGCTACCAGGATCTTCTTGATATTGAAAGAATACAGACTTTTGGAAAATTGCATCGCCAAACTTTTTCCCTACTCGGCAAAAGACCCAGAGGTAAAGGAGTTTCCGGATCTGCATACTGTCACCGACGATGGGTTACTAGTACCATTATCGATTATACGAAAATTGCTTAAGTTCACAAGGGAGAAGTTTCAATTGTACAGACATATTATAAATTTTTCGATCATTATTTTCCAACAACATTGCTCGTCACCGTGCCCATAATCTAAAAACAACTTTCGCCTTCAAATACCAACAGTGTTGTAAATAGCTTTTGTAAACATGATTTTACAAAAACCGGGTCGCTAGGTTCGGGGCTAGCGTTCAACGTCCTTGTTTTTTTTTTCTTTTGGTGATTTTGGGTGGCCACAAGCTGAAAGGAATTTTTTCAGGCATCAAAGCTTTCGGGCGCGAACATGGCACCCGCAAAATTTTTTGATGCATGGTAACAAGTTTATACTACGACTTTCAAAATTCACAAGGCAACTAGTATCTCTCTTTCATTTTTTTACGCCAAAACCCTAGTAACCTTCATATTCCATTTTTGTTTCCAATAGATACGGATCAGTCGGTGGACTTGGTCAAGCGTTTACAGTGCGAGCTGTGGTTTGCTAAATTTGGAAAGCGATCAAAACAATGGGTCAGAATAGGTGCGGACGTAGAGGTGCAAAATATATTTATCTGGCAGTGCAAACCATCTAGAATATTTCTTCCTCTCCTTCCACTATTAATCGTTCTCTCTCGCAACACTTTGGTCGGCTTATCATCTTTGCATCATGAAGTATTCATGGTATTTGGTGCTGATCAGTGTTCTCGTCCTTATAGTTGGCACTGGTGCCTCACCAGATGCCAGTGGCAATCAACTATGGGCGCAGACTTGTAACAGCAATAATAAGAGAGGTGTAGTTGTCAGCACAAACGACACACTTGTACCGCTATCGGGTAACTGGGCTACAACATCTAGTTGCTCTCCAACACCGACACAAACATCCCCAACAACAACAAGCACGGGAACCGAAGCAACATGGGAAGCACCAACGCCAACTTATCAGCCAGCAACATGCGCTAGCCAGAACCCAAATACGTGGTCCTGGAGCGATTATCTATATCGTAAGCGAGCATCGTGATGAAAAAATCTAGCGTTCGACTTGATTATTGATCCGTTCATCTATCCACCAGATACTTACGGATACGGCATTACTCCTGCATTGGGTGTAATGGGTGGTCTGCTGATGTTAATCGGTTTACACCTAATGTCGTTTGGGTTCCGTATCTTTCGAGGAACCCTCGCTATTGTCGGCTTTACGGTATTTGGTACGTTATTTATGGCTCCTCTTTTTATTTTCATCCTTGGACCATCGAAACTCTATATTGATAGCATATGCAGGTATCATAACCTGGATCGGTCTTACCAACGGAGAACCAGCAGGCGGATATCCACACCGAGAAATTGTTTATATAACAGTTATTGTCGGTCTCGGCCTTCTGGGTGCTGTGCTCTTCATGTTTTTTTGGTTCATTGGCATTTATCTGATTGGTGGTAGGTGTTTTCTTATTTTATCGAAAATCCAGGTCCATCGGCATGTACTAAATGGGCAACCCCACAAACAATGACCCACTAACGCTTAACATGATGCCTCATTTCAAGGTTTGTGTGGATTCCTGTTGTCGATATTCATAATGTCATGGAAAGAAAATCTAGTCATTGAAAATGTGAGGTTCAGGCTTTTTCTCTTTTTGTTAATTTCTGCGTTGTATTAATCCTTACCGCCACCCCGACGCATAGAACATTGCCCGAATATGCTTTATAATTGGCATGGTGTTCCTCTTCAGTGCCTCCATATATATGGCTGAACGATATGTGATTCTCTTTTCACTATCATTCTCAGGAGCCTATATGTTCATATTTGGTCTCGACCTCTTTGTGCATGCAGGATTTGTCAATGCGGCGCGCCTGATTATGGATCACAATGGATGCCATTTTATCACTTATCGCATCAATACTGGAATCTATGTGATGCTTGCCATGGTCATTGTGCTAACACTGCTTTCATTTGGCTGGCAATACTACTGGAATATCATAGCAATGCACCGTTCCTTTGGAGTTAACGTCGTACCCGCCAAAGCAGAAACCGTCATTGTGGAAAAAGTCACTTCCGCTGGAAGCGCTGTGGCACCAACGGAAGTGATTGTTGAAAAAGTTCCATCTTCCCATCATTCAGCTGTTATCGTGGAAAAAGCTCCCACATCACATCACACAGAAGAAGTCATTGTTCTCCCTAGCCATCACAGCTCTCACAGCCATCATTCCGCTCCTCTTTCCGTAATTCGAGAGAATGCAAGTGCCATAGCATCCGGTGCTGCACTAGTGAAAGGCAGTAGCCATCACACCAGCCACCATACTCCCGTTGTTGTCGCATCAGGCCCACGATCTGTGGTTGAATCCATTGCACCTTCCACTCACCACACTGTGATATCTCCCTCCAGACATAGTGTCCCAACGATAGAGGGGCCGAGATCAATCATATCTCCAAGTCGCCATTCTGGTGGTATACTATCTGGCGGTTTACTCTCTGGTGCATCGAATATCATTCCTATCTTAGCAGGAACAGCCTCTAGGCACAGTGTTGCACCTACTAACACTCGGTCAGCACGAGGAACAATGCTACCTGTGCCTTCAGCTCCTGGCAGTCGCCACACTGGATCTCGATCGGTATCTGGTTCTGGTTCTGGTTCTGGCGAAGTACTAGTCGTACCCTCTGCACACAGCCGATCTGGCAACGGCAGTGGAAGTCACCATACCAGCCATCACTCAAGCCATCACACCAGTCATCACACTAGCCACCACTCAATTGCACCTTCGGCGACCAGTCGTTCAATCGCTGCGGCATCCGCTGCACAATCCGGCGTTAAGTCTCAAGCTACCGCAAAATCAGCGAGTGGTCAAGGTTCTCGAACGTCAGCTCAACCCGAACTTGACACACACTCAGTATCCAGTACAACCGCACATACAGAACCTCCCAGACAGCCTCCAATGAGAAAGTTGTTCGGAATTATTCCCTTGTAAATTGAGTAATGATATACTACTCGGCAAATTTTGTATTTTTTTTTTCTTTTGACTATTTATCGTACGGATACCTCAACCTCGCCCACAATAAAGATGCGAATATTATCGTTTCTCTTACGTACGTCATTAACATGGTTTTGGTGGTCATCCAAGAGTACAAAAATGAGAGTTTGGCAGTAATAGGAAGTAGCGTCATACAAATCAAGTAATATTACGACAACAGAGGTGTAACCGAGCAAACATACTGCGCACCAGCGATTGTCGAAGGCATAGTAGCTGATACAAAACTGCCAGGCAAGTGCGGCTGCAAGAAATTTATCTCTGTGGCATACGCAAACTTGTTTGCCCGAGCTCGTACCTGGCAACACGCCTTAGATTGCAAAAGCGGTATCTTGCAACCATTGGTCATTTACCAAAAAGGCAAATACCAGCCTGCGAATAACAGAGTGGATGAAAATATACCCCAAGCATCTGAATAACAAGGATCACTGAAAGATTTCACAATGCCATGAAAAGAAGCTCTGGCTTCACCCAACATAGTCATCCACCACAGTAGTAAAGGGTCATTTTTTTGTGTTTTCAATCCCATTCAATTTCTTCCAATTTCAACCAAAAGTAGAAACAGAAAGGAAAAATACAAAATACAAATCATGTTACAATTTTGAAAGAGGGTAAATAGTTTAGAAGCACTTGCGGTGCACAATGGAGGGACCAGATTCGTCATATTCCTATAAGAATGAGAGAAATGTCAGTATGGCATTGTAACAATGGAAGCATGACCAAAACGTTAAACTGACCTGTTTGCTGACCCACATCTGTTGGAAGGTGGAGAGAGAAGCAAGAATAGAACCACCAATCCAGACGGAGTACTTGCGCTCCGGAGGAGCAACAATCTTGATCTTCATGGAGCTTGGTGCCAAGGCGGTGATTTCCTTTTGCATACGGTCGGCGATACCGGGGTACATGGTAGTACCACCAGACATGACAATGTTAGAATACAAATCCTTACGAATATCAAGATCGCACTTCATGATGGAGTTGTAGGTAGTCTCATGAATACCAGCGGATTCAAGACCAATGAGAGAAGGTTGGAAGAGAGCTTCAGGAGCGCGGAATCTGAACAAAGGTAATAATATCGGTCGTTAAAAAAAAATTGGGCACCACCACATCACCAGGTGTCATCGATCTGAGTATGTACATACCTCTCGTTGCCGACGGTAATGACTTGACCGTCAGGAAGTTCATAAGACTTCTCCAAAGCGGAGGATTGAGCAGCAGTTTGCATTTCTTGCTCAAAGTCAAGAGCAACATAGCAGAGCTTCTCCTTAATATCACGAACGATTTCACGTTCGGCAGTGGTGGTGAAGGCGTGTCCACGTTCAGCGAGAATGCGCATGAGGTAATCAGTCAAGTCACGACCAGCAAGATCAAGACGAAGAATAGCGTGGGGAAGGGAGTAACCTTCGTAGATAGGGACAGTGTGGGAAACACCATCACCAGAGTCAAGAACAATACCAGTGGTACGACCAGAGGCATAAAGGGACAAGACGGCTTGGATAGAGACGTAGAAAGCGGGAGAGTTGAAGGTCTCAAACATGATTTGAGTCATCTTCTCGCGGTTAGACTTGGGGTTAAGAGGAGCCTCAGTGAGCAAGACTGGGTGTTCCTCAGGGGCGACACGAAGTTCGTTGTAGAAAGTGTGATGCCAGATCTTCTCCATATCGTCCCAGTTGGTGACAATACCGTGCTCAATAGGGTAACGCAAAGTCAAGATACCACGCTTGGACTGAGCCTCATCACCAACGTATGAGTCCTTTTGTCCCATACCGACCATAACACCTTGATGGCGAGGACGTCCGACAATTGATGGGAAGACCTATATGATATTCCGGTAAGCAAGGTCGCCCTGACTTTAACAACACCCAGAATAAGGTACTTACGGCACGAGGGGCATCATCACCAGCAAAACCGGCCTTGCACATACCGGAACCATTATCAATAACGAGCTATTACAATGCAGAAAGACATACGTTGGTTAGGCTAAGCAGGTTAAGGATTTTGAAAAACTTGATAAACTTACAGCAGCAACTTCGTCCTCCATTGTAGATGAGAGATGAGAAAAGAGATGAAGAGCAAGATGAAACGGAAAACCAAGCGTTTTAAAAAAAGAAATCCAGTCGCGGCGATTGGAATTACAATATGCCTGCGTTCCTCTCTGGTTTCGCCCGTCCAGCCCAGCCGCTTCGTTCTCCCACACGTCATAGCGGTCTGACTTCATCGCCACGCCTTCCCAATTCAGACATTATCGAACAAATATATCTTTATTTCAGTATGCTTGGGCTTAAAGATGTGCTTCAATCCAATCAATATAATCCTTAGTAACCTTCTCCTTGACATCTTTAACTTCGTGGTGTACTGAAAAATGTTAAAAGTCAGTTCCATTTGCGATAATCTCAGGCTTAAGAAAAAACAAAGAACGTATAAAAAAAAAAAGGTGGCCCCTTACACTCGTGATAGCAATCATCAAAGCCAAGCAAATTCTTGTCTGACGAGCTGATGTGCTCGAACATGACCTTGGAGGCTGCGAACTTGTTAATGGGGTCTGCGGTGCCGTGTGCGACTAAAATCGGAGTAGTGATCTTGGCAGACGTCTTCAGCAGTAACTCTCCGTTGACCAGCATATCCTTGACTGCAAATCATATTTAACGGCAAAGAAAAGAAATTAAAAATTTACCGTTATTATTTTTGCGCGTATGTTTGTATGTTAACATTAAGTACACTTACGGGTAGCAAACGTGGCTGCGTCGTTGACCAGAGGATCGTTCTTGTACTTTTCTACTTGCGCTGGATCTCGAGAAATACCAGATGGATCGATGCCAACGGAATACTTGAAGTTAGGAACGACAGCCGCAGCAATATAGCGCAATGCAAAGAAAACAGGTGCCGGTGGAGGGTTGGTCAGCTGGATCAATGGTGCGGAAGCAATAGCAGCTGTCAGCTTGGCAGCGCCTTCATATCGATCGCCTTGTGTCAGGTAAGAAAGTATAATCCCGCCGCCCTAGAATGGTGGATCCAGGGGTAGGAGTTTGCAACATTTAGATTTTTTGTTTGAATGTGTTGTCTAAATACGATGATGATCGACCTACCATACTGTGACCCATAAGAAACAATGGAATACCATCTTCTTTGTTTCGCAAAATAGCATCATCCACATCGCCAAGGACGGTATCCCAACTATCCATCGTCATTCATAAATTAGACCGCTTTTTCTGTCTTGGCGATCATGTCATGCACAGGACTGCAGGCACTTACCCCTGAGCGTTGCCTTGCGTATTTGCTTTCTTGGCTGTCTCACCGAAACCTCGTTGATCCCATGAATAACTCTCGATACCCTGAGCGGCGAAATTCTTCAACAGTTCATCATATCGTCCACAGTGTTCTCCGAATCCATGTACAACTCTAATGTCGAGATGAGTTCATGGCCAAAAAAAATAAAACTCGACATGCGCTGCATCTCACAGCTGCTGACGACGGAATTCACTTACACTAATTTAGCTTTGACATTGCCAACAGCCTTCCAGGTACGGGTAAACAGCTGGTTGTTATCACTAGTAGTATACCAGCTCTCGATAGTTTCGACTTTGTCCATTTCGTTTTCAGTGGGAATTTTGCGAAGAAGTGCCACCAAGCCCTAACCGAAAAATCCAATTGTGGTTGCTGAGTCAACTCAAAGTAGCCATCCATGTGAAATTGAAAGCATTTTGTGAGTTTTAACAATAGATATGAAGATGGTTTAAATATTCCATCGTTTAAATGTCTTTAAAGAAATGTTCCACCGAGTATCCCCCCCCCCCTGAAAATCAAACATCTTCAGGAACCACCAATGCTGAACCATGATTGCCGTATTAAGTGGAAGGGGACAAAGCGAAGCACGTAATTCACACAGACGGCATTGAACGATGCCTTTGATCAACCGAGAACTGTTGTCTTTTTGATATTTTGGGGCTTAGGATGATTGCAACGGCCTTTCCACTAATAGCGTGCCCCTTTGATTTGGTAAGCCAGCTACATGTAGCAAAAAATTGGTATGCCTTTGATGCCACAATGTAACAAAACCTTTACAGTGATCGCTATACCTGTTCAAACATAGTTATGGGATGTCCGTGGGCGCATTCTCGTCTTGGTTATGGATCTATGCAGGCTTAGCGGTATAATGTTCGCGATGGCGGATATTGTACTGGTCGCTTTGTACCACTCCACACTCGTTTATAATAAGTTCGATATTCAATTTTTCGCCTCTGAAAGATTCAATAGGAGATAAGCTTCTGAAACGTGAACAAGTTTACCCCTGTCCTTCAATATAGTCTATTTGAGTACAAATACTATGGTTAACACTAAAGAGATATACCATTCATATTGTCAGCAAAAATCCAATGAGGATGAAATAGATATTATCCGTCGGTGAATGGTGCTGCACTGTTTTAAAAAAAAAGTTTTATAAAAAATAAAAAATCCGTATACCGCCACTCGGCATACTTTTGACGAGGCACAAATGTGGAGCAGAAACTGACACTTTCCTTTTCTTGCATGTAGGAGCGAAAGTGTACGTTGAGCGTCGACGCGAAAGAAATACATAGAGACAACACAGAGACATTCATTATCTATTAATTCATAATACACATCCTCGACACTTTTTAAAATCATGTCTTGCTTTCAGCTAGTCAGCTTCATCGTCAGCCATGCCGCGTATAGTGAGTGATAGAATAGCTCAGGTACAAAATTTTGTCCTGACCATGTCACACCATTAGCCTTTTTTTTTTTCTCAGAACTTATAAAATTGGCTGGTTGAACTTTTCCCCCCTTTCGTTTCTCACCCCTTTACCAACATGGCTGACTACGGTGCTGTTCCTACTCACGATGCTGAAGAAGCTCAACAACCTGCTTCCCAAGAGTCACATTCTTGCTTGGTTAACTTGAAGAACAAGATCTTGCATCCTCGTCACCGCAAGAGTGCTATTGCCGCATGGGTCGTTGTTTTAGCCATCACTGCTACTATTGTCATCAGTCTTCACTACAGCTTCTTGCCTGACACTCTTGACCCTCATCACGGCGATGATGTCAACGCCGTCTGCCGTTCTGACAGAAGCTCTTTCATTGCCTTGATGCTTTCCATCTTCTTGGGCCCACTTGGCGTATGTAGTGATTAATGCAGGCAATATGGCGCTGGTTGTATTTACTTACCATTGGGTTGTTTAGATCGATCGTTTGTACTTGGGCTATGTCTTTATTGGCATGTAAGTTATTTTTCCAAGTCCTATTTGACGACTAGTGGAGGCACATTTTATGCGCGATCTTAACTGAGTTTTTCTTGTCCCACAGAATCAAATTCTTGACTGCAGGCCTTGGCGGTATTTTGTGGGTTGTAAGTGTACCCTGGTTTCATAGACATTAGTAAGAGTGAGACCGTATTCACCTTTTCCATATAGGTTGATATTGTTCTCCTCGTCTTCGGTGACTTGCCTGATCACAATGGATGCTGGTTGCATTAAATCTCGCTGTATGTAGAGATTTTTGTTTTTACCTTTCGCGGAATATCACGTTATACCTTTGAGGTTACACTGGGGAGCTGTTCTCCTGATACCCAAGGCACGTTGACTCTGTGTGCCACTTGCTTTAAATAAAAGCGGGAATGCGGAATAACCATGCTCCATGGAACACACCACAGAATATATTTATTTATCATATCTTTTTGATCATATCGTTTGACAAGTGTATGGTGCTGTCATGTTTGGTAAAGGGATGCTACTGTAAACAGACACCGCGAAGATGCCTGTTTGTTTAAACCCCCCGGCTTGCACTTGCGAAATTCAACAAAGGAACAACAAATAAAACATAGAAAAAACAGGGCTCGCCGATATGTCGAAAATATATTTCCAGTTGTCCTGTATGGATGTTCGAGGTCGGATAAATCAAACATATGACACATTTTAGACAATATATGAGAAACAATCGTGTCAACAATGGAAGTGATACGGCTGAGATTATAGAAGCTGATTTATGTATGGGATGACATCCGTTGATGGTTTATAATCAGGTTTCTAGGTGATAGGATGCCGCCATGATCCAGAGGGCCAAAAAAAATAAAAAGTGCCTTTTACTGATGCCATAGCACGTGCCGTCCCTCCCGTAGAGAATTGCAAATTAAACCGAAAATTTGTTAGCTCAGTGTCTCTCCTCGCCTGCTAAGCGGGGATGATAATTTCCGTCTTTGATACAAAGGCACTTATATATAGCGAATATCTTGAAAATAAAAAATGAATCAGGGCAGCCGTTATCGTAGCATCAACTTTTAAAACTTTGTTGGTCTCTTGTTAACATCATGGATTCTGTAGCTCCCCCAATGTATTATCCAATGCGTCCCAAAAACCCTCTGTTTCCGGTATTGAGGCCAATCCTACCTCTACCACTCAAAGCAAGGCATGCTATGGACAATACGGCAATGACTCAATCCATGCCATTCCCTCCCGGTACTCCTCCCAGGCCATCCAATTTTACAACAGCTTCTGACAGCCCTGTCGCATTCGGTATGGCTCCTTGGTCACCGGTAACGAACAGACAAGCGGACTACACTAATAAACCAAAAAGAAGACGTCGTTCTCTGCCATTTTCTTATTCGATTATGATCACACAGGCCATATTATCTTCCACAAATCACCAAATGACATTAAGAGATATTTATCTCTGGATTTCCACACGGTACCCAAATCTTTACAGTGATAGTGAAACAGGATGGCAGGTATGTTTTTCACAAATATTCCGTTTATTTACGAAGCAATCAAAATTAACACATTCGCCATTTCATAGAACACTATTCGTCACAATTTATCACTGAATCGCATATTTAAGAAAGTTCCACGACAGGATTCTGGTTTACCTGGGAAAGGAGGATATTGGACTATCGACCTTCAATATTTTGATTATGAAACTTTTCGCCAAAAGTCTTGTGTTGAGTCGACCTCGAGTGGGGATAGATACTCAACGGCTGCGTATACAACTCGGCCACCCATGCAGCGGGCACTGTTAGGCCAGATGCAGTATTCTTTATCGTCATATACGTCGAATATGTCTTCGACAAGCTCTTTGGCCTCTTCTCCACCTAGTTCTATGAAAGACTTCTTATCGTCACCAAGTCAAATGACTGATAAGCAGGGTGACTCTTCTGATAATGACAATGTCTATGATTCTGATTCACGACCAACTCCCATGAGTATCGATAGCCTCCTCAACTAGACAGTGTGTTCTTGTAATAAAAACGATATAGCTCATACATCATTTGCTTACCACTAGTTGTTGTGACCTTAACAAGACAATGACTTTGTATTGCGCATATAAATGGTTTTTAGGTACTCCAGAACCAAATTTCTCAAGTGTACAGTCATTTCTGTTATCCTACCACGGCCTAGCCTTGATGGTCGTCGCCCCAATGGCATAGTCATATGAACAAATATCTCCATAACATTATACGGGTCAATCCGCTAGTATAAACAAATGAACGCAGAAGTATGGTTGTTTTGAGGAAGCGTCTGTGTGTAAAGATTTTATTGGCGGCTATGGAAATGGGTTTATTCAATCTACTCCTTAAGCTTCTTGCTACCGCGCAACAAACCAGTTCTGGATTGGAAACACAAATGAACAATTAGTGTTTGAAATAAGGAAACAAGCACAATATAAAAAGGTACTAACCTGCGGGCGGCGATCAAACCGACCTTTTGACCAGCAGAGGCATCACGAGGAATGGTAGAGGCCTTACCAATATGTTGGTGGTTACCACCACCGTGAGGATGGTCAACGGGGTTCATGGCAACACCACGGGTTCTGGGCCAGCTGTTACGCTTAGCCTTGTACTTGTGGAAAGCACGACCAGCCTTGAGCAAAGGCTTGTCAATACGACCACCACCGGCAACGATACCAATAGCAGCACGGGCACCGGAGGAGACAACCTTCTTGGAACCAGAGGGAAGCTTGATACGGGTCTTACCGTCGTCACCGTGACCGATAACGGTAGCGTAGTTACCAGAGGTACGGGCAAGAGCACCACGGTCACCATCTCTCTCCTCAACGTTGCAGATGATGGTACCTTCGGGCATGGAGCCAACGGGAAGGACGTTGCCAACGGAAAGGGAGGCCTTCTTTCCGCAGTAGATGAACTGACCGGTGTACATACCTTCGGTGGCAATGAAGATTTGGGTGCGAAGACGGTACCTTTTCAATTGATATTTGTTAGGTTTAATCGAATGGATGTGATTAACAGACAGTAGCCAAGTACTTACTTGTATTGGTCGCGGAAAACAACCTATAGCGATACGGGGAGAGAGACGAGGAGATGTTAGTTAAGCAGGCGATGTTGAAAAGGTGAAAATGGACAAGCCCTTGGGTGCCATCAACTTTTTACCGACTTGTTGCCCATGGCAGCCGGATTCTAACTCACCTTGGCGAGGGGAGCACCACGACCGGGATCGTGGATGATTTCCTTGACGATTCCACGAACGTAGCCGTTGCGTTCAGCGTAGTCGAGGGATCTCAACTTAGCAGCACCTTTGCGGTGGGTGGTATGGGACTTGAAAATGCCACCAGACTTCCTCTGAGCACGGATAACGCGACCCATTTTAAAATAGCTGAAAGGTTGAGCAAATCGTTACAGAAAAAGTCGATAGTTGTAGGTTGAAAATTGTAAAGAAAAAAATGCTTCGTTAGTACTAAGCTCGTGAATTCGGTGTTCAATGTAACTGGCATGACACAAATTACGACATGCGAATGAAAAATGATTCGCAGAAATGTCAGACGTTGCATCAATTGATCCATCGATGCATCCATCCATCAATTGATCCATCGATGCATCCATCCATCAATTCCATGCCGATAGTTGCTGTCTTGCCATGGTGTCTTTCATACGTACAATGAGGATAAAAGGGGGTTTCTGAATTTGCTGCTGTGGATGGGTATTTGAAGCCGCCCGCCTTCACTGGGCCTGACGGTCAATTACCATTTTAGGCAATTTTCAAGACAAGGCCACAACATTATATCACTTTGCCATCAGACAACAACGCTATAGAATGGGTGAATAAGAAATGGAAAACATGATCAAAATTTGGAGAAAAGGACATTCTATATTCTGCTAATGTGTAATGGACTCGTTAGACCATCGTGAAGTATAACCATATCCATCGGTTGAAATGGCAACCATAGGTATAAGCGTAAACCCGCACATATACAATCATCACTTGCTATCTATTCATTGAGTAAGGAATTGTAATTTTGTATCTGTAAAATAGGTTGTCTCGCACATATCTTCTAGCATGCCGTTGCAGTCAATTTGTGCCTTTCGTGGCCGGTACCTATGGGACTGCTCTTTTGAAAGTCGACCTTTTTTTTTTTTTTGCTAGGATCGAGATCACTTTACTACGAGAAATCGACAAGCATACATGGCAAAAGGTCGCTCCTCAGCAGTTGGTAGAAGCTCAAAGCCAAAGACTCAAGCTAAATCACGACCAAGTGGATTATCCTCGAACAAAACCTCCTCGAAGAAAAGCAGAGAATCCGTGAAATATGGTCAATTGAGTCGAAAGGAAAAGACAAACCTCGAAGAATATGGTGAATTAGCACCAAAGGATCTCGATGAAGAAGAAGAAGAGGACGAGCTTGCTGGAAGGTAAGTGCAAGCGATTTATCTTTTACACTACGATTGCATGTCATGCTGACATAAAAATGGCTATAGGCACCTTCGTAAAATTGTTAACGAAGAGGATCTGGACGAAGATATTCGAAAGCGCAAATTCGAAAACACCGCAACGTTTGACGATGATGATGAAGGTGATGATAGCGACGATTGGCAAAAGCCCACTGCTTATAGCAAGCTACTCGGCATTCTTCAAAAGTCATCTAAAAACCAGGATTATTACAAGCGAGTCAAGTTGGAAGAGGAAGGTTTAGAAGATCAAGAAGATGATATGGACGAAGAAGAAGACGATGAAGATGAAGACGCAGAAGAAGAAGGTATGTATTGCAGGTATTCAATGGTCCAATTCGTAGGTGCATTCTATTGACAGCTGGGCCTTTCAAAGTGCTTGAACTTACTGCGGAAGAAGAGAAGCAGCTGCAAGAAAAGTATGGTGATGATTATCTCACTGCACTCGACCAAGATGGTAGTGCTGACGAAGATGGTCTTGACGGCGAAGACGAAGAAGATGCTGAAGTCGAACAAGAGCTTGACGAGGAATCTGAAGTTGAAGATGAAGCTGAAAATGAAAATGAAAATGAAATCGAAGATCAAGAAATGGATGAGGGAGGTGTTAGTGATATTGATGACAGCGACAATGAAGAAGAGGGTATGTATCTTGAAACCTTCATGTCAATTTCTGCAAAACTAATGTATGAGTCTAGGAGACGCTAGCAAACATCATTTCGGAGATGAACAGACTCAAAAGATTGGCGAATTGATTACCAAGGTCGAAACGAAAGCTTGGACAACTCAAACTATAGAAGACCCAATCCTAAAATCAGTGACTTCCTTCACCGTATCGGATCGTTCTACTGCCGCCTTGCAACCCCCAGCCAATTACAAGACCTTGGAAGATTTTGGAGTGAAGCACAGATTGCACAAAGCATGGCCCAAGGTGAATGAGGACTGCATTGATACTGAGGACGAGATTATGACTCCTCTACAAAAGTCACTCTTCCATTCTTTCAACCAATACCGAGATGTTGCCTACTGCAATCGTGATATCGACAATGCTAAGGAAATACGCAAAGCCTATGCGCTTCATGCACTCAACCATGTTTTAAAAACAAGAGACCGAGTCCTGAAGAATAACGAGCGTATCTCTAAAGCGCAAAAAGCAAATCGCGATATCGAAGAAATGCGAGATCAGGGCTTCACTCGACCAAAAGTGTTGATTTTGCTGCCTTTCCGAAACACAGCAGTGGATGTTGTCACAGCTCTTATCGAACTTTCAGGTAGTGAGCAACAGGAGCACAAGAAGCGTTTTTACGATGAATTCAACCTTCTGGAAGAGGAGGAAGAAAAGGCTGATAAGCCCATGGATTACCAGGAAACGTTCAATGGCAACATTGATGACCATTTTAGACTTGGTATCAAATTCACGCGTAAAACAATGAAGCTTTATTCCGACTTTTACAGTGCCGATATAATCATCGCCTCTCCGCTGGGCCTAAGGACCGTGATTGGAGCGGAAGGTGACAGGAAAAGAGATTTTGATTTCCTGTCGTCTCTCGAAGTCATTATCATGGATCAGACTCAGCAGTTCCTAATGCAGAATTGGGATCATATAGATGTAAGCATTTATGATAACTGCGTGCGGTACCGTCAAAGTGATTCAAATCTAACTTGCTCGTCTCATATTAGCACATCTTGGAGCATGTAAATTTAATACCCAAAGACGCTCATGGATGTGACTTTTCTCGCGTCAAGAGTTGGTATTTGGATGGAAGGTTAGTACTTGAGGTATTACATGGAATTTTACTCCATAGCTAAAATGTCATTTGCAGAGCAAAGTACTTGCGACAAAACCTTGTGTTCGCAGATTTTCTAACTCCAGAGATTAACGCTATGTTCAACAAACATATGAAGAATGTTGGCGGCAAACTGAAGATCAAGCAGTCATATGAAGGATCAATGATTGATGCTATAGCACAAGTCCCACAGGTATGTCGTGAACGATACGTAAATGTTTTTAATGAGCTGTCTTTTAATGGGATTTTTTGTTGTTGTTGTTAGACATTTGTTCGTGTGGAAGCACAGTCATTGGCCACTGCAGATGACCTACGCTTCAAGTATTTTGTGGAAAAGGTATGTTTTTAGTGATATCATTTTCCCAGGTATTTTTCTTCTGGGAAAAAATAACTGAAACTTTATTCAATACCAATAGACGCTACCAACGTTACAAAGATCAGCCATCACACAATCTCATACGTTGATATTTGTTCCATCGTATTTCGATTTCGTACGGTTACGAAATTACCTGGAGGATAACAAGTATTCGTGCGCGCACATTTGCGAGTAAGTGTGATAGTATTTTTGACCAGCGTTGAGTAACCTTGAGGTGACTTACACGGGACCCGTCGTACACTTTTTTTTTGCTAGATACACGCCCACTCCGCAAGTGTCGAAAGCTCGCTCTGATTTTTTCCATGGCCGCGCCAGTTTCGTATTATATACTGAACGTTTCCACTTTTTCCGAAGGTACGTTAGTTTCTAATCGTTTTGTCAAATCCACGCGTTGAACTTGCATTAATCTCCCATGCCCTTAGATACAATATCAGAGGCGCTTATCACGTCATATTTTATGGTCTACCTGATCATCCGCAGTTTTATACCGAAATTGTCAATTACCTTGCTTTGAAAGCGGATGCTAGTAGTGCTGAGGAAGCTACATTTTCTTGCAGCGCTTTATTTTCCCGATACGATATGCTGAAATTAGAAAGAATCGTAGGCACCGACCGAGCGCGTAAGATGTGCTCTTCTGGAAAGAATTTATTTGTGTTCTCATAGAAAAGTACAACAAGTTTAGAATCACTTCCCATCATCGAAAAGCATACATATCATAGACGGCATCCTTCATCGTCGATAATAATAATAAAAAAAAAAAAATAGTTCGACTGTGACTGCTCACCAAAGTCAGCGATCAGGGACATTTCTGACGCCCGCTCTGCTAGACACCTTGTGCTCGATACCCCGTCCTTCTCGAGATTAGCTTACCTTCTTTGTGCATCTCTGCTTTCTTTCAAAACCTTTGATTGGCACTTACGCACCAAAATCGGATTTCATATTTACGTATCTCATTCCGTTACGTTCAGCAGTCTATCCATTCGACTTTGACGTGGCACATCCAACTGCAATCGGTTTCAAACTGACTAATACTTCTCCCGGATTACAACGTGGAACTGCTTACGACTGGAGCATAATCAAATTGTGTCATAGTAGCGTGATTAATCTGTAATTATATACATTTGCAATGGGCGACATCAAGAAGGAAGGTTACTTCTCTGTCAAGGAAGACGGCCTTAGAGCATGGATGTGGTCCAAGCGGTACGGCATATTGAGGGATCAAACCTTGACACTGCACAGAAACGAGGTATGTTGTAGAGTAAATGGAGAGCGAGGGAAGACGAAGTAATACCCTTGGTTATTAAATTTCCTTTTCTCCTTGTCAAAAAGCAATCTGGCCAATGTATTGCATTGATATTTCTGAAGGATGTGAAATCCGTTGATCGCAGCGAGACAAAAACCTATTCCTTTGACCTGGTTACAAAAGACAAGACGTACTCCATAGCCTGCAAAAGTGATGAGGAACTGTATTCTTGGATGGACGAAATATACAATGCAAGTTGTCTGGCTATATATAAAATTCTATTCCATGCTATTTTGTACTAACGCCACATTGTACTGACCATAGCGATCTCCCCTCGGAGCATCTGGACCTACAAATTTTGTACATCGAGTACACGTCGGTTTTGACCCTGTCACTGGGGCCTTCACGGTAAGTCGCTATTGAATCGCTAAACAAGGCAATGTTGGACCGGAATGGAAAAAGAAGCTAAACTGGCGCTAAATTGCAAACAGGGTTTACCCGCGCAATGGAATGCTCTCTTGAAAGGATCCAAAATTACTGCCGAAGATGCTGCTAAAAACCCACAAGCGGTATTGGAAGCACTGGAGTTCTATACTGAACAAACAAAACGAGAACACGACTTTGACATCGAACCATCCAGATCGCCTGCAAGCCCGGCACATCGTTCGCCTGATATTAGAAAGCCATCAAGTGAAAGACGCTCTCCATCTCCTTCTTTCAAAGCTACTAGAGCAGCTCCTTCACCACCATCTTCCAGATCCGACCACTCACCTAGAAGGCCACCACCACCGAGGCCAGTGCGTTCTAATGATTCGTCAGTATCAGATGTGAGTAACCAATCCAGCGCCAGCCTGGAAGGAAGAATGGCAGACATGTCAATGGATCCACGAAGCAGTTATACTAGATACCACACCCCCTCGTCTCGAGGAGATCCTAGTAGCAAAGATACCAGTGACATTCAGGTAATGTCACCTTCCAAACCTCGATCCCCACGGTCCCATAGTCCTTCGTCATCCAGTAGTTCTGCTTCTCGACCTCGTCCACCATTGTATCCAAAGGATATATCTCGATCAGGATCGACCGCTTCATACTCCCATGGAGCTGCTGTTATACAAAACGCTATGGCTCGCTCTAACAGCCAACGTGGTATTTCTCCTGGTCCATCTTCATCAAGCGAGCGAAGCGATCGACGTGAACGAGAACGGGAACGTGATGCTATGGAAAGAGAACAGGAAAGACAGCTGAGAAAACAAAAGGAACGGGAAGCTGAGCATCGTGCACGGGAACTTGAAAGAAGACAGCAAAAGGAGCGCCAGCGCGAGCGCGAGCGAGAACGGGAACGAGAGCGAGAGCGCGATAGAGAAAGAGAGAAGGAACCTAGCCGCACACCTGCTCCCGCTGCTGATAATAATGCACCGCCCGCTGCTAAACCTGTCGGTCGAAGACAGAAGGCGCAACAAATGAATGACGCTGAGATCATGGAAAAGCTTCGTAAGTTTTGGTTTTTTTTTCTGATTGACTAGCGCCGGTGCAATTGTTTGTTAATATGCGATTATTACTATTGCAGAAATGGTCGTATCTCCTGGAGACCCCAACTTGCAATACAAGAAGAGCAAACGTGTTGGACAAGGGTAAATTGAACATTTGCGTACAACATCATCTGCCTTTTGCTCACTCTTTTGTTGTGTTGTTATAGCGCCTCCGGTTCCGTTTATCTTGCCACTCAGTTATCCACTAGCTTGCGAGTCGCTATCAAACAAATGGATCTCGCCCATCAAGCCCGTAAAGACCTTATTATGAACGAGATTGTCATTATGAAAGAATCCCATCACAACAATGTGGTTAACTTTTTGGATTCATTCTTGCTGAATGGCGACTTGTGGGTCGTTATGGAATACATGGAAGGAGGAGCCTTGACCGATGTGATCGATAACAACGAAATGACAGAACCTCAAATTGCATCAGTCTGCTTGGAAGTAAGTTATCATGCAAAGGACGCATCATCCTCACCTCGGATGGCTAATCTCTGACCTCCCGTTAACACTAGACTGCCAAAGGCTTGGATCACTTACATCAACATAATATTATTCATCGTGATATCAAGTCTGACAATATTCTATTAAACTTTTATGGCCAAGTCAAAATCAGTAAGTAGTAACCTTTGTAGTCGCCTATGACGCCATTCATGTACTGATGGATCCCGCAGGCGATTTTGGATATTGTGCAAAACTCACTGATCAAATGAACAAACGTGCTACTATGGTTGGAACACCGTATTGGGTAAGCATCATCATTTAAACGGTCAATCACTCTTTGTAATATGGACACTCTGACCAGAACATTGTTCATATAGATGGCACCCGAGGTTGTGAAACAAAAAGAGTACGGCGCAAAGGTTGATATATGGTCACTGGGTATCATGGCCATCGAAATGATTGAAAATGAGCCTCCTTATCTGGATGAGGAGCCATTGAAAGCACTTTATCTTATTGCTACAAACGGCACACCTGTTTTGAAGGCACCTGAAGTACTCTCAAACGAACTTAAAGGCTTTTTGGCTGTGTGCTTGTGTGTCGATGTGAAAAGCAGAGCCAGCGCAGGAGAACTACTAGAGGTATGTATTGACCCGCCCGTCACTAGCTAGATATCTCGTACTCTTTTAACTCACTATCTGTTTTCACTCCAGCACCAATTTTTGAGAAAGGCGTGTCCACCTTCAAATCTTGCCCCTCTGCTCAAGTTCCGTAACGCTTAAACATAGATGGCTAGCGGCATGTGCTCACTACAATAACATATATTTTTGAATTGGAATGAAATCGTAAAAGAGAAAAAAAAAAGTGACTGGAAAATTTACAATTAGGTTGCTGCTTGAAATTACATTAAGCGCGATAGCTTCCTGGGCGTGCAGTATGCTTTGCCTTTACCCGGATGCTGGTGATGGATGGTTTAGCGGTGACGACAATGTGAACAGCCGAGTTGTTCCTGGTCTGCGTTTTCAAGTCTTCCTCCTACATCATTGCCAGTGAGCATGCGATTGACGGGCTAAACAGCATTTTGATGGCACTTACCATATCTTCGGGTATGATGTCGTCCACCAGCTCAACTGTTCCAGTTGTGCATTTCAGCTCCACTTGATCGCTCAATTCCACCTGTAACTTCAAAGCAAGTTGGATCGATTTTTCTATGCTTGCACCTAAACCGTGTATCGTGATGCTTGCACATCTTTTTGGAGAGATCAGTCGGTATACTGTTAAATAATGAGACCATCAAAGCGTTATACAAACTCTTGTAATAGAAGCAGCTTCTTGGCTCTGGCAAGTTGTGCAGCGAACGAACTTTTGTTGGAAACATATATATCTGTGGGTATTGTTGCTGGTCTTTGTGGAGTCCTTTTTTTCAATTCTCCTGCAAGGTCATAGTGAAAAGTTAGAGACGTTGAATGGCGATATGAAAGATCGTCGACTCTAACACGAAACACGTAATGTGATCTCAGGTGAAATGCAGTGCCAACGGAATGTACTAATATTGTCTCGATCGAGTGCATACCTTCCAGTTTGATCCTTTTCGTTGGTGGATTCCGTGAATGATCTCGATCTGGCGGCATGACTGAAAACTTCCAGTCTGTCCAATTCAATTTTTTTTTGGCAGGTAAGGAAAAAAATCTGAATGGATTTTTTGCGCAGCCTAAATTCTCCATTGAAAGTATGTATTGTTGGCTCTTCGAATTCTCTTATGGCAGGAAGTGGAATCCTACCATATGTATGGTTAGCCCGCCAATGCTTTGTTTAAAATGGTGTACTTCAACTACTTCAATAATCACCAAATTCGCAATACTAACGGTATGGTGAATTTATCAGCTAAAAAAAACCAACCCAAAATGTGCTTGAATATCTATCTAATGGGAGATGTCGGTAGTTAATACCTCCATAAGAATAAGTGTTGCTTTACACCATTCAGTTGTGAGAAATAATCTAAATAGCTTATATATAAATGCTTCCCTAGGTGCTTATATGAGGTTGCTACGATCCGTGCTTTTGTCGGTCCAATCCAGACCGTAGCGGGAGGCTGGGGGTTCGTAGTTGTTTAGAGCGTCCTCCACCTCGTCAACCGAGTTACAAACTACAAAGATATCCTTATTGTTGCCACTGATGAATTTTTCTGCAAAATCAAAAAGTTAGTTGGGAAATTCGATTGGGCTTCTATAGATACAAGATTCTTACCGCCAGCACAATGGTTGATCCATTGTGTGAATAGATCGTAGTAATTATTGGTGTTCAGCAAAATGATGGGTTTGGAGTGAATGTTCAATTGAGACCATGTAATAACCTCCAACAGTTCTTCCATCGTACCAAAGCCACCGGGAAGAGCGATGAAAGCGTCACTCTGTGAAAAAAAAGTTAGCAAATTCACATTGGTAAGGGTTATTAATGCAAGCCCTGGGGTACCTCTTCGCTCATCATTTGCTTGCGAGTGTGCATATCAGGAACGATGACCGTCTCGGTGAATTGGTTGCTACCATTTCGGTAGAGTGGAACAGGAACAATGCCTTTGGCTTTGCCGCCGCCTTCAACTACAGCCTTTGCAACAGCACCCATTAAGCCGACCTGTCCTCCTCCTGTTGACAATCACAGACAGTCCACATTATTATACAGAAGCTAACTCATAATTCTTTACAAAATGAATTTCTTACCATAAATGAGACTATAGCCCTTCTTAACCATTAAGTTTCCTAGAGCTGTTCGAGAACATTTAGTTGTTTTGCAAAATGTAGTCTCTGGGTGAATTGCATGTTCCAACATGGTACTCACCATTTGCTTGCTCGAAGTAGGACGAATCAACACTTTCATTTGCTCCACAGAACACACATATACTCTTGATAATTTCTGGTTTGGGTACCGGTTTGGTTAACGGAGGTAATGGCATGACTGACTTCTTAAACAACAAGGTCTTGTGAACAGTGGCCTTTTTCTTAACAATTGGTATCTGGAGTTCTGGATATCATGACTCACTTTGGAATGCCGCAGCAAAAATGTTATAACAAAAAACTAGCCTAAAACTGCAGGTTTGACTTTTTGTTCGGCACCATGTTTGTAATTATTGGAGCCACAGGACAAGTTGGTAGCCATGTCGCAGAATACTTGCTTGAGAGGGGCGAACCTGTCAAGATCATCGTGCGAAACATCGAAAAGGCGCAGAAGCTGAGTCAATTAGGTGCAACTGTACACGTGGGCGACATCGACAACCCTCTAGATATTGAGTCTGGATTCAAAAATGCCGATGCGGTGTATCTAATGGATCCGCCTGCATACCACGAACCAAACGTTGAAGAAATTACTCGAAAGAGAATGACGACTTTGAAAGATGCCATTGTTCATAACTCTGTGAAGAAGGTGGTTGTCTTAACTTCTGGTGGCGTACACAACCGCCATCTCGATATTGGCAATTTAAAGTATGCTCAAATATGGGAAGATGGTTTCAAAGAACTCACAATGCCTGTGACCAGCCTTAGGCCAGCTTGGTTTATGGAAAATTGGACTCCTGCTATTATGATGGCTAAGGAAAATGGTCAATTTCCAACTATGCTACGTTGTTTGGACAGGTCGATTCCTCAAATAGCAGCCAAAGACATTGCCAAAGTTGCAGCCGATATCATGGAAAGCTCATGGTCAGGATTCCAAGTTGTTGAACTGGAAGGTCCACAGAAATATTCAGTCCTTGATGTTACCAACGCTCTCTCCAAACATCTAAAAACAGATGTTCATCTAAGTGTCATTGAACGGGACCAATTACCGTCGATGCTTTTGTCCATCAATACGCATCCTAACTCTATCGATGGATGGGTTGCTATGCTGGATTTTACAAATGATATTCCACAACAGTTTGAGCATAGCGAGGAAACTGTCAAGGGGAGTACCACAATTGATGAATTTATTTCTTCGGTTCTTGGAGATTAGCAGAAACATGTTGACATAGTACCCATATCTTGGTATTCATCATCTTTTCTTATAAATATTATTTTACGCTTTCTCTCTATATTCTGCTTAGTTAGACGATAGATGGGACATTCGGTCCAGCAGGGCTGGCAATTTCACAGTATTGATTTGGACATCCGACCCCATAGCAGTGACTGACTTAGACACTGCCCAAAAAAAAAAAAAAAGTATCAAAGATCTGCTTCAACCCTCACGGCGAATCACCAATGCTGCGACCAATTGCGAGGGTCGCCCCATTTCACGCAGGATCTTCAACAAAATGGAAGCTCATACCGAGCATTCGCTGCTTTTCTACTACATTAGACAGTATACCGAGCAAGAATGACTTTGACGTCGTCGTCATTGGAGGAGGACATGCTGGAGCCGAAGCCTGCGCTGGAGCAGCAAGAGCTGGCGCAAGAACGCTTTTGATAACCCAGAATCCAGATACCATTGGTAATTAATGTCAGGATATTGCATTTTGTCGAAAATATCATTATAACCCACCGATTTTTTTGAAACAATGAAAGGTGAGATGTCTTGTAACCCCTCGTTTGGCGGAATTGGTAAGGGCATCTTGATGAGAGAAATAGATGCCATGGATGGGCTTTGCAGCAGAGTATCAGGTACGTATTGATTTCCGAGAGCCAAAAACAGAGCAGTTTTAGATGATAATCACATTCGTCTATAGATTTGTCTGGTATTCAATTCAATGTCCTTAACAAGTCCCGAGGACCAGCAGTTCATGTAAGTATTTCGCCATGGCATCAACGACAGTACAATGAAGCTGATTGAATTATGTAGGGACCACGAGCGCAAATTGATCGCAAGATTTACAAGCGACATATGCAGCATATTCTTAAGGACTATCCCAATCTCACAATCTTATCTGGAAGTGTTCACGATCTGGTTATCAAGAAGGGGGCATTAGGCGCAGATATTGCAAATGGCGACATTGGTGCAGAAGTTGGTGGCGTAACATTAGGTATGTCAATGTAAGGGTTGCTGCTTTGTGTCCCTATCGTTGGACTAATTTCAATTTTGCAGAGGATGGAAATACCATAACGGCGTCAAAGGTCGTCATCACTACAGGAACTTTCTTGGGAGGAGAAATTCATTTAGGTATGTATGGTTTTCCGTGCAAATCAAATTTCACATTTCAAAGTGAGTTCTCACGTATGCGTACTATAGGATTGAAGGTGTGGCCAGCCGGAAGAATTGACGAAAACCCGTCAATTGGATTGTCAAACTCACTGAAAGTTGCCGGGTTTCAATTAGCCCGTTTGAAAACAGGTGAGTGATATGGTCAAATGATAACGTACAAGGGCAATGTCTTACGTTGATTATGATGTACAGGGACACCACCTAGACTAGACGGCAAAACCATTGACTATAGCGATCTTCAAGTCCAAAATGGAGATAACCCACCAACGCCTTTTTCATACCTTCATGACAGTGTACCCTATGCCAACGAACAAGTCCAATGTCATCAAACAAGAACGAATTCGGATACCCACAAGATCATAGCAGATAATTTTCATCAATCAATTCATATTCGTGAGACAGTTAAAGGGCCACGCTATTGTCCATCTATAGAATCCAAAATTCAAAGATTCACTCAAAAGGAATCCCACATCATTTGGCTGGAACCAGAGGGCTTCGATACAGACTTGGTTTATCCCAACGGCATTTCCAATACCATGCCAGAAGACATCCAATTGAAGTTTTTACGTACCATCAAAGGGCTGGAAAATGTAGACATGGTTCGACCAGGTAAGTACCAATTGTTGTATGCTGTAAGCATATTGCTCTTTTCTCATATTATCTTCAGCTTACGGCGTGGAATACGATTATGTTGACCCACGTGAGCTTCGTTCAACGCTTGAAACAAAGCGTATCAAGGGTCTTTACCTTGCTGGACAAATCAATGGAACAACTGGCTACGAGGAAGCTGCAGCTCAAGGTATCATTGCTGGCGTAAATGCTGGTCTTTCGTCACAAGACAAAAACCCATTGATTCTTGATCGAGCAGACGGATACATTGGTGTTTTGATAGACGATCTTATCACCAAAGGTGTAGAAGAACCATACAGAGTATTCACTGCAAGAGCAGAATATCGACTTTTGCTTCGAGCAGATAATGCAGATACACGTTTGACGGAAAAAGGTAACGTGTCGAACCCGTTACGAATCTCGCATGGAAGCAAACACTTTCATTGTCTAATCCTTAATATTACATTCAGCTCACCATGCTGGAATCGTGAGCAAAGAGCGATGGAATCGATTTTCGGCTTCTAATCAAGAGCTCAATGGTGCTTTAGAAGTAATGGAAAGCACTTCACTTTCTCCTGAGAAATGGTCAAAATACGGTATTAATGTCAATAGTGATGGTGTCATGCGCAGGTTTGTGTGAATAATGTGTATTACGTCGGATACCATACTACTAGTGGACTCACTCGTTGCCTTTAGTGCGCTGGACCTCCTACGATGGCCAAATATTACGGTTGAAAACTTCTATGAACTCGTCCCTCAACTAAAGCATTTGTCTCCAGAGAGCAAAAAGAGAGTGGAAATTGAAGGTGATTTAACGGGAACCCCAGACTACTCTATGCTGAGCTATATATTGACTTGTTTTTACTCCACCAGGTCTTTATAAACCGTTCATAAAAAGACAAGAAGTAGAAGTTTTGGCGCTGCGCCGTGATGAGGACATTTTACTCGATGTCAACATGGATTATAGCGGGTAAGCAGACCGTCCATTTGCTCAGCAGTACCATGTCATATGCTTACATATTGCTAATGTCTCGTTTGATGATAGCTTGAATAACCTTTCCAATGAAATCCGTCAAAAGCTTGCTATCGTTCGGCCGGAGACCCTGGTATGGAAAGTTGGGCTGTTAATCATATATTGTTAATTAGTTACTGACACTTTTCAATTTTGGGTTGCAGGGAGCAGCAAAAAGAATTGAAGGAATGACGCCAGCCGCCGTCTTTGTTTTGCTGAAACATGCGCAACGAAGCAGCTCACGATCTGCTAAATAAATATCATACGGATAGCATATTTGTAGAGACACTAGAATAAATGTTTGTAGAATAATTGGATACTACACAACCAGTGAGTAGCCAGTATATGGGGTTTGAAATGAATCGTAGCCATGCTGGTAATCGGTTTTTGTGACTGCCAATGGAAATTTCGCTACTGGCTGTTGTTTGCCCGTCAGCTTGCTTCACTGATCCAACTCCATTCACAGCATGTCGCCAGCAGCAACAAAGGCGAAGAAGGTCAGCAGTACGGCAAAGAAAGAAGTCAATGACAAGTCTAAAGAGTTTGAAGAATTCGAAAAGCTTCTCACTGATTCAGCAAAGCGAACAAGAGAGCTTTTCTCCACAGCTTACAGCCAAGCGGTGATGGATGAACAAGCAAGGTAAGCATCAACGTGCAAAAATGCCTAGATCACTGCAACACTAGCTCATTTCTTTCTCTTCCGTTAGTCAACGTGTTAAATTGACAACAAAGATTCACGATGAGTACGATGGGGTTCGAAAGTTGCCAGACGCATTGATCAAACAGCAGAATGAAGCAAAGAAAAATGCTACTAGACGAGCGGCCGGTCCTGCAGCACTAGCTAAGAAGACAACAATGGAAGAAGCTACTGAAGATGCAGATACTGAAATGGCTGATAGCTCTGTACAGCAACTCATAAATAGTATTCCCGAGAAATCAGACACGTAAGTTGGAATTCTCCTTTTGTTATGTTCACATATGGCCACTAAAGCCCTTTTTTCTCTTCCTTCCAACAGTGGTTCAGCCCAAGCTGGAACAGTAGCATTGAGATCGAATAATCCCTTCCCAGACATTCCAGATATTAGTGGAGGATCTCTTGTACGCCGAGCACAAGCAAGGGCCATTAAACCAGTTTGGCATGCACCATGGAAGCTTATGCGCGTTATTAGTGGCCATTTGGGTTGGGTAAGATCAGTCACAGTAGAACCTGGTAACAAGTGGTTTGCTACTGGTGCTGGCGATCGTACCATCAAGGTCAGTCATTTAATATTATTCTGTAGTTGTCAATTTCTGCTGCGTCTACTAAACCTATTCATTCACATATTAGATTTGGGACTTGGCATCAGGCACCTTAAAATTGTCACTTACTGGTCACATCAGCACTGTTCGTGGACTTGCTGTTTCATCTCGCCACCCATACCTCTTTTCGTGCGGTGAAGATAAAATGGTCAAATGCTGGGATTTAGAACAAAACAAGGTCATTCGCCATTACCATGGCCATCTATCAGGTGTATACTCCCTCAGTTTGCATCCTACATTAGACTTACTTGTCACAGCCGGCCGTGATGCCACAGCAAGAGTAAGTATCAGAAATTTGGATTGTAAGCAACCAATCGCGACGGTACTAACTAATTCATCTAGGTTTGGGATATGCGAACGAAGCATTGCGTTCACGTTTTGACTGGTCACACCTCAACGGTAGCGGATGTTAAGTGTCAGGAGGCGGATCCACAAGTCATAACTGGATCTATGGATAGTACTATCAGACTATGGGATTTAGCTGCTGGCAAGACAATGTCAACTTTGACGCATCATAAGAAAAGTGTTCGTGCTCTTGCACTACACCCTACAGAATTTGGATTTGCTAGTGGAAGCGCGGATAATATCAAGGGATGGAAGTGCCCAGAAGGCACGTTTATGCATAACTTTGAAGGCAACAACTCTATAATCAACACCTTGGCACTTAATCAAGATGGCGTTCTCTTCTCTGGTGGCGACAACGGTCAAATGGCGTTCCATGATTGGAGGTCTGGTCACCGTTTCCAATCTGTGGAGACCACTGTTCAGCCTGGATCGTTGGACGCTGAAGCTGGTATTTTCGCCAGTACTTTTGATCACACTGGATCTCGTTTGATTACGTGTGAAGCAGACAAGACGATTAAAATTTGGAAGGAAGACGAAGATGCCGTAAGTTCTTAGTCAGTATCTTTTTAATAAGCTGTAGGCCATGGCTAACATTGTTGTTCTCCCATAGACCGAAGATTCTTATCCTTTAGACTGGAGACCGACTATCAAGCGAAGACGATACTAAATAGCCTTTTGTAGTTTCACAGTTTTTGTTTTTCTTTTATTGGTGGCATTGAAATTGTTATGTACAAAAGATGATTGACTACTATTATGTTACAATGATGATATACAGTATGGTACCAATCAGACATGTTTGAGATACCCTGATCGTATAAGGGATTCTACATCTGTTCGTCGAACGTAGAATTGACTTCCTCGCTTCAGGTTCAGTACGCCGTATTCGGTCTGTACCTCGCCAGCATCTTTGAGAACGCGTACTTCGATGAAAAGATCGTCTGGTGGATCCAAACCAATACCGCCATTACCGCCCAAGTCTATCTCCATAAAATTTTGTTTATACGAAGTCATTAGCTCTGAGTAATCCTTTGCAAAATCGATTTCAGGGCCACTGAGAGCAATCCGATTGTCGCTGCTCAACACGTTGCCTTGATCCCAGATTATTTGCTTGATTCGATTGACGCGCTGGCGATGATAGGCCATCAGCACGCGCTTACTGCGCTTGACAGTCAGATGGTGCACTAGCACCGTTGTGATGGCTGATGGATTTTGCTGCAGTTCTGTTTTCATGTCGGCTTTGATTTTGTCAATGAGTGAACAGAGAAACCGAATCTCTCTGCAAATACTTCGGACAAGATCCTCATTGTATGGAGCGAGGATCTCCATTGTTCTCTTTGCCTCTTTTGCAAGCTTGTAAGCGCTGTCAGCAAACGTTGACATTGTTGCAAGATGGAGCTCGAATTGCTAGCAGCAAAGCGATTAAATTGAAAAACAACTGGACGCGCCAAAACTTTGATTATCGGGTCCAAAAATTTCAGCGGTTCCCAATAAGAAAGTCCTACACCGTGTAAGTAGTATGGAACAAAGTGGCTCCCTACAGACAGCCAAAGGAAAATACTAATGTACCACTTAGATAGCAATGCAGTTTCATTCAAGTGCTTCACTTTTGTAAGGTCAAGAAATGCTATCACGCATTGCAATAAGTACAAAGTGGAATTGACACAGTGAAAACGGGCCATTTGATTTTACAGCTATACAAGGAAGTAACGTAAATTCAAGGCTAAACGCGTCAGATGGAGGAAAGTGAGAGTATCTGGATGTATTCTCCTGTCACTTCTGCCGTTGCTGCAGGTATGTAAAAGTGCTTAAGTAAGGAAATAAGCAAAATGAATACTGACTTTTCTTGCGCGTGAAGGCGTTCAAGTTTTCGTGTGTATTGCTGTTATTTTTTCCACTTGTCTCAGTCAGCCGATAAAAAAAAAGGGGTGTCGATGCAAACCTGTATCTTCTATAGTAACGGACGGTCTTGACGTGCTAGTATCATGTCTACATATACATTCGTCACGCTGGTGGCATTGAGCTTCTCGTCTACTTTTTCACTGATTTGAAACGCAGCTAGAGGCACAGAAATTGTGAAAGGTGCTGTGCACCACTGAACATTTGGTGATTTATTTTGATCAAAACGAAAAAAGAAATAATAAAAATAACATCAACGGGGAGTTACAGACTATGCTTTCTGATATACTGACAAAGTACGCAAAAGAAAAAATTGAATAATCGCTCTTTTTAACCATTTGGATAGTCAGAACGGCTTGGAAATTGATCGGCAAAAGTTTCATAAGTCGCTAGCATGGTGTTAATATTGGATCTGGGTGGAATGACATTGGCGTATGCCCTCTTGATTTCCGACGGCATCTTATGGGTCACCCGGTGTGTCGTCGCACAAGCAGGGCACGACGGCGGCCTATAAAATCGGCTTGCAGTTTCCTTACCACACAAAATTGGATATTCCCTTCCTTTTCTTCTCAACGATAACTTTAACCATACAGCATCACTGAAGCTGGCCCATCTACATTCCTTCATCAAATCAATATCATGAGAATACTCGCTATAGTTGTAATCGCTATTACAACCCTTATGACTACGACGCTAGCACTCCCAGTGCTTGACAGCGACTTGGCGGCAAGCCCTTTTATTCACGAGCACGGGCGCTCCACCTCAAAACTAAGAAAAACCCACAAACAGAAGAAGTTATAGACAATGCATGACGCTGAGCGTTTTGAAACGACCACCACAACATATATATAAAATGTACATGAATTTTAGCTTAATTCAAATCCTGTGTTGGAGTGGATAGCTATGAGAAAAAACAAAATAAAAAACTTCCATCAGCATAATCTTCCACTGTGTGTCACTAAATGAATTTGAATGGTGTACGCTTTTACCTAAATGCAGCTTGTCCCGCATGACCGATTTCTTCGAATAGGCTTTGACAATTGAACAGATATGGTAAATTAGAATGTGATGTTTGTATTGCTAAGGAACGTGTGCATGGTCGATAGTTAACATACCCGGCAATTTTAATAGATTGAAGCTGCAAACAAAGGAGACAGCATGCTATTAGCAACCAAGTATGCATATCCACCATGTCGTTCATTTACCTACCATGTTGAACTACTTGGCAATCTCCCATCTTTAGAGTTGCCAGATGTAAACATGTTCTTGACATATTTTATGCCCGCTAAATTACTGTCTCCCGATATCGCTACGATTCGGATGGTAAATGGTGGTTGGAGATATTCAAAGCCACCTAGTGGAGGCTGAAAGTGACAAAACGATGGTCAGGTCCCACTTTGTAGGATCGGTTCCATTTGATAAAGCTTACCTTGGGTGAACTAGTAACAAACTTGAGAAACGCTCTTTTCTCCTGCGAGTTGAAGTCTTGCAATATTTGCCATAGCATTCGTATGACTGGATGTTGATCAAAGCCGCCATTCTGGTATTCTGTATGATTCCTAAGATCCGACACATCTAAAGTTTGGTTAATTAACAGCCCCATATTGTACTTTCGGGTGTTCAAGCTATAACTCGCGGATGCTTACCGAAATCGACATTTTCTCCAGAAATAACTCTACACTCAGACGTGCCATGTGTTGTTGAATTTTACCAATGCGCCAAGTACCAGATTTGAAGTAGAAGAAACATACCTTTGTAGTTCTGGAGGTGAGAAGATCCGAATCCATTGATCGGCAATGATGCTCCTAAATCTATCGACAGCAGCCATGCAAGTTAATTAACAAACAATTTACCACGCATAAGAAAAAAAAACCTTGTATCTACCCATCGATAAAAGCCTTGGTTTGCTCATGAATTCTTTGGTTTAACATGTAATCTGCCATGACATAAACGTATTCGATACGGTTGTCATTGGTGACAGATATGTTGCGCCCATTCTTCAAAATAAGGTCGTTTTTCAGAATCACCTGCAGTATTCTGGTGCTAGAAAGTTCACACTTACATATTTCAAGTCAACTGTTTTTTTCTCATTGAAGAAGTCCATATCGGCGGAAAAGGTCAGACACAAATCTTCTACATCGCCGTCATACCGCTTGACGAACCCCAAGTTTTTAGATACATCTGTATCGAGCTCTTGAAGTTGCTCCAAGAATACATTACGTCCTAGGATTCTCGCCAGAAAGAAACTAGCAAATTGCGCATCCACCAGAATTCCTTCATACACTGCCTTTGCTAAGACTTTTCCCATGAACCTAAATAGATCTAAATGATCACTTCCGTGAATGTAGGACGTAGGGGATGGGAATAGGAGGTTCTCAGTTGACGTGGCGGAAAAGAGGCCAAAAGCAGGCGAGAAAGCAAGGGCAATAAGCTGTGATATGAACTCTAACATTGCATTATCTTTAGTACTTTCTCTTTTCCCTGTTGTACACATTGAACAATACCTTTAAATGGGCCTCCCTGATCTATGCCTGCCTCCTCCGCGCCTGTGAACGATGTTAGCATTCAACAATGTTTTATCCAAAAAAGTTGGTGGCTGCTTGGATCGCCATATCATGGAAACTCTTACCTAATTCGTTAACAAACGAGACTCTGATATCTCCTTGCCAAGCTAGCTTTCCTTGCTGCGCTAGACTTTGGTATCCATCCTCCATCAAATATTGCCGACGAACCTTGATAAGACATTGGCGTCGAGGTGCCGATAATCGCTCTGAAGTAATCATGTCTCTAAAGATGTCCAAGCGAGTGGGAAACGGTATAGTGTGTGGCATAAGGTATAACACTCTCTTGGCAATGGGTTCATTATTTCGTATGCGGGCTAAGAACTGGGATGGCTGAGAGGGACGGAATCTGAAGGTAATTTGTTGTGGGAGACTGGCAAACGGTCTCGTAGAATCAGTTATAAGAATCCATGCAGCTGGGTTCTGGTACTGCCTACGAACATCTAGATCATAGAATTGCATGAGCAACCTTCTGACACACTGGAACTGTCGAAGTCGAGGCGGTACTGAGGCGCTCGTTTGGTCGTCTACTGGACACGACTGTATGAGGGCAAAATAAAACTCGTTCAAAAATGCAGCCAAATCACATAAATCTTTGACTTTGAATGGCGTTTGTTTTTCGAAGAAGTCGGAATCCTCCAAGGTCCTATTGATGAAATTCCATTAGCTACGAATAGGTAACACTACAACAATATGTACATGTGTGGCAACTTACTTGCATAAGATTATAGCTCCTTCGCAGAAACCTTTTAATGTATCAAGTAAAGCTTCAGCCTCAATGCGATCCATACTGTGCTTGGCTGCTTCAATATAAAGGGATAGACCCGCGTCTTTTGGACGGAATTTCTTCATCAATTTCCATAGGTGAGGTATTAAATGTTTAGTGAACGCAACCTTCGTCCACAGATCTTTGGTATATTCTGGGAACAATTCTGTCAGAATAAAATACATTCGAAATGCAGTCTCAGTGTCCATTGCAAGCTCGGCAAGCGGTTTTTTGCTAACACTTGATGCATCCTTGGCATCTGCGTTGGCTTCAGGTACTTCTCTCGCTTTCTTTTTGATAGGTGACGTCGAGAACCTAGATTTGAAACCAGAAGCTTGTCCAGTCCTACCAGAATCAGCGTCGTTGAATGATACAATGTCTATGAAGAGAGAATCGATAAACTGGCGGCTCCACAGATATTCAAGCTGGCCCATTACGGCTTTGTATACATTATTTGCAAGGTTGTTGTTTCGCTTTGCCTCAACTGAGCACCATGAAAAAATCGGATGATATTGTGAAAATCCTGATCTCTGCGTTGCAGATACAAACGGCTTGATCTTTTCTAACATGGTGGTTGCCATACTAGCCATATCAGACGCCTCCGGGAAATTGTCTATAGTGCTGCTGCGCAATATGAAAAGCTGATACATATTTGTCATATTTGCAACAAAGAACAAACATCCATCTCCGCCGAGTAAGTTACATAGCTCATTTGCCTTTGATCGCGCAAATCGTCCTTTTGTCACCAGTTGTAAAACCCCTTTGCTAGCAATGAGGTCTCGACAGTTCTTGTCCACTATACTCATTATGTAAGGGACCGCCACGATGTGAACAAGAAACTGATCCATTGCATTTTGCTGATTATTCATTTGATCGATCGTGTTTTCAAAAACAAATAATGCGCAGCGCACGACGGCAGTCAGCCAAAGCGTAATGCTGTTAACCGTTTTGCGGTCAGCTTCAGCGAGTATGCCTTTCGAGTATTTTGCTGCCTTTTCTCGAATCTTGATAACTTTCGAGCACCGATTAGATGCTCCGTTGTATATAAGAGGGTATGGCTTGATGTCGCCTAGGATGGCTTGCGAAATATCCTTGAGCTTTGGATTATAACCAGTCATTACCCAGTAGCCATCCAATATTTGCTCCGCGGAACTGAGGACATACGTTTTTGGGGACATGTACACCAAAAGTAGTCGAAGCTCAGGGCCAGTAAGGTATGGCGCGTCTTCAACGTCTGTGACTCTCCTCCAGCATGCATCCAGCGTACGTTGTAAGATATATTTTGCTTTGACAGAGTGTACGTTATCAGCTAGAAAGGCGTGAAAAGGAATTGTTCCATTTGTGGTTGCTGGTGTTCCTGCTCTTCTCATCTTTGTCAGAATGAGTTTACACACTTTTTGGAATCGTACTTGAGCAGCTGGTGGGGTGGGAGACTCTTTTCCATTCAAAATCCAGAACAAAGAAACGCATTTCCACAACTGCCCCGGTAGCGGTGCCATTTCGTTGTCCAGCTGCGAATGCTCATCCCAAATGTTCCAGCGTTCGACATCATACCATTCTCTTGACCGTTTCTTTGCCCTCCACCACTTTTGAACTCTGACAGCTGCTTGTGAGAGTGCTTGATCATCTTCTTTTTTCTGCCGCTCTTGCTCTCGCTGCAGTCTGGCTGCTTTATTCTTTTCAAGGAACGCTTTTTTGTTCCCGTTACCGGATTGAAACATGGTCAGAGATAAAAAAGAAATTCAAGAAATGTGTAACTCATTGTAGGTTTTATCAGCTTTGCATAAACTGCCTGTTTATGACATTTTCTTTAATGGTATTTGATCTCCTTCTTCTAAAGCACTTAGTTCTTTACTACTACGTCTTTGGGCTTGCTTGCCAAACTTGCGCGGTAAATATGTAGACGTGAGCGCCTCAGCTGATGGCTGTAATGTGTTGGAATCTGACTGTCCAGGAACCGTTACTAGTCTTGGCCAATCGACATAGCACTGACTGTTTTGAAGCATGTAGTGGAAAGTCGTGACTAGAAGCGAAAACCAAAAGGCTATGAACAAGCAAATTAAGGTTGTCGAGGCGATTCCAGAATAGCTTATCAGCATAACCCCAAATACACACATAATGGCCGAGAGTAAGACCACCAGTGGGACCTTGATACGATAATAGGTAAAAGTCAATAATGAGCCAGCTAAACGTTCAAGTACATCAACTTAGGCTTACTATATGAATTATCAAAGGTGTTTCCAAATTGTATGGACTATCCTCCCAAGAAGTTGATGATACTCGATACACACCCAAAGCTAAGTCGAACCCATCTTGTCTAGCGCCATCCATGTAATTGTTCTTGACGTATCGCATCAATGACTTGGTTAAATCTTCAAAAGCTCCAGTTTTCGTTCTCTTTCCCGTCCTATAGCCATATGATGAGCAATGCGATGTAAGGTGATGTTCATGAATCCAATATCAATCAACTTACCGGGTGTAGTCCGTTTTTAAAGCGCCTGTTCCAGAATAGCCTAAACTGATAGCATCGGCATTATCGGCCCACACTACGAATGCACACAAAAATGGCTTTAGTTTCGCATTAAGTAGTACTTTACGGACTGTTATATTACTTACCCTTTCGGTAGAGATGCATAAAATCAATCTGCTCGTCTATTTTTTCTCCTGGCCGTAATATCTGAAGCTGTTGTAATTGCCTGGATAATACCCATTTTGCAATTGCGCTCTGTACAACATTTGTTCTGTCCAGACAATCCATGCAATTAGATCTTACAACTGATGTTTGGGTTTTTTCAATAAAAGACTTGTGCGGATTTGTAGCGTTATAGTAGCAGTACCTGTGAATTGGATTAGATTTTCTTCATTGGAATTCTTCCAAACAAGGACTGGGCGACTTACCCTTGCTGTTCCAACTGACCCTCGATTTGATCGAGGAGGTTTTTAATGCGATCCCACCGCATTTTCCGGCATTCGTGATGGAAATCGAAATGAATATAAGTCAGACTTGGGTCCCCCGTATTCATTACACCTTGGGAATAAGCTTGTGCCAGGGGATACTCATAACCCTTCTTGTTCACGAGATTAACGAGTATTTGCGGTCCATATGTGGCGACCTGATCCTTGAAATGGGTTTTCATGGCCATGAGCTGCAAGACCATGTTAATTTTCTAATATGCTGTAATGGTGCTAAAAATCACAATGTCTTACGCTGTCATCTCCTGTATCGAGCCAAAGTTTTGGTGTATATCGCATATTTATAACCTGAGACCAAAATATAGGTATTGAACCACGCGTTTGGATATATGACATTTGATGTCTCCCTGTAAAGTCGTATCCTCCCACTGCATCTGAACCATCATATATCACAAGCTGTTCCGTCTCTACAAAATTCGAAACATTTCCATCCTTGTCTATACCGCGAGAAAAATAGCGTGTTCCTGCTCGTAGTCGACTTCTTCTCGATATAAGAACAAATGCGAATGGATGTCCATGAACTTGTGCTCTATTTATCGAAACAACTGTAGTGGTGTTAAGAGAAATTAATACATCTAGTATAAAAAGTTGTTTCTCTCGTGGCCAATACATACATCCTTGCACCATTGGTAAAATAAAGTCACTCATCTAGATTGGAAAGAGCATTGGGATGAGCTTTAGGGAACATCGGTATTCAGCGCTGATAACGCAGCACTTACGCTATAATTGTTGTCTTCCTGGTCATCTCCGTTCATCATTTTCTCGCACAGATAATGGTTCCAAAAAAACCTAGGATCCGCCTTATCAATCAAAGCCATTAGCAGATGAATTTGTGAGTGTACCGCATATATGAATTCCTTAGAGGCCCTTACCTGCTTCCAACCTGGATCCGGGGATGTAGACGCTTGACGTTGTAAGGATTGAGTAAGATCATATCCATACGAAAAATACATATTGTTGGTGTCAAAGTGATCCTCTAATTTTTGAAGGTATATGTTTTCCGCCTTTGCTTGATTTGGTGTCATGTTATTCCTTGTTATGGACACCACAGATACGGATTTAACGCGATAAACATCGGCATTTTTTATCGTTCCAGTACGCTCTCTATCCGTGATGACAATGACATATTCATCTGATGAATTTACCTAAGTAAGATGACAAAGCCAGGACTAACATGTTTAAAGAAGGGAAGTACTCACTGCTTTGTAGAGTGATAAAGCCGACAACACCATACACAGTTTTGCTTTCGACCACGTTGCTTGGCGGAGTCGAGCCACCTAGTTTTTTTTAGCTTGAAGTTAAAGTACAAGTGTTCCGTGAACAAGCTATCAAAAAGTACATGTAAAGTACCTTCAACCTTGATTTTGGACAACGGTATTTCTGCTGCGTCCATGTTATCGGTTGACGGACGAGAAATGACAAGTGTTTTTGGGATCTGGCCGTTATGGCCTAAATCTCGGACAATTCTAATGTCTTCATGCGCAATATGTCTGGCGGTCAAAAAAAGTAGGTGCAGAAGGGGTTATCGGTCAGAAATCAGCAACATGACGAAAGTCCATGATTATAAGTTGGCCTTACAATCTAAATTGTGGGCTATTTGTGAAATGGGCAGCCATAGTGGGAGAGGTACAAAAGCGGTAAAAAGTTGAGTTTGATTGTCTTTGACGCCGTGCGTCATAATTTTGGCTCAAAACGTTTGATACTAGCAGTTGCGGTAGTTTCAACACTATCGCAACTCAAGCCGAGAAATCAAACAACGTTACGTTCAAGGCTATTTACTAAGGATGGTTTATTATATACGTTTTGGACAAGTTATTGAAAATGGGCTACGGTACGCATTCGGTAACCGAACAATTTAGTTGTTCACGGAACAACGCGTGAATGTGTCTAAGTTCTAGTACTGAGCACTCATTTGCTGGCATGCCTTAAGGTTTTCTAAGTACCAGTGGCATTGTGCTACATCGTTGTTGTTAATTTCTAGGCATTTAGTGAATGCTTTTGCGTCTGCTTCGCAACTTGCGCCTCCAACAGATTGCTGTTGATAAGCTGGCTGTTGGTAGTCTGAATACTGCTGTTGCGGTACGCTCTGTGGCTGCTCTGCAGGCGGCTGTTCTCGGCTGCCTCCAAATAATGATGACGCTCCTCCAGTCTACGGAATAACGACTAAAAGTTAGACAAGACCCAGTCATGCCATTTTATCACGAACAAACTTACGATGGCGTGTCCAATAGAATGTCCTACAGCTACACCAGCTGCCGTGCTAGCCACTGCAAGGAATATGCTGTCAGTACTATTACTTTGACTTAATGGTGTCGTTCATCGATACTAACTTTGTCCAAACAAACCAGGTCCTTGTTGGGCAGGTTGACCAACTGCTGATGGTGGAGGTTGTGTCATAGCATGCTGCTGTTGCTGTTGAGGCGGAGGGGCACGGTTCTGTTGTTGCTGAGGTGGGGGAGCTTGTCTCGTGGGAGCAGTATGAGCCTGACGAGTTTGTTGAGCAGGTGCACGTGCGGGAGCAGAGCGTCTCTAGAAGTAGGCATTATTGGGTTAGTACTAGTTAATAGATTTATATAGGGCGTGTCAGTATAGACATTACTTGTTGGCGTGGCATTGTGAAAAGGAAAGGAAGAAGTGTTTAGTGTGGGCAGAATTGCGGAGCGCTGGCAATTTAATGGTCGTTTGTTGAAACCAAATTGAGTCAAAATGGCTTCCGATTCTAGCTGACAAAAAATTTTGGCCCCAGGATTACGTGGCCATCTCCTGCCACTGTTCTATTATTACGAGAGAAAATCGAAGATGGTCAAGTAAATAGGTAAAATAATAATTGACATGATATTGGATGAATCAGATGAATGATATGAGAATTTGTGCCTAGCTTTCTTCAGGAATATCTGCCTGTCTGGACATCTTCTAGCAAATTCTACATTTTTTGTAATATCATGAACGGCAACGTAATGCACTCCGGTATGACTCTACATCATCTTCCGTTTCATCTCCCACATCCAGCCTTAAACAATTAAAATCAACATAGTGCATTCCTTCAATACTCGACGACCAAGCATGGCAAATGGTAATTTGTTACCATTCGGTATACCGAGTATGGGCAAAAACAGAAAGAAAGATTCGTGTATCCGGCACATGGTCAATCATCAGCCCTGTGGCATTCCACAGCTAAAATGGAACATAGTAATATTGCATGTCAAATAAGTGTAGGCTAATTCGCCATATTTTATGAGTGATCTATGGTACAAATGATTGGCAAGTGACTAAAATACTTGGTCTAAGTAGTAACTTCTATTGCATTTGGACCTCGTCCGAGTTCACGTTACTGCGTCCCAAACCTCCTCGCTTTCCATTGTCAGCAGCGCTTACGCCTGCTGCAGCATCAGCCTGCACAAAATTGCGTTATTTAGAGGTTCATTCCTGCATTGCTGCCTGCAAATCGATTTAACACATACCTCCTTCTGTGTATAAGGCTCCTCTTGGGTTTTCTTTACTCTTCTCTTGTGAAGTTTTGACTTTTCGTGCTTCTGGAGAGTGTCATCGTTTGGAAAGTAACGGCTGAATATACAAAATTTTGTGAGAAAAATACTTTTGATTTACGAAAACCAAGTAATTGAACATACGCGCAGGGAACACAATAGTGTTGTCCAAGACCAGTTTTATCAGCATCAATTGGTTGATTCTTCATTTTTTCAATGTTGCCTTCCTTCAGATCTTCATGAATTTGATCTAAATCTTTGGTATATGCTCTTGTTCGGAATTTGCGAGAAATATCTCGGATTCCATGATGCGTTCTCGAGCGTCGAAGTCTAAAAAGAATGTATTTCATGTTTGAGTCTTGACATAGTACATAGACTACAAATACATTTGTCTACTGACCTTCCCATTTGGCACTAGAATAGAGACGAAGAGGTTCAGTCTCAAAAAAAAAAAAAAAGGAACTTTGACTGCGAAATTGGGTGGCCAATCAAATGGCTTTAATAACATTTGCCTGCCAGTCAATGACTGAACAGCAGGCTTTCCCTACTGTTCGGAATGAAAAGATCTCGCGATGTCACAATCGAGGAAGACGTAGAGTTCGACGCTCTTATAAGCAACAAGGACCTACTAAAGGGTGTTAAAGCTTCTGGATATGAACGCCCTTCACCAATACAGTTGAAGGCCATTCCGCTGGGCCGACTCGGTGTTGATCTCATTGCGCAGGCGAAATCAGGTACCGGCAAAACCGTCGTTTTCGGTAGCATAGCACTTGAAGGAATTGATCTTTCAGTACTAGATCCTCAGGTATGTGGTTATATTTTGTGCCTCGCATACAACTTTTTCTAATGGCATGTACTAGGTTCTAATTGTGGCTCCGACGCGAGAAATAGCCGTCCAAATAACTGAAGTCCTTCGAGTCCTAGGAGCTTATATGCCCAAGTTCCAGTGCCAAGTGTTCATCGGAGGGCTATCTGTTAGAAGCGACGCTGGTAAATTAAGTCGTTGTCATGTAGCTGTTGGAACTCCAGGTAAGCACAAAGAGATATCCTCTACGCTATCACAAATGGAGATGTACTCAAGCCAGATCATATGACTACAGGACGAATTATGGCACTGATACAGCAAAACAAATTGCGAATGTCAAAAATAAAGCTCGCTGTTCTGGATGAAGCTGACAAAATGATCGGTGGAGATTTCTATGCACAAACGAAGTAAGACGAGAGAGGCTAATAAAGCATAAACCGAAACACTGTACTCATCCAACTTCCTTTTAGGTACATTCTCGATAAATTACCAGCGCAGAAGCAAGTTATAGCTTTCTCAGCAACATTTGACGACGCTTTATACGATCTCCTCTCAAAATACATGAATAACCCACAAAAAGTCGTGCTCACAACAGATGCACCAGTACTGGAAGGTATGCCCAAAGCCTTTTAAAGTACTCGCGCAATTTTTTCTAACTCATCACCTTTTTCTATCAGGTGTTCAACAATATAACGTTCCCGTGACGATCGATGAGGTTGATTCAGCATTGCTGCAGATTCATTTGTACGAACAAAAATTCAAGGCTGCTGTAGATTTACTGGAAAAAATTCCATTTTACCAGTGCATTGTATTTCTGAATCATCGAGGAAGGGCAGTTGACTTGACGCAATTTTTGAATACTAATGGATGGAAATCATGCCATATAAGCTCGGGGATCAGCCAACAACAAAGACTCGAGGTGATGCAAAAAGCTCGGAAATTTAGGATACGAGTGTTGATCTGTAGCGATTTGGTAAGTATTGATTTCTGTTACAAATGAAGGCATTCTGAAGGATTATCGTTTTTTACGACTAACTATGTATTTTCAGATTGCACGAGGTATTGATATCGACCGTGTTAACCTCGTCATCAACCTCGATTTTCCAAAGGATGTAGAAACGTACCTGCATCGAGTGGGTCGCACGGGTCGTTTCGGTAATAGACTCACGTATTGCACACCAAGTTTGGCTCACTTCTCTCACATCTTGTATTCTTAGGAACCTCTGGCATTGCTGTGAATGTAACTAGCCCACATGATAGTGCGTTCATGGAAAAACTTGAAGAAAATGGAGTCCATGTTGAACCTCTACCAGGTACGGTAATGTCGGTAGTACCACACTATCGTCGAAGCATAATCAAGTTGACGACTGCTTTTTGACAGATAACCTAAGCCTTGGTGCTTTTACAAAAGAACTGGATGACTCCGAAAGAAAGATCCTTGAATCATTCGAGTCAAAAAGACAGAAAGTACGTTATTAGACATACGCGAATGTGAGGGTCTTGCATTCATTCAACTAACATATAAACAGACGAAGACAGTCATCAATGCTTCGATGCAACGTAAACGAAAGAAAATCAGCACGCAAGGCCAATCATCAGAAAGCCAAACGATACCCGCTCTTGCCGATAAAACCGACAAAGCTGATACTACCATCGTTCAGGCATCCAAGAAAAAAGATGTTTATAATACTCAACATGATCGTACACAACTCCTTCCCCCTGCAACGGGCCCACATGAATACCAATCCTATGTATATAATGCTTGGATGCAAAAAACGATGACAAATATAGATCCACCTGATCTCTTCTTTTGATAACAGCATTTCAAATCGTTTGCTAGGCCAAACCATCCTGATACTACAGCGCAATCGTCGCTGCATTTATCTCGACTATCAGTCCCATAATCAGCTATACCGAACAATGCTGATAACTGTTTACAAAGATTGTGAGCAAAGTAACGGCAGCAGCGTTCCCGATATGGCGAATGCTGTGTAATGAAAAGCCTGTCATATTCATCAATTCTATTACCTTTTGTAAATAATATATTTAAGATTAAATAGTGAAGTAAATGAGTTACAGACAAAGATAGTGCTTCTTCTCCAAGAGAATATTCAAGTAATCGGCATAAATGTAGACGTTAACAAATCGGCTCTAGACGGGAGACTGTGTAACTTATCCTTGGTAGGGTTTGCTAGGGTTATTGCCTTTACACACGCGCAGTGCCTCAAAAAAATTGCCTTTCACTTTTCTCTATTGAGACCATGTTGCTTCGAATACTGGTAATGCAGGAGAAAACATGCGCTCATCTATTTCTGAGACGATGGCTTTTTTAACCTCTAGATGGCTATTCATCGAGTATCGGCGATGCACCTTGAAAAAGAAAAACCTGTTCTGGAATAAGCTATATTGATGAACCGTTGCCTCCGAAAATGTCTCTCTCCGTACTAAGATTGCTTGCCCGTTTACGTCAGAGCCAAGGGTTTATGGAGCACAGCATGGTACATGCGTTTATAGACGGCTGATGTTGGTTACAACTTTGTACTTAAAGCTAACAAGTGATAATCTAGACTAGCCTAGCAATAGTATGGCACGACATGCAATATGAGTATAGACCGCTATATCAAGATTGGGCATTCAATAATGAACGGGTAAAGAGTGAAAAAAGAAAGCTAGTTGATGTAGGAGATGCTGGTGCTAACGACATGTCGATGTCTGCATATGTAACTAAACCCAGAAGCACGATCTGTGTGATTATCCTGTATCTTGGTAGAAACATAACGCAAGGGGTAGTGGAATTCTACTCAGACAAAATGCGCAAAGTGGTTTTGTCGATCTTTTTCTGCATGTGAAACGGGACTAAAGTATGGTGAATTTACATGATTTGACCACCTTGTAAAGGGGTTATATCTACGAATTGACGATAAACGTCCCAATATTTGGCATCATGAATTTATTGTCAAAAGTCAAAAATAAGAAGTAGCATTTTGTAATACATAAAGAAAACAGCCTACATGACCTCAAACAAGTTGTAACAGAAGCAACCAGAAGTAAAGACTAATCCGGCTTACAAGCCATTTTAGATTATGTTGGATTTATGCACGGAAAATCTACTTCTGGCCACAAGACTTTAGTTTGAATAGCGTTTCCTTGGCGATAATAGGCATGAGATATCTTTCCTCTTGTAAATGAGCTTACGTTTGAATAGTAATGCTAGTTTTAATCGTAAATAGTCCTTAAAGGCATGAACTTATCCCGTTTTGTTTCTTATCGAGGTACGTTAGATCAGAAATCAGCACGGCAAGCAGATAACATCGCTAATTGGTATGTGACGAAACCCCACGAAAATGATATGAATATGCCATCATAGCCACCACCATGACTGCTAAGGGGAGCTCTCCTTTTTTCACCCGCTTAGTGTTCACACCTCATAGAAACAGTGGAGCTCGTCAGACCAGAGCATCGACACGCCAGATCTTGTGAACTCCGTCCTCCCTCCTTAACTTTCTATTGACGAGGGGCTAAAGTGCCTAGATCGCTATTCGCTCTAAAGTCCACCAGGCCAAGTCCGTGAATCAAAAACAAGAAATCTTTGTCAATGTTCTACTATAATAACATTGCAAGGGATGTACGGACTTGTTGATCATCCGTATAAAGACCCGCTGAAAATCAGACTTTACATTTAACGTGGTTCTACCCGCCTGGCTGTATATATCTAATTCGATACTGTATACTGGTTTTCTTTCATTTCATATCCTGTTTTGTTCATCTCGCTTATCTTTCCCGAAGAACACGACACTTGACTATAAGCTGAAATGCAAGCACAGCTGTTTATAAGAGATTTGAATGCATCTTTCTCGTACTTTTCGAACTTGCCAAGTGATGAACAACATGCGTCCATCTATCTTTCTGGGTCTGACTTGGACAAGGTAGAGAAATCACGTATGGCGTCTGGAAAACTCGCTTCAGCGCACAAGCCGTCGATGCTACCGACCTACGAGACATTTCACAAGCTACCTTTCGGGGAGTTTAGTCCAAACTTCTACAATCCTTTTCAAGTCAAGCATCGACGCCGTACTACCAAGGAGCAATATCATACATTAGAAGCAAGCTATATGGAAAACCCTAAACCTACATCCAATACCCGTAGAAAGTTGTCTTCTCAATTAAACATGACGACTCGTGGTGTTCAAGTTTGGTTTCAAAACCGCAGAGCAAAAAGTAAAGCATATCGGCAAAAAAGACCATGCAGAACGTCAAGAGCGTCATGTGCTACCAGCAGTCTAACCAGAAGGCAAAGATCGGCATCATCGCAGTCATCTAGCTGCGCTTCCGATGAAGAGAAGATGTCTGAAAATGATGCATCGAAAGTTACATCCCAACCCGCGAGGAGGGGTCTCAACAAAAACATAAGCCTCGCTGGTAATCGTGCGTCGAATACCCATGCCCTGCAGAAAGTTACCCCTAATGCAGATCAAGACCAGACTACCAATAATTTGCTAGATTTTCTAACAGATAGCCACATGGACCAGCCTCCTTGCCAGGACTTTTCCTCATTAGAACAGGATCAAGCCAATGCTTATTTTTCATTTCAAGGCTCCTCAGTTGACGAAATGAACTGTCACATTCATTGCATGAGTCCGTTTGCCTGTCAATTATATCCGGAAGACTTATTTGGCTCAGAATCTACAACTTCAAAAGACTTCGATATTATGAATGCTACGATATACAACAAGATTCCGGTAAAGCACTTAAACTCTAAAGCTCCACAATACACTCCTCCACATGACCTGTTGATGCACAGAAGACTATCCTGTCCATTACCGGCTAACAGCAGGGAGTTGAATTATACCAATTTGCTCCACAAACCAAATCTATCGTTTCCCGTAAGTCACCTTGAATCTACATAGACTGTATTTCTGAAAAATACCGAACACGAACTTAATCATCCCAATTCATGTACAGTATGAATCATGCAATGACTCCACCAAACTTATGCGCTCAAAATCGTTGACACCATACTCAAGCAATTTCCCATATCCCGAGATGAATATACCCGCTGCACAGTGGAATGAATTCCACGATAATTCACAAGCTTTGGATTGCACCGACTTAGACAGTGAAAAATTAATGTACATTATGAGCGCCGATTATTAAAAAAAAAATTGTGGCCATGTATTCTGAAGACAAGCGACCTCGCAGTACACTTTTGCACCTTCCACGCTGTTTTGACTCTACCACTTGACTTTCTTCAATGAAAATGAACTTGAAAATTGTTACAAGTACTAAACTGCATACTAATTTTAAAATGTTGAAACGGGTTTAAATTAGAACAATGACTACGATATCAGGGTTTGAGCCACTGAAAGGTCCAGTGTGTCAGTAATGGTGTTATTAAGTTTTAATGTTACGATTGAAGAATACGGTCTTAAGATTCCAAGACTTGTATTGGATTTACGTTGGTGGGATTTTCTTGCCTTGCCTAAAAGAAGTGTATTAGAATGATCCCATTTCTTAATCACTATCTTGAGAAACATGCTTACCGAGCAATTGATGAAAGCGAGGGAACTGGACGAAAATTGATACCACTAAGTTTTTTTCCAAACGGACGACAAGTTGGTTGAGCGGTTCTATACGCTCGCTTCGATTGTGTTCCAAATAGAACATGCCAAAAGCTTCTAGGGTTGAGATAGCCGTAGTATCTTGGACTTTGAGACAACCGTACAAAGTATGCTAGTTTGGAGCGTCTACAAGAGCAACTTGCGTAACTAGCCACTGGATCCTTGCCTCGGCATTTTCTGCTCTTATGTACCTGTAAGGTCGTCCAGTCGAAAAAGGACCCTGGATAATTTCGGCCCTAAGAGGAACTTGGGATTGGAGTCCTGGAACTTGCTGGGGCTTGTAGGAATGAGTGCATTAATTTGGAGTGGATGCTCTTGTAGAGAATTAAACTTGACGTTCAGTTTACACTGATCGCCTTTGCCAAACAATGAACGGCGTAAGAACACCCGTTTATCGCTCATTGCATTTAACGCACCGATCCATGACCTCTACACCGTCGTCCCAAGCGAAATATACCGATGGCGATCATTATGCGTTCTCAAAAAAAAAAAGAAATTTGATAAAATGCTTAACCAAGCACAAATTTTTGTCAACTAATGTGAATTAGCTGGTCGGATATTCATATCCAGTGTCCACGGCCATCACAAGAACAGAGCTGCAGTTTGTGCGTGCACGCTTGAGGATCTGTTGATTTGCAATAACAGAGAAGCCAAACTGCGCTCAGCCAAAACGGTGCGACTACAGTTGCAAGAATCGTATTTCAAAGAAGCTTCCTTCATCACTCACTGGTTGTTGCTAGGGCTCGAAGAAGCATTATTGGAAAAGCTGGTCGAAATGATGAGACAAATTTTGATGAACCAGGTCAATTGTTACAAAGGTATTTACAATTCACGCAAGTTGTAATTGTGGAAGTCCAGGAAATAGGTGAAATGGATGATAATACTGCCGTTGCCTTGAATGCCTAATTTATTTACAGCTATCGCTCTCAAATTATTGCTGAAGGAAGCGGTAGAATGTAAGGCTGTGTCAAGAATATATGCCTGGCGTCCAATTTAGTCAGCAGAAGCTTCCGGCCTCCGATTGATATGTTAATTACATAGAGCTAAACCGAGAGCATGGTCATGAATTGAGGTGAATGGCGGAGAAGCTTGTAGTTTTATACCAAAAATTACAGTATTTTGAACGTCACATTCACTCACCAATCAGTGAGATCCCCATTGCAGCTTTAACGCTTCACTCAGTTGGTCCCAGTTGTCATCGCGTTGTCCTTTAAACTCCACCTTCAATCAAGATGTCTGCTCTCAGTAGCGCCAGCGAGATTGCCACTCTTCGTGATGCTCAATTTGGTAAGCACATGCCTCAAGTCGACTGATGCACTGCATCATACACGCTAACAACTTTTCTATTTACTTACAGCTGCCATTGTCTCCATGCTCAACTTGAACAAAGGATCTGATCAATACACAATATCAACCGACAAAAATAATTCTAACGACGAAATAATATGGAAGGTTTTGATATTTGATCAGTTCGGACAAGACGTAATATCCTCGGTCATGCGGGTCAACGACTTAAGAGACAACGGCGTTACTGTACACATGTAAGATAGGCATTGCAGCTTTAACCTATTGCAAGCAACTTCAAGCTGATCCTGTTTATCGATGCTCTTAGGCAATTAAGTAAGGATCGATCAGCACTTGCCGACGTTCCAGCCATTTACTTTGTCGAACCAACTTCCGAGAATGTGAAGCGAATTTGTGATGTAGGTATCTTTACCTAGTCAAATCCATATGCAGCATGTAATTCTCATCGAGGCTTTTCACCATTAATAGGACATGAAGAAGGATTTGTACGATTCCTATTACATCAACTTTGCTTCTAGTGTCTCTCGTAACATTTTGGAGGAGTTTGCCGCAACTACCATTGCCACAAATACTGCTAGTTCAGTAGCTCAAGTTTATGATCAATATCTGAACTTTGTGTGCACCGACCCAAATGTCTTTTCATTACATCAACCACGTGCGTTTGTCACCCTTAACGACCATTCAGCTGCCGAGAGTGCCATCGAAACCACCATCGACTCAATAGCCACATCACTCTTCTCAGTCCTTGTTACAATGGGTAAAGTATCGATCGATATTTTGAATGTTTGTGATTAATTGAAGGCTGACAAGGTCTATGTAGGAGTTGTTCCCATTATCAAATGTCCAAGAGGAAATGCAGCCGAAATGGTAGCTAGAAAGCTGGATTCCAAACTCCGGGATCATGTCATGAATTCTAGGAACAACCTTTTTGCAGATAGCAATGCAGCTAGTGTACAACGACCAGGTAGGATATGAAATTTTGGAAAGGCTTGCAGTTCTTGGATCTCACACCTTTCTAGTTCTTATATTACTGGACAGAAGTTTGGATCTTGTACCTATGCTCAGTCATTCATGGACGTATCAAGCACTCATTCATGATGTACTTGATTTGAGACTTAACCGCATCATTGTTGAGGTACGTGATCAGCAGCGCTGATTTATCCTTTACTTTTCGATCTAGACACAATATTCATGGAAATTTATCGCTATAGTCTGAGGACCATAATCCAAAAAACAAAAAGACATACGACATCGAAGCCAAGGATTTCTTCTGGAATAAGAACGCCTCGAACCCATTCCCACAAGTTGCTGGTAAGTTTATTATAAGTGGTGGATTAAGGCGTGCTCCAACCGTATCTAACGAACCCCCATTTCCGCGTAATGATAATTGTAGAGGACATTGATGTGGAGTTGAATAAATACAAAAAGGACGCAGCAGAGATCACACGGATGAGCGGAGTCAGTTCACTAGATGATATGAATCAAGCGTGAGTATCTTGCATGCAAATGAAAAGAAACATCGGTGTAGGAGTCTAACGTATCCATCATCAGTGATTTCTCTTCCAATGCCAAATACCTCAAATCAGCCATTACTGCCCTTCCCGAGCTTACAGCGCGAAAGGCAACATTGGATATGCATATGAACATAGCTACTTACTTGCTCAACGGTATCAAGGATCGGCAACTGGATTCCTTTTTCCAAGTAGAAGAAGTTATTGCTAAGCAGGTAAGTTTGTGCGCAGTGAGATATTTTTCTGTTATGTATACTGACCGTTCTTGCAGAACAAGACGATGCTGCTTGAAATGATTAATGATCCCGAAAAGAAGGATCCTACGGATAAACTACGACTATTTTTGATATACTACTTGACTATCACTGAAGAGATACCAAAGGACGATATGGCGGATTATGAAAAGGCATTGGCAGCAGCCGGCTGTCAGTTGGAAGCTCTCAACTACATCAAGAAGTAAGCAGTATAGGATTAGGTTTACAAGTAGTGACCATATATCTAACTCATACACTGAATAGGGTTCGAGCGTTTATGAGAATGACATCTGTAGCGGCGTCAACTGCTCCTCAATCTGGCTACCAGAGCGAACTCTTCCGAGGTTTTAGCAGCATTGGCAACAAAGTATATGAAAGTCACATTGGCATGAACGTGTTTTGAACTAGCTTGCTAACATTGACATAAAGCTTTCGGACAGACTTAAGGAAGGTGGCCTCGGTGGTGGTTTTGAAAACCTGCTGTCAGGGGTCAAGAACCTCCTGCCTTCACGCAAGGAACTCATTATTAGCAAGGTCGTTTCCAACATTATATCACCTATCAACGAAGTGTCCGAAGTGGATGATTATTTGCAATTCGATCCAAAATTAAGGCAAAATGCGAAACCTTCACGACACAAAGTAGCTTATCAAGAAGCTATTGTATTCGTCATTGGTGGTGGCAATTATATTGAATACCAGAACTTGCAGGAAGTTGCATCGGTAAGTGGATGGCTGGGTACTTTGTATTGCGCCTATATCCCAACATTTGAAATACTAATATGTCTTTTGGCCTTACATCAGCGTAACAATCTGCAAAAGAAAATTACTTATGGTTCAACTGATATCCTCTCCCCCTCTGAATTCCTTGAACAATTGCAATCATTGGGAACTGAATAAATTGATCGAGAGCAGTCGATCAGGAACGGTGTAATAGGAATATGCTTAGAAGTACAGTGATGCGATACTTTAAGAGTATAAAATAAACTAAAGGAAGAAAAGAAAAGAAAATATTGTTATCAAACCGAAATATGTATTGCATCTATGCTTTGGAACTTCCAAATCCTCCAAAACCCATCAATTTTGCCATTTCATCTTCTTCTGTTGCAGCCTGATCGCCTTGCGCCGCATCCTTCTCGGACGAATCACCAGCCGGTGCTTCCTTTTTGGCCTTCTTTCGCTCCTTCTTCCTTCGTTTCGCTTCGTCTTCTTCACGCTGACGTGCTTCTATCCGGGCATCTAAATCTATGATATGAAACATGTGTAAGTATGCGCTATTACTGCGCGATGGTGCTGTTAAATGCAACTCACCGTATTCTTCCTTAGGCTGTTCCTTTTTCCGCTTCAACGCAGCTAGTCTTTCTTTTACGCTATCAACTGAAGCACGTTCGACCTTCATGGACATGCCAAGGTTCTTTTGATCTAGAAATGGGTTCAATTTTAGTGACCGTACGGGTAGATCGCATGCAGTGTAGCGTTTTCCCCTTACGCTTCTTTCCATTGATGTGATCCAGGTAGTTTGTACTGTCCTTTACAACGCAATCACAGGCTTTACAGTAAAAGCCTGGTTGCTTTGATGCTGGGCCGGCCGCTCCTACTGATACGACTTGTGTCTTGTTGAGATTGGCATCAAGGACTATCTTCTCATCACGAGCTTTCAGTAATTCCCGCTGTGGTTGAGCAGGTGTGGAGGTTCGCTGGTATTTTGGCTTCAAGCCTTTGGCTTTTCGGTCCTCGTTTTCTTCTGCTAGTTTGTCAGCGGCCTCACGCTCTTTTGCTTTGGCTGCATACTCTTCTTTGTTCCATGTTCTGCGGAATGTAGTGTCTTTCTATTAACAATCATAACAATTAGCAATGGGCGTGTTGAATTTTTTAAACAATGACCACCTATACATACGCCAGTACCAGATCCGTAAAAGCCAGAGTTCGATGCCATGTTGATTCAGGCAAATGGAAAGAAATATTTAAACAGGTAAAATGGGATTTATTTTTATTTGTATTGTATTGTGTGGATGAGAAATGCTGAGAAAAAAGCAGTCAACAGTTCTGACAGCAAGAATACGACGGTGCGGGATTAATGAGTTTTGATGAGTTTAAAGAAGCTACCATCTGCCTCCACGTTTGACTTCGGTAAATCCATCACTGTCCTTCTTTTCTCCACCTTCTTGTTGCTCTTGAGCTCTCTTTGCAGCTTCTCTTTCTCTCCAACCTCCGCCAGTGGAGGCTCCGCCACGGGCAACAAATCGAGGAGGTGGTGCAGAGCTTGCTGATGGGCCATCGCGACTTTCACGACTATCACGGAAATCGCGGCTGTCACGGCTGTCGCGGAAGTCACGGCTATCACGGCTGTCGCGGCTGTCACGGCTGTCACGGCTATCTCCATATCCAGGACGTCTATATCTATCTTCGGAAGCAGCGGGGGGTCCAGCACGACGCCAAGCGCCACCGCCTTCAGTGCTTCTAGCGAATCGGCTATCACTACTTGTTGGCTCGGCCGCTTCACGACGTCTCGATGGTGGTACCCATTTGTCGGTAGCTGGTGGTGCTGGCTGTCTTGCTTCGGCAGCAGAAGCCGCACGCTTGGCCTCGATAGCGGCTTCTCGTTCCTGTTGAAGTCTGGCAGTTTCGTCGAGTTTTCTACAAGAAATAGGTTCATTAGAGGGGATATTCATGGCGAGACTTTATGCAATATATCTAATGACTGATATGATTATTTACCTTCTTCTCTCCTCCTCTTCTTCTTTTCGCTTTTCAGCTTCAGCAGCCTTCTCAGACTCCATTCTTTCGTGTTCTGTTGAAGGTACATAGTTAGTAAAACGAACATATTTGGTGGATGCAAATAAAAGTGAGAGCATGTTTTGCTTACCTTCTCTCTCGCGACGTTCTTCCTCTTCTTGTGCTCTTTGTCTAGCCTCTTCCTCTTCCCGCTGTCTAATCAATTCATCTCTCTGAGCACGGTACTGTTCGATTCTCTTTTGCTTCTCTTGAGCGATCTTTTCTTGCACAGCATTTTGCTGAGCAAGGAAGATATCCTTTCGCTGGTTCTCAATGTTGGCCTTGAAAGCATTATAATCAGCAGAGATGCGAGACAAACGAGACTTCATCTTCATATCTTCAGCATGCTTAGCAGCAGCAGCCTTGAGTTGAGCCTTGCGAGCAGCTTCGTAATAAGCAACATCACTCTTTTGCTGATGTTCGTAGTCCTTTTCAAGGAGAGGGATTTCTTCCTTGCGGTAGGCTCGTTCAGTGTGATCAAGACGCTTGGCAATGCTCTTGAGACGCTCGTTGAGCTCCTTTTGTTCGCTTTGAAGTCGGCTGACCTTGAGGTTAAGCAAAGTCTCAACATCGGCATTCTCAATTTCTTCAGGCTTGAGTTGCATACCAGTCTTGGCAGCAATTTCATCAGCGATCTTCTTGGCTTGATCGCGCTGGATCTCTTCCTGAATTTTGCGAAGACGTTCAGCCTCACGACGCTTCTGTTCTTCTTCACGTCTCTTTTGCTCGGCAGCAGCCTTTTGTTGAGCAATGAGAGCACGTTCTTGTGCGGCTTCACGTTCAGCACGGGCCAATTCGGTTTCAATCTCTTCCTTGCGTTGTTCGATGATGACCTTTCGGGCAAGGGTGTTCTTGTGTTCTTCTTCGGCACCAGCAAGAGCACGAGCGAAGGCTTCTTGCTTAGCTTGAGCAGCACCCTGTTGAGCTGAGGGGTCGATCATTTGAACAGTGGTGTGCAAGCATTTACCAAGACGAGAAAGTTGTGTGCGCATAAGATCGGCAGGAGATGACTGAAGCTTAGGACCTTCAGCAATGGTATCCTTAGGTGGTGCGAACAAATCGGTTTCAAAAGTCATGCTTTGGGTAGCATGGTCTATGCGAATGTTGAGTTCACCCTTCTTGCAACCGTTCATAATGAACTTCTCAATGGTGGAAGCATCGTATTTGTAAGGCTCAGGGAATGATGCGAGTTCAAGAACAAAGTCAAGCTTGATGGTAGTATATACTTGTGAAAGTTGCTGCAAAAGGCGGGTGAGAATGACTTGATGAAGGGGATGAACATATCTAGCAAGTTCGGGGTCTTGAGCCAATTGAGACATGATAGGGTTGATCTTCTTGCAAATGGACAAGGGATGGAATTGAACTTCGAGGATGTTGTACAGATCACGGATTTCGGGTCTGACGCGACGCAAGATATTCTTATTGAGTGCTTCCTTCAAAAGAGCAGAACGGCTGGGGTGTTGAGGAAGTCCAAGCAAAGATGAGAGACGGTTGAGCTTTTGAATTCTTTGTTCATCAGCTTCGACATATCCGGGTCTAGTTCTTGAAGAAGTGATGACAGGGATGGCGAGGGCAGACAACAACACAATGTTAGCCATGGCGATTTGCTCATCATCAGTCAGGTTCTTGTTGATAGCACGAACAATGTTGGAATATCTATTCCATGCTGCAGCATGGAAAAGATAGTTTTCGCTGACCATAAAGATTTTGGTGAGCATCTCGTAATAGTTGGCCATCATTTGGGGCTTGGGAGGACGCTTGGACATAGATAACAAGTTGTGAATATCTTCAACTGACTTGAATGCCTCCTGCCACAACTCAAGCTTGACTGCAGCATTCAACTGGTTGAAACGAGCATCCAAATGTCTTTGGAGGGTGTCAGGGTCGTTCAAGTTGATGGAATGAGCTTGATGAGCATATTTGGCGATGTTCTGCAAATGGTTGCGAAGAATATCGCAAAGACGACGGAATTCGGTTTTGCGACCATATGTCAAACAGAATTCGAATGCTTGGTTGGAAACTGATTGGTAAAGAACTTCCAAGCGAACATTGTTTCTAAGGGTGTCGAGAACAGTGCGGTACGCTTCCCACAAGAACTTCAACCATGGGGTAACGACAGATCGATCGGTACGGTCCTTGCTTTGTTCACCGCTAACGGTGCTGAGCATAATGGACTCGGGAGTTTCGGAAGCTTCCAAATCGTCAATAGCATCCAAGGTGATTTGATCTGCTTTGGATTGAGCTTCTGTCACCTTTTGTTCTGCCAATTCCAGGAATCGGTTGATGACGAGCTATGAAAAAAAAAATTAGCATGCAGACAATGTGGTTTTGAGCATACACTGATTCCAATTGTATATACCTCGATGGTGGTGACACTGGTGTTTTGCGCAATGTTTTTGTATTGATGCAAACCTTCCTTCACGATCTTGCCTTTTCGAAGATCAACACACAGCTCTACATACTTGAGCATTATAGGCTCCATGGAGACAAGTGGCGTGTTGCGCGATCTCTTGGACATAACAACTTCATGGAGCGCTTGAAGCGCTGCAAGACTTTGTCCAACGGCGATGAGCTCTGCATAATGGAGAAATTTCAAACGAAATGTCGCGAAGTCAGTATCTATTCGTATTCATCGAGATTTGCATCCATCCATCTATTCATCTATATCATCCATCGTCGATATATACCTTCGGCCCTCTTAAGAGCGTTGGCGTTGCCGCTTCCACCGTACTGCATCTGATGAAAAGTGGTGGTCTACCGGTAATAGGCTCTGAGCGATTGATATCGAATACCCTACCAGCGCGGTGTGTGCACATCCACAACCCCGCCCTAAAAAGGAAAATCACGTGATTTATCTTACAAGCTGCTATCCAAGCTGAGCATAGCCTTTCGACTATGATATCGTTTTGCAGAGTACTCCAAGGTATGAGGCTAGAATTCCTATAACATTTTCTAGAATTCTATTTTTGTACACCGCACAAGTGGCAATTTGCCGTTAGTCAATGCTTCTAACTCGCGAGTATAAACCCACTTGTCAGGGAGAGGCAGGGCATTCACTGGATATAATACTTTACGATCTGCTCGAGAATTTGTTCTAAAGATACCCCTCTCTCAGAAACAATTCAGGATGTAATTACAAATTACTTTGGATTCCAGTCGAATTGACTTCGTTTTGTTAATCGCATAGCTAAAAATAATAAGCCAGCTAACATTCTGCAGACGAATACAACAGGAAGTTGTCATTTATTCTCCTTCAAACATTCAAATGGGGTCAATGTACGAATTATTTCAATTTGCATAAAACCAAGTATTGCTCATAGCTGAAGTCTTTTGCCCCTGCGTTGATCTGTAGTTTCAATGTCGGGTCTCCTTTGTGTGGTCCTCTCACACCTCCATAAACGTCAATGATCGACACCCTCCTTGGTCTTAAACTGTCCAGTTTATATGTCATTACTTTTTTTCATTCCTTCAACTTCTTCCTCCTCCCTTCACTATTAGACACCTATTTCCACTTTTTTCTTTTTTTCTTCATTATAATTATTTCAATTCCTTCATTTACAAATAATTTTTTCGAAGCATCATTGATACTTCTCATTCCCGGTCCTTAAACATACACTGTCCTGCTGAACACCCCACAAGCAGTGACAACGTCCATACAATAATCGAAAAGTTGTAAAAACAAAAAAAAAGAAAAATGTATTCGCAAAATATGAAGCGCACCAAAAGTGGCGCAGACATGCTATTCGATAAAATGCGACATGAGCAGCAAAAGACTGATCAATTGGCTGCCCACCATTTCTTGGAAGCAACGCTGGAACATAAGATTTCAAATGAAAATCTACATAGTGAACTAAAAGATGGAGTTCTACTTTGCAAGTAAGGAACTCAATTAATTTACTGTTGAAAGGATTGTTATATTATACTGATATAGTACTAGTCTTGTAAACAAACTACGACCAGGTACCATCAAACAGGTCGGAAATAAGGATTTGCCATTTGTTAAGGTAAAGCAAAATCGTAAATTCAAGCGGAACCGTCCAAATTTTTTAAAAATTAAAAAAAAAAAAAACTTGTAGATGGATAATATTACTCGCTTCCTTCAAGGAGCTCGTCAGGTATTTGTTGTCATATGGCGTAATAATATGAATCGAGGCGAATGGACGATTAACGATGATCCCGAAGCTCGGCATGAATACTTCACAACTATTCGAAACAATCGATTTATTCGAGGCCAAAGACATGACCGCTGTAAGAACAAAGTTTTACTCATTGCATTTCATCCCCTTGCCATTCGGTTCTAATCATTTTTTTTTGGGCAAAACCACATCCCCCAACTTTTGGTTCATTTAGGTGATCAATACAATCCTTACAATTGAAAAACTGCATACAAAGAGGAAACCCTCAGAGCCAATCATTAAATTCAAACCTTCTGTATGCCAAGATGAAAACGAGCAAGACGACGACGAAGTGCAAACTAAGGAGGATGTCGATAGGAGTATTGAGGGACCATCGACCGAGTGCAAGGAGACACCTGACAAGGAGGTTGAGAATCTTAACATTCAGGAGAACAATAATATTGAAGCCGCCGTAATTGAGGAATCCCCCACATCGCCTGTACAAGACCAAGAGCTGGACTCCCGTATAACAAAATCTGATGAAGACATCCAAAACCCTACGGAAGAAATTGAAGAGGAGGAAGAGCATGATAAAGAAGAGCATAAGGATGAAGAACATGAAGAAGAAGATTCAGAAGCCGCCGATCATTCGATTGACCAGCGGGATGACAGATTACACAAGGCACACATTGCAAAGTTGAAGCAAGGTGACAGATTCGCCGAAGCGCAATCTCATTATCCTGATGTTCGCGATATTTTTGCATACCCTCCATCAGCATTCACAAAGAACAAGAAGTTAGAGGGTCTGGACATCAAGGTCCGCCGAAGGCAATCCCTGTCAGCCTTGGATGGGGATGTATATGAAACTGGAGTTCGTCCACCAAGATCTCCGCTTCGACCATCTTACTATAGCACAAAGAAAAGCAGTGCTTCCATGTCAGCTTGCAATTTCGAAAATAGGAGAAGATCAAGATCTCCCAAAAGCACTCATAAAACTTCCATGGATAGCGGCTATAGCACATTGTCAAGAAGAAGACCAACTAGCCCGTATTTCAGTGCCGAAGAACAATTGGCATACGCGCTCATGGCTGATTCTAGGAAGTCGTTGGACAACTTGAATAGCATGAGATCTACTGTCGACCTTCGCAACTCATTCGACGAACAGAGACTACTACCATCTCGCTCCACTCCAGCCATTTCCAAAGAGAGTCCTGTGTTCTCAAAAGAACGAAGCAATCGCAAAATTGAAGATGAAAAATTGAAGTTGGTGCAATCTATAGCCGACGAAGGAATCAAAGAAAAACTCTCATTACGATCAGCTACAAATCAGATAATTGCTCAATACGTAAGTTGCCGCACTATCTCGGTAATGCGTGGCTGACTATAGTTTGCAAATGACTGATATTTTTGACTACGTATAGCAATTAGGAAACTGCATTGGTCGTGGACAATTCGGTTCAGTATACAGGTGCGCTTATGATAGCTGTATTTATGGTGTTATGTCACTTGCCTAATCAATTTCATAGAGCATTGAACTTGAAGAATGGAGAAGTGGTGGCTGTAAAGCGCATCAAGATAGATGATGAAGATATATTGGCAGACATTATGGTAGGGTTCATAGCGCTAAAATTTACTTTCTGGAAAAATCTTGATTTCACTAATCACATCCTTCAGCGGGAAGTTGAACTGTTGAAAGCAGTAGCCCATCCGAACGTCGTGAGATATCATGGCTTCATACAAAAGAGCGGTTATATGAATATTGTACTCGAGTGAGTGTTGTCATTTAGGCATTAAAGCATACTGGCATCGGTACTAAGTTCAAATTATTTTTCAGATATGTTGAGAATGGATCACTATTATCCACATTGAAAGCATTTGGAGCTTTCCCAGAGAAACTTGTTGCGTCTTTCTGCATCAAAATTTTGAGTGGGTTGGAATATCTGCACGCTAATCAGGTAAAGCTTAGAAATATAAAACACATTTCTCGTAACAAAGCTGAATAGATACCCCAAAGGTTGTCCATTGCGATCTCAAAGCTGCAAATATCCTGACCACAAAAACTGGAGATGTCAAGCTCACAGATTTTGGCGTTTCTCTGAATTTGAAGATTAAAGAATCTGATACTGGTCGCGTCGCCGGCACACCTAACTGGAGTAAGAGACCATCAAAACTGAAATCAGTGCTATACAATAGCTAACAATTCAACTTTAGTGGCGCCAGAGGTGATTGAACTTCGAGGAGCATCTGTCAAGTCAGACATTTGGTAAGCAACATATGGTATTTGATGAAACGGCATTTCACAGCTCACCCATTCTCTTTAGGTCATTGGGATGTACACTAATCGAACTATTGACCGGAAAGCCCCCATATGCCGAGCTGATAGCCATGTCCGCTCTATTTCGTATTGTAGAGGATGACTACCCGCCTTTGCCAAGCAAGATATCCGAGGTATGTGCACCATTTTCATGACGTTTTGTGATAATAGTTGATACTGAATTTGGTGAATGCTAGGAAATGCGCGAATTTTTGCTATGTTGCTTCCAAAAAAATCCTGATGATCGACCAACTGCTTCTGAGCTTCGACCCCATGCTTGGTTGCAGAACAACCAACCTTACAATATGATTAAGCTTCATCGGCCACCTCGCATGCACTCTAAGAGCTTGCAGCTTCTTCATAATATTTTTAATCTACATGAAAACAACCAGAGTGAAAGCGACCCTAGCCACTCGAAAGATAAGCTGTACAACAAATGTACATCCACACCTGCACGTTACAAGTCACTCGACGACATACCCTATTTCAAAGCATACGGCGGTTATGCACAAAGCGTCGATCAAGCAGATATGGACGATGAATATATATCGCATTGCTTTGTCAAAACTGATTTCAGTAAGCGTAAGTAAGAATGAAATGCTGATAATTCGCAGGGTCAGTAGATGCTAATTTATGTATGCAGAGATGGATTGTAAAGTGTGTGGAGAAGTCATGAACAAGAACGTCCTGTTTTGTGAAGGTGAGGAGAACAACGAAATTGCGTGTATCAGGGAGAACCGACTACTCATCATTTTGATTATTTATATCAGTCTGTGCACTCCTTTGTCACCAACACTGTCGACCCAATGCACTTTCCTGCCCACCTAAAATCAATAAGCAGCAACCGTCGTATGATGTAAGTACGCATAGTAATGTGAAAATGTGATCTATAGAAAACTAACAATCTTGGGCAGTGGGCATTGTCAGCGAAGGTGTATAACCATGGGGCAAGCGAGGCTCGTCGCGGCAAACACCGACGAATGTCAGAGCCACCCAAAGCTTGGCTCAAGAACAATACGCCAACCGGTTCCGTTCGTAGCACAGATCACAAAAGTGTATCTGTCAATTTGCGTAAACTCAGCAAGGCTTTCAGTCCGACTAGATCCTCTTGCAAGTCGTTGGATGGCGATGCTGAATTTGAAGAAGAATATGAGAATATAAGCAGGAATGGACACCGTTCCGATGACTGCGTGTTGCAATAAAACATCTACAGATATTGTTTGAAAAATATTACTATTGCCTGTTTGCTGGAATGGAATGCACTCGGTTGAAATTTTCATTGACAGCGAAAGAGCTTCAAAACCACGTGGGACTGTCACAATTTCATTGACCAGGTTCCGTACAAGGTGCGCTATTTGCAATTCGGCTTTGAATTGCTCGCTTGGCGAACTCATTAACCTACTCCAAACAATGGCAAAGAAATCTAAACATTCCATACCACTACACAAAGTTATCATGGTCGGCTCCGGAGGAGTTGGCAAGTCTGCTCTTACACTACAGTACATGTACGGAGATTTCGTTGAGGAATATGATCCCACCAAAGCAGATTGTAAGAATTCTCTCTTTTATGCCGAATCTTGTTTTGCCTACCCAGTGTGAAAGAAAGAAAACGAAAATCAACAAGGATATACGCTAATTGTTATGTTATGATGGCTATATTAGCGTATCGCAAGAAGACAGTATTGGATGGGCAAGAATGTCAGATCGATATCCTGGATACGGCTGGCCAAGAAGAATATGCCGCTGTAAGTCAAGTTAATTATTTTGAAGTAGGAGAGGCAGCAAGACTAGCTTGCAGTGGATCAAAAATTTCCGACGAGTATTCATTGCTCTTACTCTTATGACAGATTCGGGATAACTACTATCGCTCTGGTGAAGGCTTTCTATGCGTTTTTTCAGTTTGCGAACAGGAGTCATTGGAGCATACACAGGAGTTTAGGGATCAAATTGCACGTGTGCTAGATGACGATACGGTAGGTTCAACAACTAGATCGTCTAATCCCTTAAGATGATCTTTATTTTAACGCACGAGCTGTCTATCAAATAGGTACCTTTCATTTTGGTCGGTAACAAGGTCGATTTGGAACATCTTCGTAAAGTTACCTTCAATGATGCCGCTGCACTAGCAGATGAATGGAACTGCAAGTACATAGAAACATCTGCTAAAACTCGACAAAATGTTGATGAGGTGTACACTGAGCTCATGCGACAAATCCGTAATCGTAAGGCAAAGCAAGAAAAATTAGAAGGCAAATCAAGCTCCGGAAAATGCACCATTCTGTAGATAAATTCAATCAACACAGCAAACGAAGAGAATGCTCTTGCACGATTGGCTGCCTTTACGTTTAAATACTTTCAGCTCATTTCCTCCCTGCTGCCATTATCTTCCTTATTGCTTCCTACTTAAATTCAATAAATTGTATATTTTGAAAAATGACGTTTTATGCTACAGTCTCTATGGTTGTTATATACTTCGTTGGCTGCTGTTCTTACAATGTTTCCTGTACTTTCTTTCTAGGAGCTCGCACAACCTTTCCACCCTTTTTCATGTACTCAAGTGCATAGTTTTTAAAGCTGCTTGTGACCTCATCAGCAGTAGTGTCCTTTGCGTAACAGTCAACAAACTTGCCCTCAGGGTCCATCAAGTAGAAGAAGATGGAATGGTCCACAAGATAGTCTTCGCCTTCCTTGACATCTGGTGGTGAAGAGACATAGACACGGAAGCTCTTGGCAACCTGTTTAATTTCTTCCTGGCTACCAGTAAGCCCGACCATTTCAGGATGGAAGTCTTGGATGTATTCCTTCACAATTTCTGGAGTATCTCTTCTGGGATCACAAGTAATGAAGACCGGAACCAGTATATTACCAAGTACGGGATCCGTTGCTATATTACAACGTTTAACTTCAAACAACTCTTTCCAGCATGCACTTGACAGCCGAACCACTTACCAACATTATCGATAACATCAGCCATTTTGTCAAGTTCGTCAGGACAGATATCTGGGCAGTTTGTGAATCCAAAGTACACCATATAGTAGCGGTCACGGAAATCAGTATTGCTCAATTTCTCGCCAGTTGAGCAATCAGTCAGCGTAAAAGGACCACCAATTTTAGGTTTTCCAACAGACTTTGCGGTTTCCTTCTCTTGCGTTTCACCTGCGTGTATAAATATGGTAAATGAACATTCGCTAGCAGTATAACCAAAAGATAATGAAACGATGATTACGAAGTTGAGTTACTCTTTCCTTTTCATGTCTAAAGTACAGTAACAAACCAGCTCCTGTTCCGAGAAATATAGCGGCCGCTTTCCAGGTAAAAGGCTGTGTATGGTGAATTAATGAATACAAACTTATGAAAAAACGGATAAAAATTCTGAAGAACACTTACGCCAACTGCAGCTCTCTCTTGGAGCTTCTTAGTATCCTTAACACCTGAGCTATACGGGCGTCGGGGTACATTAGCTAATCTCAGCGAGGAAAGTGCCGAGGGTGCTGGCTTGCATGCCAATGGAGTATGAAATGCTGCCCGTGGCTAGATAGAGTACAGGCATCAGTAAAGATATCGACTATCAAAAAGCAACTTTGAAAAAAGAGATACCTTCAACGACAAGCGCAATAAACTCGATCGTGCTATAAAATTCATGTTTGATTTCAAGCCTGTCAACACCAACACACTTCTTTTCCGACCCTCATTTTACAGCCAAATAACAGTCACAATTTTTTGGAAAAGTGCCTGGCAATTAAAATTTGGATGTTTTCAAAAATAAATGTGCAGCATCTTCTAGCAACCGCAATGTCGTTTGTGCGCAACTTATGGGGCGCATTACCCCAGAAAGCAGCTAGCTATGGGTCACTTGCCGCTAACATGGCCGCCTCTGCCCCAAAGAGACCGCTCACTTTGTTTCCTGCTACTATGCAGCAGCGCTTCCAGTCTACCTTCCAGTTTGACCCAGCCATGACAGCTATTACTGGAGAAGGCGAAGATCCCAAGGATATCGTGAGTTGCTAGCATCAATGTCATTGACAATCTCTGTTGAAAGATGTACTAATGGTCTTAAACGCAGGCCAGACTTCGTAAGCTTAGAAACATTGGTATCTCTGCTCATATTGATTCTGGCAAGACCACCTGTACCGAGCGTATCTTGTACTATACCGGAAGAATTAAGGAAATCCATGATGTCCGTGGCCGTGATGGTGTTGGTGCTAAAATGGACTCTATGGAATTGGAACGTGAAAAGGGTATTACTATTCAATCTGCCGCTACCTTTGCCACTTGGGGCGACTACAACATCAATATCATCGATACCCCAGGTAAGTCACTACCCTGTGCTGTGGTGGTTTTCAACACAAAGTCACTCATTTAGTTCTATGTCACAGGTCACGTTGACTTCACCATTGAGGTTGAACGTGCTCTTCGTGTTCTTGATGGTGCTGTCATGATTCTCTGTGCTGTGTCTGGTGTTCAATCTCAAACTATTACTGTTGATCGTCAAATGCGTCGTTATAATGTTCCCCGTATCTCTTTTATCAACAAAATGGACCGTGCTGGTGCGAATCCCTTCAGAATTATCGATCAAATTAGACAGAAGCTTAAGCTGTGTGCTGCTGCCCTTCAGATTCCTATTGGTGCCGAAGATCAATTCCGCGGTGTCGTTGATTTGGTTAAATGGAAAGCTTACTACAACGAGGGTGAAAGAGGGTAAATATTCCAAACTATTAACTGTGGAGGCTAGCAAATGCAATGACTGACTTTCGCTTATTTGCTATTTAGTGAAACTCTTGTCGTCAAGGATATTCCTGAGGAACTCATGGAACTTGCTACCGAGAAGAGACATGAACTGATTGAACAACTTGCCAACGTTGATGACGAAATCGCTGATATCTACCTACTTGAAGAAATTCCTACTACAGAACAATTTATGACCGCTATTCGTCGCTCTACCCTCGCTCTCAAGTTTTCTCCTGTTTTGATCGGTTCTGCTTTCAAAAATCACGGAGTTCAACCGCTCTTGGATGCTGTCATTAATTACTTGCCCGACCCTACTGAAGTTACCAACACGGCTTTGGATATTTCCAACGAAGAGAAGCCTGTGCATCTTAAGCCTTTCTCTGATCACCCATTCGTCGGTCTTGCCTTCAAGCTGGAGGAGGGACGTTATGGACAGCTTACTTACATGCGTATCTACCAAGGAACTTTGAAGAAGGGATCATTCGTTACCAATGTTAAGACAGGAAAGAAGATTAAGGTTCCTAGACTGGTTCGTATGCACTCTGAAGAAATGGAGGATGTCGACGAACTTGGTGCTGGTGAAATTGGTGCTATCTTTGGTGTTGATTGTGCTAGCGGTGATACCTTCACCGACGGCTCCCTGAAGTATGCCATGGTAAGTAGATGTACAATGTCATTTCTTGCTGTTCTATGTACATGTTATTGATCTCTTGCTGCAGACTTCTATGTTTGTTCCCGAACCCGTCATTTCCTTATCTTTGGCTCCCAATGGCAAAGAAACTCCCAACTTTTCCAAGGCTCTCAATCGTTTCCAAAAAGAAGATCCCACTTTCCGCGTCCATGTTGATAAGGAAAGTAAGGAGGTTAGTACATTTAGCTTTTCTATTGTTCTTAAACAACCCATGAGAACATCAACCTAAACCTTTTTCAAATGTAGACTATCATTTCTGGTATGGGTGAATTGCATCTTGATATCTATGTTGAGCGCATGAAGCGTGAATACAATGTGGACTGTGTTACTGGCAAGCCTCAAGTTGCTTTCCGTGAAACAATTCAGGAATCTGCCAAGTTTAACTACACCCACAAGAAGCAATCTGGTGGTGCTGGTCAATTCGGTAAGGTCATGGGCTTCATCGAGCCAATGACACCTGAAGAGGATACTGGCAAAGACACTGAATTCGACAACCGTGTTGTTGGAGGTAACATTCCCACAAACTTCATCCCCGCTTGTGAAAAGGGCTTCCGTGATGGTTTAGAGAAGGGACCTCTTATTGGACACCCTGTCAATGGTGTCCGCATGGTTCTTGAAGACGGTGCTGCTCACTCTGTCGATTCCAGTGAATTGGCTTTCCGTATCGCCACCAGAGCTGCCTTCAACGACGCCTTTTCCAAGGCAAAGCCTGTTATCCTTGAACCCGTCATGAACGTTGCCATCACTGCTCCTATTGAATTCCAAGGTACTGTCATTGGTGGATTGAACAAGCGCAAGGGTACTGTTGTCGATACCGAGATCCAGGAAGACTACTTCAACGTCACTGCTGATGTTGCTTTGAACAACATGTTTGGCTACTCCACTGAGCTTCGCTCTGCTACTCAAGGCAAAGGTGAATTCTCCATGGAATACAAGGAACATCAACCTGTCATGCCCTACGTTCAGGAAGAGCTTATCACTGAATACAAAAAGAAGCAACAAGCATCCAAATAAGGATGTGATATCTAGACTTTATACATTCAATTCTACATCATACATAACATACATTTAGATAACAACAACCCCACACCAAAAGACCCCATTTCCCCATCAAAATAGTATCTTTGATAGATTTTTTACTTTGTTTTTTCCCGTTTTTTTATTATCTTGCACAATACACTCAGTCTTTCCCCATTAATGGTTTATAATTCAATTTACATGATGCAGCAGCTTGGAAAGGTACGGTCAACCTCCGCTGACAGGCGGGATGATAGCAACCTCATCCCTATCTTTTAATACCGTGTTTGTCTCTAAATCTTTTTCCACATAATCCATGTTAACAGCATAAAGAGAGTGATCGAGTATTTTTCGAAGCTCTTCGCCGTATTTGGTGGTGAGAATGCTGGTTAGATCTCCTAGAGAATGGGGTACGCTGAATGTCTCAGAAGCAATTCCAGTGATATCCCGAGCAGCAGCGAAATAGAGCACGGTAACCTAAGTCAATCACAAAATCAGCATTATTTTGAACTTAAGGATGAACGATCTATTTTTTGACGTCTTGCCTTGGAGGTACCGTTTTCTTGCATGTCTTTCGTTATGTCTGGCTTGGCCGCTGCAAAAGGGAGAAGGGAATTGGTGCAAATTCAGTCCCAAATTTGGAAACGCAGTACCAAAAGCGAAGTTTTTTTTTTTTTCGTCCCAATGTTAGAGCTCGAAAGAAAAAAAATTGATAACCTTTTTATTTCATACCTTACATCTCGATACAATGGTTCCAAAAAGTAAGAACATGGTGCTATATTCATACGGCATACGTTATGTCTGGAATGCTTTTACTTACTGATTGATTCAATAGAGCGAATGAGCAAGCGCATGTCATGTGCTAAGCGATACAAGAATGAGAAGAGAGCAAAAGAACACAACCGTAAATTAAAAAGAGACGCAAAGAAAAACCCTCACCACAGCAGTAAGTTCACTATACTTGTCTTCCTTTGCGCTAGGATTTCCTTTGACATTTTCATTTGTAGACAAATCCAAGAAAGATCCTGGAATTCCTAACAGCTGGCCGTTCAAGGAGCAACTGTTGAATGAAATAGAGGAGAGAAAGCAGAAATTGGCTCAAGAGAAGGAGGATAAGAAGAAGGCGAATCAAGCAAAGAGACAGAAAGCTAAAGAAGCCAAAAAGGCTAACGACGCTCCAGCTGCTTAAAGCTATTCCTCCCCTACTCACCATTGTCGGTTCCAAACCTCTCTTGCATGTTCCATTACAACCCACTTTTGTTCATATATTCCGTTCCTGTAGACAGCGGCACATAATAAAACTTTTTATACCGTGATCACATTGTAAGGCAGGGAGGCATTGATCTAGCGCGGACGGCTTTTTCATAAAGACGCTGAGTCGTATTGTCCAGTGTGTGGCTATAAATCAGCCCGTAGTCGAAATTTTGACGGATCAACCATAATGCTGTACTTTAGTACATTTGCATAGTCGTTACAGTGTATAGATCTGAATGAGACGTGTTTTACCCATGATATCTCATAGACTGTATTCATGTGCGGTTGAAAAATGCTGTTATGCCTTACGTTGCTTTCCGCCATCATGGTTCGAAGGTTATAGACATATTAGGATGATGGAAGGTTACAAACGTAGTTGTTTAAGTTCACGATTTGACACTGACAATTGGCGTTGTACTTAGTGCGCATTACCATAAAATTTGTTTCTCAGTTGTTGCTGTCATTTTAGGGTAGCACAACTTCATTGAAACGATGTCTTTCAGCAAGAAGCAGCATAGAAACGGCGTTGAAGCTATCAAACATGTTGAACTCGTCATAATCAGCGCCGGGTTTTCTCATCAGTCCAAGCCTTTTTCAATCCTCACTTCAAGCCGCGCCAAATCCAATTTTTGTTTCGTGTTCCGACTTGCTGCAGAGTCTTCGTTTGCCTTGTCATCCAACTAATTTCACAAGATGGCACCTTCAGCAACATCATCCCCGGGAATCGGTATTGCCAATCTACCCAACCAGCGTCATAAGATCGTGACTCAAAGGGGTGCAAACTTCACTTTAATGGTTTGTGGTGAGTAACACCTCTTGTTTTTGGACCAGGTACAATTTCTATCCATGACAACACGTTAGACTAAATACGCTTGAAACCAGGCGAGTCCGGTCTAGGTAAGACTACCTTCGTCAACACGCTTTTTACCACTGGCATCAAGGAACATAAGAATCATGTTAAGCGCCACTCGGAACAGTTGGACAAGACTGTCAAGATTGAGATCACCAAAGCTGGTAAGTGGGAGGGCAAACAGCCAGTAAAACGAGCGGTTACACCAACATACTCATCCGCAAAATCTTTGTGTAGAGCTGGAAGAAAAGTTGTTCAAGGTTCAATTGACTGTTATCGACACCCCTGGATTTGGTGACTATGTGAACAACAGAAACAACTGGGACCCCATCATTGAGTTTTTGGATGATCAACACGAAAGCTTTATGAGACAAGAGCAACAGCCCACTAGAGAGGGAAAGATTGACATGAGAGTGCATGCTTGCTTGTACTTTATTCGACCCACTGGTCATACGTAAGTAAAATTTATTGTTGAGAGAATTAAGCAAAGCTTATAACTTAACATTCGTACTGCAGATTGTCAGCTTTGGACGTTGAAGTCATGAAGCGTCTTGGATCTCGCGTCAACCTTATCCCTGTCATCGCTAAGGCTGACACTCTTACCCCTAAGGATCTTGCCGAATTTAAGCAGAAGGTAAAAGTTTCAGAGTAATTTTCAAAATGCCACTCCTATTGCTATCCTAACAAAACATCTGCCCGCCAGGTCCGCGACGTCATTGTTGCCCAGAATATCCACATCTATTCTTGTCCTATTGAAAGCGAAGAAGAGTCCACTACTGCACGTAACCAGGACATCATGTCAGCCATGCCTTTTGCTGTCATCGGTTCAATTGATACCGTCAACACTACAGATGGTAGAACTGTCATTGGCAGAGAATATAGCTGGGGTGTTGCTGAAGTTGAGAATGATGAGCACTGCGACTTCAAGAAGTTGCGTAGCCTTTTGATCCGCACTCACATGTTGGACTTGATTTCTACCACTGAAGAGACTCACTACGAGACTTACAGACAAGGCCAGATGGAGACTAGAAAGTTTGGAGACCCCAAGTAAGAGTCACTATATCCATTGAACTTGCGGTTCCTGAACAGCACAACCTCATCATTTTTATTACTATAGGGTCAAGAACTACGATAACCCCAAGTTCCGTGAAGAGGAAGATATGCTTCGCAAGAGATTCACTGACCAAGTCAAGTCGGAGGAGAACCGTTTCCGTCAATGGGAACAGCAATTGATCGCTGAGAGAGATCGCTTGAACAAAGACCTAGAGACTCAACACGCTCAAATCAAGTCTCTCGAGTCCGACTTGGAGTCTTTGTATCAGCAACAGAACCGTGGAACCATCAGAAGATGAAGTAGGGGATGATAGCATAGCCCAGGAGAACTGATATTCTAGAGATTTTGAGCTTGTCAACCCCCACCCCAATATGTAGATTAATTATTGATATCCACGCATTCTGTTCTCTTCTTTCAATATCTAAATACCATATCATTGGTAACTTTCCATGGCCGTAGAAGACAGTGTTTTATGCCATGAGTGGCCTGGCAAGCAAGGGTTAGCATTTTGTCAAATTGACAAGCATAAGCAATTTTTTTTATTTTGGCTGGCTGGTGAAATTTTTGTCTCAGCTAAAGCCCATCAATTTTGTGACGTCGATCGAAGCATCAAAACATAGAGTACCCTCTTGCGGTGTGCACAAACAGCGGTCATCTTACTAGTTCGAGCCCTACGACTTTAATCACCCTTATAGAACAACTAGTCAACCTCTGATACATATTCTACCATGACCGGAAACAAAGATTGTGTCGCACAGGCTGCAAAGACCACTGCCGTTGCTGGTGGAGCTGGTCTCTTTGTTTCAGCTATCCAAAACACCATGGGCAAACATACTGAAGGAGCCAAGGGCATCTTCACCCGAACTGGAGGCACTGTTGGTTTCCTCGGTACGACTACTCAAATGTAATTAGCGTCATCCGACTCGAATGTGTGTCCTAATCTATTTTCACTATAGCTGCAATGGGTGGTGTTTTTGCTCTTACAGAATGTGCCGCTGAAGGCATCCGTGGCGAGAGCGACCCATACAATGCTGGTATTGCTGGTTGTGCTGCTGGTCTCGTAGCTGGTGTCAGAGGTATGGAAATAACGCTTTCCTAATATGACCATCCTTGAATTCTTCATTTCACTTACTGATGGTCTTCTCTATTTAGCTCACTCAATCGCTACCATGTGCGCAGCGTGCGCTGGTGTTGGAGCAACCATGTTCGCCTACGAATATGCTGGTGGTAACTTGAAGGGAACGTTAGTCGACATGTCTGAAGAAGACAAGAAGGCATGGCGAGATTCGTTCTTCAAGAAGAACAAGCAGACAGAGGAGGCATAAGGTCTATCTCTCATTATATAAACGGTTCTTTCTTTGATACAATACCATCAACCCCCTCCTAAAAAAAAATTACAATCAAAAAAATACAGTTTTTGTCAATTCTTAGACGCATAATATCGCGAACGTTTTTTGCTTGACGTGATACTTTACTAATACTGTGATCGTGAGCTCGGTAAAGGCAAGGGATTCTGTCTCAATCGCAAAGATGGAAAGGAAACAGAGAAATCGTGGTGATGGATGGATTTAGTATAATTACTAGATAAACAACAAATTGCACGTTTAAATCGATAATGGTTATTTCTATATCGATAGAACATAAGTTACTCTATTTGAATGGGTTTAATTATGTTAAGCTTCGTCGCAATGATCGAAGAATGCCGTCGCCGAAGACAAGCTCTGAGAATTTGTCACACACGGACGCTCGAGCATTGGTGGCGATAGCTACATATTCCTCCGGTGACAAATCAATAGCTGTCTTCATGTGAGCTGCAAATTCATCCACGTTGTCTGCGAGGAAGCCTTCGGTAAAAGAAGGTTTAGCGTTTTACGTCATTTTTTTTTCAAATGTTCATTGAGAGCCTTACCGGTAGGTTGGTTATTATATTCCGTCACAATATCCATCAAGGGACCTCCAGATTTATGCGCGACAGGAATCATACCAGCAGCCTGTACATCATTCATCAGGATCAGTAACGGATATCTTGCCATGCCGATAAAATTGACGAAACAATAACTCACCATGTACTCTACGACACCAATACCAAAGTGTTCGTTCCACATTGTATGTAACCCAACCTTTGCTCTTGAGACCCACTCCAAGAGTTTGGGAAATGGTGCATTAATCTCAAAGATGACATTGTCCTGCAGATGATGAATTGGTCAGTAATACGTACCAAGCGTATGTCACAGTAGCATACACACTTACCTCAATATCCAATTCTTTGGCAGCCAATCGAAGAGACTGTATTCTGTTTTCGTCTCCTTCATTTCGCGAACTTCCAATGAGAACAAGGCAGGTTTTCTTTTCGCCCTCTCGGAAATCTGGATTATTTTCCAACAGCTTTGCAAACGATTGTAGCTGCAGCATGTGGTCTTTTTCTGGTCTATATCCACCAACAGTTTAGTGCATAGGTTGTGAGAGGTGGGAAGGTTCACTCTGAGCTATTCCTACCTGAATTGAGCCAAACTGGCGATAAAGCGTTCCCTCTCTGTAATGGCCAGCTCACTGAATCGTTCGGTGTCGCATGGTGGATAAACGATGTCTGCGTCGCGCCTCCACAAACTTTCAATATGCCCCTTAGTCCAAGTCGAATTGACCATAACGATATCGGCAAAGTTTCCACAGTATCCATAGATTTTGGCGAAGGAGCGGTAATAGCTGATGTAATAAGATTAATTTCTGTTGACAGACACAACAAAGGATGCTCATGATCAACGTACACTTGCTTTCCCATATTCCAGATGGTACTCTTAGTGTACACCCCACGCTTCAAGAGGACTGATGTCTGATCCTGAACCTTTTGCAACATGTCCGAACTGTGTGAAAATTGCTTTTAGACCAGATGTTACAAAGCAGATCAGCGTTACTGTTTCGATTTTACCTTATAGTAGGATAATGAACATATGCGGCAATTTTGATGCCGGTTAGGAGATATACCAGAGGGTATGTAAAGGCGTATCCCATGGTGTCTATGGAAATTCAGAATTTGAGTATATAAGGACTGTAGAGCCACGCATTGAATCTGTCCTGCGTACCAAAGTAGACATCTGGGATGACATTGTTCAAAGCCTCATAACCTAAGAATAGTGATCCAATACTTTGTCCCAGCAGCGTTAACCGGGGATATCTATAGCGAGCTGTTAGATCATATCCTCAAGGCAATTGAACTCTTTTTTGCTACATACCGATTATCTTCTACCAGATAACGTTTTTGCAAATAGACAAAGACAATTCTGTTTGGGTTGATGCTGATATCAAAGTTTGACTTGAAATCCCACTAAAGTTAGCTACGCTGATGGGTATAACTTGCTCAATTGACGTCTCACCTTAATTTTCGCTAGTATTTGTTCCTTTCTTGCGTCGGTATCACCAGTATATACAACAGAAACGACGTATGGAAAAAACCGCTGAATATCCCGAATGGCGGTCCATAATACTCTCTCGCCACCTCCGCCAGCGTTACTGACCAGATAACGTTAGTCTCTATCATTTGAATTCATTGTTTCATTCTCTGTATTTACCAATAAGGATGGAAGAATCCAAGCAGGACAGGGACTTCGTTCTCGGTGTATTCTATAGTAGAAAGTATTCGATCGCGATGTTCGAAGTAGGTTGCTCGCAAGTTGCTCTTAAAGTAAGCGATTACTAGCCATAAGATGATGGTGGTGAATGTGAACGTCGCCGAAATAAAGAGAACCAGTAGAAAGGTGAGAGTTATTGGATTGAACAGGAGATCGGCCATGGTGATTGGCAGTTCTGTCTGTAACCGAAGAGACCGAAGTAGTGCTGTTGTACCTAATGCGGGCAAAAATATAACCCCAGCTCAGCCAAAGTTCAACGTGGCAGGTTCTTCAAGTGCCAGCCCTCCGCAAAAGCTAGCACGACAATGACCTCCACGTCATACAATAGAAAGAGTCCAGGTATTTACATCAGGTAATAGCGTATACGCTGCTGTAGTCATATTAATCCAACACCTCTACCATTTCTTGCTACAACTAATGCTTCAGCTGTGAAGCGGATCCTTCAAGAAGCCAAGGAATTGCAGGAAGATCCATCGGTAGAATACACTGCCCGACCTTTAGACGTAAGCTAGCAACATGCTCTTTTGTATTTGGATCATCCATGGTCTTCTTCTCAACATTTTGATTCGTTACAGGAAAATATCTTTGAGTGGCATTTTACGGTGAGCGGGCCAGTAGACACCGAATTCGACGGCGGAAGGTAAGCGGATAACAGTAGCACCTACCAACGATGTGCTGCTAAAACGAGTCATGTTGGATTTAGATATCATGGCCGTATCTTGTTACCCAATGAATATCCATTCAAGCCTCCTGAAGTTCTCTTCCTGACCGTAAGATACCCCGATCATGATACTTATCATAGGTGCAAACTACTTTTACTGACTCTTTCTTCATCAGCCCAACGGCAGGTTTGAATTGAACAAAAAAATTTGCTTAAGCATTACAGGCTTCCATCCGGAATATTGGCAACCGGCTTGGGGTGGTAAGGACGATGAGAAAAAGTGAAATGATGTTTGAAACCGCGGTCGCTGTACTGATGATCTGCTGGCAATAGTCCGTACTGTTATGCTTGGTATAATGGGATTCTTTCCTACAAAAGCCGAAGGTGCTATAGGAGGCATTGATTATCAACCTGAAGAGCGCAAGAAGTTGGCACGTTCGTGAGTACACCCGTCACGATAAACAATCAAAATGTTGCATTGACTAATTGCAGCGCTATGTACATCATACAGCTCCAGGGGTTGGACCTGCGTGGCCTGTCAGTCCTCAAATCTAGAATTGTTACCTGATATACCTAAAACCGACGCGCAGCCTCAAAGTAGAGATAAGGCTGATATGCCGCAGTTCTCCTTCGCATACGCAGAAAACAAGCCTGTCCAACCTGAGCCGGCTCCAGCTGAAACCAACAACAGGACGGAAAGCGAAGAGCTGCTACCAACACCTTGTGTCAAGGATGCCTTAAGGTCAAGCGACATGAAAGATGAACCCATCACATCACGGGTGCCAGAGCTAAACAATGATACTGCATCTGGCAACAGGAAGTCCCTAATCAGCCAAGCACAGGGACCAACGAACTCAGGGCAAGGTCAGGCTAGCACAACAGGTGATTCAAGTCATTCATCGTCCAACCTGTCACCACGATGGCTGGATGGATTAATCATGGGACTAGTAGCCATCCTGATCGGCCTTGTTATTAGAAAGGTATTCTAATGTCAATCAATTAGGATGTTTTTACACTGTGTATATAAATAAAAATTGGTGTCAGATTGTAAACAGTAAGCCACGCTGCCGTTATGAGGTGGACATAATTTTAATGTTTTTGATGCGTTAGAATAATTTATCTATTGTACTATGCTACTATGCTGCAATAGGAGTCAGAATGGTGCAAGAAGGAAAATAAAAAACTAATGAGAATACGAAGATCTAATTTGTACTTGACACAGAAAGCGAACGTAGACAGATATACAGGTTTGGAAAGAAAAACGAAAGGAAAGGAAAGGAATATAGGTTAATTACGGAAGTTCAAACTATGGCTGGGGGGGAGGAGTACGGGTATATTTGGGATGTAGGGTTATGAAGAGCGATGAGAGTGAATGGGGTTTTTATGCTGCTGGTGCACAATGGCCATAAGCAAAGGTGGAGTAGTATGCACCTTCGCCGAGAGGACTATCTTCGTCATTGCCGGTGCCGCCTGCGGAATCCAGACAAGCTCTCATTAAGAGTCTACGGAGACGTTCATGAGAAGTTCTACAACCGGCCAAAGCTGCGCGTTCATACCACATGGTTGCTTCAGCCAGATCGACATCGCAACCCAAGCCGTTTTCAAAACAATTAGCGAGGTGGAATTGGGCTGCAACATGTTGAAGGGAAGCTGAACGCTTAAACATTTCGAAAGCAAGTTTAACGTCCTGTTCAATGCCTTGGCCGCTTTGAAGATGCATGCCAAGCTTATCCATGGCGCGAGCGTGGTTTTGAGCAGCGGCTTGTTGATACCAGAAGACAGCCTTTTGATAATTCTTGTTGACACCGATACCATTTGCATAGCAGAAGCCAAGATTGCATTGTGCCCATGAGTTGCCTTGCTTTGCAGACTTGCTGTACCAGCTCACTGCTAACTTTGGGGCTTTCTTGGTTCCAATGCCTTCTTCGTAGCAGAACCCAAGGGAATTCTGAGCCAGGGCATTGCCTTGTGCTGCGGACTTGTAAAACCATTTGAAGGCTTCTGTTTCATTCTTTTCAACGCCGATGCCATTACGGTAGCAATATCCGAGAGAGAGCTGAGCTGGCGCATGATCTTCTTTGGCACTCAAATAGTACCAATAAACGGCTCTCTTACCATCAACAGGTACACCAACACCATTCTGATAGCAGTAGCCTAAAGAATGGTATGCGAAACTGTTGCCTCTTTCAGCAGACTTGGTATACCAATGAACAGCATCGGTGGCAGATTTAGGCACGCCAATGCCATTTTGATAGCAGAATCCAAGATTGTGTTGAGCTCGTGCATGACCTTGATTGGCAGCTTGTCGATACCAATAGGCTCCTAGACGTTCATTCTTTTCGACACCAATGCCATTTTGATAACAGAAACCTAGATTGCATTGAGCCCAGGGGTAACCTTGATCGGCACTCTTCTGATACCATGTAGCAGCTTTTTGGCTATCTCTATTGATGCCAATACCGTCTTCATAACAGTAACCTAAGGAGTTTTGAGCAAAGGCATTGCCTTGTTCGGCAGCAAGTTTGTACCATTTGACCGCTTCCGTGACATTTCTTTCAACTCCGATTCCATCTTCGTAACAGTAGCCCAAGTTGTAGATCGCGACGGTTTCGCCTTGGTCAGCTGCAAGCCGGTACCAGCGGATGGCTTCAACGTCGTCTTTTTTCACTCCATAGCCCTCTCCGTAGCAGTAGCCAAGGATACCTTGACCGCGAGCATTGCCTTGTTCAGCGCTGGTCTTGTACCATCGAAAAGCTTCAGCCTCGTTGGCTTTGGGACCAACTCCGTCGTGGTAACATACACCAAGAACATATTGTGCTTCAGGGCAGTTATGTTGCGATGCTGCTTCTCGAATCCACTGAATGGATTCCACGCCAAGGTTGCAGAGTCGCTCAGTCCATAGTTCAGCTTCTCCTCGATCTATTTTGACACCTGGACGGCCGTATTTTCGTAAAAAGGCTAAGCGAGCCATCGCCAAGCCATCACTCTTTCTTGCAGCTCTTATGTACAGAGCTTCTGCTTGGCGGAAATCAGTTGCGATGTTGCCGAGGCCGAATTCATAGCAAAAACCCAACACTCCCTCTGCTTGGGCATGCCCCTGAGAGGCGGCCTGTCGTAAATAGGTGACGGCAACTTTGGGATCTTTCGCAAAGCCGTTGGTACCAAAAAGATGGTTGTTGGCGGTTTGAAAAAGATGTGATGCTAAGGGGTCGGATGGCATATGATGGGTTGAAGGAGACGAGTTTGATTTAAATAAATCAGGTGTTGATGAATCTTTAACAGTCAGTCTAGCAAAGACACGACCAAAGTGGTGTAATATTTGTGAGTTTGATCTTTTTGCTGACATCCAGCAATAAAGTGAAAGAAGATGGGAAAAGAGGTTTCTGTTTAAGCAAGTTTAAAAATATATAGGATGAAAAGAGAGAGAGAGACGAAAACCAACTAAAGACGAGCGGAGACATAAAGTTAAAAAAAAATTATGTGCTGTCTGGTCACACACAGGATATTCTGTGTCACTAAATGATCATGGATTTGCCCTGAGGAAAGGTTGCTGTTTGGTTTGAATACGATGGGGCCACTCCTGACTTTGTTCTCATGTTGACTACGATGCGACGACAGTAATAATTTCAACCGGCTTAGTCCTTGCTCTCCCCTGATCGCTAAGGCCCCCCCCACTCTACCGCATTTTTAATTGGGTGAATCGGCCCCATGTGTATCAGCTACGCTATTGGTTTGGTTTTGTCCCTATTGGTTTTTGATGTTAGATGAAGGCGAAACATAACAAATATAATCCATCGGTCATATCCTAATAACCCAACCTGACTTCAATACGATGACGACGACCTGGTCCACTCTCCCATAGGTTATTGGTTCTGAAATATCCCAGTTGTGCCTGCCCTATTGGACCTTTCTCCTATTCTTTTATGCCTAAAACTCCAATCTCCCTTCCAATATCTCCTTTACCATCCCATTTCTTTGCTTGTTGGTTTTTGGAAACTCACCCAAACGATTTGCAATGTGTACTACACGCAATAAGCGGATTCAACCGCCCAGCAGTAATTAACATTTCCTCCAATCACATGGCGTCTATGATTATATTAGTTTTATTTTGGCGGGTATTACCTAAAGTGCTATGAACAAATCCGCTTTTTGTTCAGCTCTCTGGATAGAGATCGTAATGCTGCTTATCTTCCTGCTCGTTTTGCGCACGAATGGGATACAGTATGTAAATGCATGATTATGATGCGGCCAAAATCAAGCTTGCTTTTTGCATATTGGAGTCCCGATAGATGCCGTGTTGTGCCTGTAGATCAACTCAGTCTGACCTAAAGCAAAATAATAAAATTTTTGTGGCAGTGGAGCTATCGCGAGTACCCTACCTGCATTGCTGTTCTGGGTACCTAGCAAGCATAAATATGCCAACCTGGCAGATTTCTTTTCTTTTCAGCAGAAGTAGATCAAGCCACCGTCATAATGATTTTTCCTTTTGCAAAACATGAGCCTATGGCTCAAGTTTTCGAGCCATTGCCAAAGCAGTTTTCAAGGTAACAACAAGGAAGATCAGCCAGTTCTGTGATAGATAACACCGCTTGCCGACATTACAAGCTCAATATCTATATATATCACCTACTAGAAATGTATCAGACAAGATACTGAGATATCGGGTTGCGAGCTAGTTTTAAAGCCACTTCCGTTTTGTTATCTACCAATGCCAACTGTTCTGTTTGTGTTCTGTCAGTATGGACTGACCAAATTGTGTCACAAAAACAGTCATTTGTGCGGGAAAAACACTGGGCGACCCGTTGGCTCCGATTAGCGAAAAAAAAAAGGACCCAGTTCGCAACCAGCGTTGACAGCTCTCCCAGATTGACACCGGAGCCTGTACAAGGAATTCATACTCCAATTCAAACAGTGATCTCACATTCTGACCATTACACTTGGGAACATCATCACCCCAACACTTTAATCACTAAAAGTTTGTGAGCGGAAACAACTACAACCACCTTATGCAATAAACCATGCAAAGTATCAATTCCTGGAACATTGTCAAGGACATCACACATATCCTTTCCGCCCTTAAGTTTACAAAGTTGTTACGTCGCAAAACAGTCTCATCTTTGGCAAAAGGTAAATGATTTGAGAACAAAATGGAAAAGAGATCTTAGAATATGACGTAGGTTCTAGACAGCTAAAATGTAAAGATTGGTCTAGATATAGCAATCGTTGCTGCCGGTATTCGGTAAGGGAATGAACGGATGACTTTACCCATGTATATCCTGGGTTGACCATACCTACACAACTACCTACAAGTGCATCATTTTTTACATTTTTTTTACTATAGTGTCGCGCATCTCGTGGATGTTGCATATCTCAAACGGGAGGAGGCGTCAGAATTGCAGCATCAACTACAATCGGTAAGTGTACTTCCCTCTCACAAAAGTGGGTCTATGTAACCGTAAATAAGAACGTATTGGGAACATATAATAAAAAAGAAAAAATTGGCCACCCCTCAAGCTTCCTATATGTCAACCTCTCTACATCATTCACATTGGAAACGAGTACACTTTTATATGTCACCGACATCTATTAGAGCACCAAGTCATCCATTGCGATGACTACAGTCGATATTACGTCTGTATTGACGAGGCTTTGCGGGGTCCTACATTGGTAAACCATTTCGCACGATCTGTGCCTGACATTGTCGTTGTGTAACAGGGTGTATTCATATCCTTCTTTTTCAGCAATCGTTCTGCACACCGTTAGCACAATTTATACACCACCAATTGAAGCCGGCGTTGTCTGGGCCCGATAACCTTCTGACTATCGACCCAATCCCTTCCTTTATGATTTCCCTTACCGGTTGGCTGTTGGAGTATCCTGTCATATACGTTCAATCTGTTGCTGATAAAGAGGATGCGTCACTAGAGTGGCGCCCGGCGTCAGGGAATTCATTATCTGGGGTTCCTTTAACTGTGGTCACTGTGGGTATCGGATTTGGACAAGAACGGTAAGTCTAGTGTATAAAAGAAAAATGCTTATCATGACGGGCTGCACAGTGCGCTCTAATCAAATAAAAATTCTTTTTATATTAGCCACGACCATCGCATGCTCAGCTTTAGTTACCCCAGTTTGCTCTTCAACGAGCAACAACACCAAGCCATGCACAGCAACTTGTTTACAATGGTTCAACGCAGGTGCGAAGCTTCGTCGAGTGATATTTATTTCGAGATTATGATTACACAGGAGACGTTGGATAGAGTAGCGATGTGATGCGAGAATGATGTGGCGGGATACCCAATAGAATTTTTGCAGACTTATGTTACACTGAAGGGTTCTCTCGTAGGACAATATTTTTTTGCACTTGTGGTGGGGGGAGTGGATACTTTTCACCCTATGTCGGCTCGTCTGAACAGGGAGTGGGGGGAAATCGGGAATAGTCGTATACATGATGATGATTCTTTGATCAAGTCAAGTCGTTATCTTGGCTTGTTTCGTTTTGGGCATACCTAAAATATTTTAATTAGGACGATGAGGAGAAGCTGTCCCATTCATGGAAAACCCAATTCAATTACGCTAATGCTGCATTTTTAACCTACACCCGTCAACCACTTACCCACGCAATGTGACTCGTACTTCCGCAGTAAGAACACGCTGGTGATGTTGGGGACTTTGGCATATTGGGAATGCAGAGAAAGAGTAAATATAAAAAGAGATAATCTTATCGCAAGGAAGAAATAAAAAATATATAAAAAAAAAGGTGGGGAGGCACGGGAATGGATGCTTCTACTGGCAAAAGAAGCCTTTTATATAAATATATATTTCGGAAATCATGGTCAGAGTCATCCATAGCTATCAGACCGTGCTCTTTGGGTCACAGTTCTCACGCAATTCGCCTTTCTCCTCCTTTTACTCACCCCCGACTCCAAAGAGCCACATTTGTTTGTTATTTCGCCTAGGTGGTGTCAATCAAGAAAACCAACACATTAGTTTTTTTTATTTCTCTCTCTCTTCAAACTGCAAAGAAGGGCAGCCCGTTTTGGGGAATTGCTTGCAGGTGACAGAGCGAAAGTGGAGAATTGCTTGTGGGGGCGAAATGCCATTTTGGTGAATGATTTCCTCAAGCATGTAAACTTTACTCTACCAGCGACAAAATCGTAATGTATTCACAAAAATAAGATACTTAACATAAAAAAACGAATTCTAAAGCAGCCAGCCCTAGAGTTACACTCGCATCCGAAAATAGAGTGAGCGCACCTCTTCAAATCATTGCCCAGTTTTCTGTTGGGGACAAACCAGCAATGTTTACCCATGTCATCAGCTTCGGAAATTCCCCCCAAGTTTCCCATGGTGCATTCAACCCCACCGTCCCAATATTACCCGAAGAAGTTGGTTCAGGATACTTACTGTAAGACTGTCCAACACTAGCCAGCCCACCCAGTTCTTCGGCTATTGAAAAAAAGTAAGTTTTTCAGTCCCCGGAGGACGAGGCCCTTACCTTTCAGAAATGACATTCTTCTATTTGTTTGTCAAGAAGCGTACTGATATACAAAATGTCATTGCATCGCTAAATTTAATGAAGGGATAGGGCTTTGATGTGGCGTGATGACGTCCATTTGGGAAAAACACCTGCTACCGTGTCAAAGATGCGATTTCTCTATCAACTGACGCATGATCTAATCTGGCAGGAGTTTCGTGAATCAAACGTAAGGTGGGAAAATTCTCAAGATGCAACGGTTGAAAAGTTTGTTCATTTCACTGATTAGGGTCATCAACAAACTTAATGATTCAAGGAAACATGCATCCATGGGATGCTTACATCCATAACATTTGACTGATATGGCTACATAATGATGATCACGGTTTTTAGTCCACAGGCATTGCAAGCCGCGAACAACGTGATGATGAAGTAGGCTATTCTGGAATGCACGTTGTGCTGCATTGATGATTTTTGCTCACTGAAGGACATAAAGGGACAAAGTCATCATTTTAAAACGTGAATATTAACCGAATACAAGATGGCTCGTAAAAATAAATAAAATAGAGATCCGTCTGAGCTCAATAAGGAGGAAACCTATCCTTTTCCGTGTCACTTGCTTTTGAGCAGCCATAAATCAGAGCTAAACTTGCCAACTGCGAACATGTATATTCTTTTATGAAACAATTCTGGCGTTCATTAACTAGGATCAGTTCAATTTATCTCGAACGATGTCAGAAATCCGTTCGACTGGATCAAAAGACAAGATTTGTGCCTGCCGATCTCGGAACTGTCTGCACAGTGCACCGCATAGTCGATCGGTTAGTTGCTGCAAATAAGATGAATCAGATATGGACAAGACTTTGAAGTATATAGGTGAGACTTGTGTATGCAACGGTATCTGTCGCGCGACTTAGCTTACAGTGGCGCGTATGTAGCAGCATAACACGTTGTTGCATTACACCGGTATTCCACTATTAACCCAGAGAGCAGTCAGTGATGAGCTTATTAGAAAAGATTAGCATCAAAAGACAATAAACAGAACGACGTTTTGTCTCAAAAAATGACTTTAAAATTTTACTTTTAGGTTAAAAGATGTACCTGTGAATACAGTACGGAGTTCTCATTACGGATAAATATCGAGTAGCTGGATAATTGCATGCTTCGAGGACGGCAAAGGTTTCGTCTAAGCCAAGCATCATTGCATGGCGTTGCTTCTCTTCTCCACACCACAACATATGCAAGATGTAAATGCCGACGATTTTATTATAGATACAAATACCGATCCATCTACCTTCCACAGCGGCCAATATGATAATACTGGTGCATTATCCGCATCGCTTCCTACCTAATAAAGGCATCAAGTAAAGGGCAAAGGGCTAGCTCCAGCTTAGTGCTCTTGTTGATGTCGAAAGCGTCGGAGGCTGCTCCTAGCGCGAATGGAATTTGTCTCCTCAAAGAGCGCATGAGATCATCATCCATATAACGACTTCATGTGGCTATGGAAGTTTGCCCTTGGCGTCAAATGATATTATATCTGAACTTGTAACCATATGGGATGACTGCGCACAGGTAAACTTGTGCGAGTGAAAATACTGTGCCACATATATAGTTCGTGCCATGTGGTTATGTCCATGTCTCGATAAACTTGATCTTCTCATCATTTCTAAACTTACTCTCCATGTTCACTGCATCAGGGCTATCTCTAGCAAGTATCTGCTCAACCGTATTCGCAGCTAAGCCTGATGTTCCGGATACTGACTGGGTTGCATATGAAAATGGCACGGTCGTCCAGGTTACAAAGAAGGAAGTAACCGATAAGGAAGACTTGATTCGACGCGCTAACGAAGCTATTGCTGTCGAAGTACAAGTGGGAGCTCCTTCAGCAGACTTCAACATAGCTCGACTGAACGTGTATTACCCAGACAAGGATATTTACGCTGTCCTCTACTCCTTACCAATGAATATGATCACCGTCATCGAGAACAACAGTGGCAATGAGCTTTTAATCGGGATTCTCGGTCGAGAGTACAGAAGACTTGATTGGGAAACAAGAAAAATAGTGGCAACTTCTAGAGATTGACATATTTAGAAGCGATATCTAGTTGCTGTGAACGGGCAACGAACATCCTGAAAATAAATATACCGTTTCAGCCATTGTGAATTCTAAACTCTTGCCCATTGCTGTGTTTCTCCCAACAATGATGAGGAAGAGAGATGGCCCATTTGGATTTATGTCTTATTCATCTAGCCAACATGCATAATGGTGGGCGATCTCGTCGCAATGATGCCAGCAACTATTCACACAGCCTGGAGGTCCAAAAGAACAATTTTCAATGTTTTGAGATCAAGGCAAGCTATAATTTACCAGTAATACTTATTACATAACATAACATAACATAACTCAGGTACAATGATAGACTGTCGTGTTCCTCATATAAATCGAATCAGGTTAAGATGTGTACGTCGTCCACAAATCTAGTAACCGACAGCCGTCGAAGGATGTACCTACATCTTCCATGACGGTACAGGATATATGTATATTGCGGCACTATCAAATTTTAACGGAGACAGGTGTTTGCGCGTTTGCCTAAATTATTTTGAAAGAGTATGATAGCGATATTACTACGTAATCAGGCAAGTGCTTATTATGATATGCGTTGAAAATCGTAATGTGAACATCAGATTTGCTAAGGTTTTATTATGGGAATAAGGAAGCAATATTAAAAAAGGAACTTGTCTGTCTGAATCATCTCTATATCTCAATGCCTTCACTTCTTTCCCCTTGTCGAATTTGCTATACGTTCCAAAACTTCCGTCACTGTGGCGAAACCAAATCACAAATATATTCTCAACCTACAAATGTTTATTCCTCTTTATTCCTTTTCATACTTCCAAATCGCATCAAGATAAATTACCTACTCACTTCGCGTGGATTGTTCTACTTGAACCGCCCGAAGACAATCAGGCGTCTGCTGAAGTCCGGCTTTACACAGGTGAAAAGTTCAATCTCAGCATAGTCCACTTTCCCACGATGGCATCAAAACTTCACGTTTTCACTCTGCTCCATTCTGTCTTCTTCTGTCCATCCTGAACAGCCATGTTCAAACAACGATTGTACACATCTTTCATATGCATTAGCTCTCAACCTATTAGAGTCAGGCCCACTGTCCTGAGAATAGCCACATGGAAGCAACAAGGATATTGGTACTCCACCCAACTAGGTTGGTTCTCCTTTCTTTCGCGTTGCTTCGTCGAAAACCGTTCCTAATGCCCTCTCCTCTTTTCAGATCGCAAACCTCTTTTCGACAAAATTTTAATTGCCAACAGGTACGTGCTTATCTAGCTTCATTTCTGAAATATACGCTCTGTTCGTAGCTGACGGCGTTCATGTTTCCGTACGTAGAGGAGAGATCGCATGCCGTGTGATGAGAACCGCAAAGGACCTCGGTATCAAAACCGTTGCTGTCTACAGTGAGGCTGATGCCAATGCTCAGCATGTCAAGCTCGCTGATGAGTCTTACTTGATTGGTCCCGCTGCGTCTGCCCTGAGTTACCTAGACACTGAAAAGATCTTGGCCGTTGCCAAACAGAGCGGTGCTCAGGTAAGCCATCGCCATGAGTCTCTGAACCGGCCACGAATTCCTTGAAAATTAACCTCGTCTTTGCATTGGTAGGCTATTCACCCAGGCTATGGATTCTTGTCTGAGAATGCAGACTTTGCTGATCGTGTTCAGCGCGAGAATTTGGTATTTATTGGCCCACCCGGTAGCGCCATGCGATCCATGGGATCAAAGAGCGAGTCCAAGTATATCATGGAGGATGCTGGTGTACCAGTTGTTCCTGGATACCATGGTGAAAACCAGGATCCTAAATTTTTGATGGAACAAGCGGACAAGATCGGCTACCCGGTGCTTATCAAGGCTATCAAGGGCGGAGGTGGCAAAGGAATGCGAATCGTGAACCGACCACAAGATTTCTTGGAAATGTTAGAGTCTTCCAAAAGAGAATCCATCAAATCTTTTGGCGATGACAAGGTGCTTGTTGAAAAGTACCTGGTGCGTCCACGGCATGTCGAAGTACAAGTGTTCGCCGACACGCATGGCAACACTGTTCATTTGTTCGAGAGAGACTGCTCTGTTCAACGTAGACACCAAAAGGTCATTGAAGAAGCCCCTGCTCCTGGTTTGAGTGAAGAAATCCGAGCTGAACTAGGTGCCAAGGCTGTTGCTGCAGCTAAAGCTGTAGGCTATGTTAACGCCGGTACTGTGGAATTTATCATGGACAATATTGACAAGAAATTCTATTTCATGGAGATGAACACTAGACTTCAGGCAAGTTTGGCATCTTTCAAGACTGACTTGAATAATGGCTTGAGTACTCATTTATTAAATTTAGGTTGAACATCCTGTTACCGAGATGGTGACCAACACTGATCTGGTTCGATGGCAGCTCGAAGTTGCTTCTGGAAACACGTTACCTTTGACTCAAGATCAATTAAAACTCACTGGTCATGCATTTGAAGCTCGTGTTTACGCTGAAAATCCCAACAAGTATAGATAGATCAATTGCTTTTACATCCAAGGTGGCGAAACGAATTTCTAACTTTCTCTTCAACTTAGTAACTTCCTTCCAGATACTGGGCCACTGTTGCGTGTCCACACACCCGAGGTTTCCAAAAATGTCCGTCTTGAAACTGGCTTCATTGAAGGAGATGAAGTCAGCGTGCACTACGACCCTATGATTGCAAAACTGGTTGTTCGCGGAGAGGATCGAAACGATGCGTTGAGAATTCTTAGACGTGCGCTTGATTCTTACAATGTAAGTAGATGAAAACGTATCTTGGATGGGTCTGAATTTCTCGGGGATCAAGCGCTAAACGAATTGTCATCTACCTAACAGATCGTCGGTTTGAATACCAATATCAGTTTTATCAAAACCTTGGCAGAGCATCCCGAGTTCATCAAAGGAGAAGTTGAAACTGGCTTTATTCAACAATACGAAAAGGATTTGTTGCACCTTACCCCTCAAGTTGATCCTAACACCTTGGCACTAGCTGCACATGCCATTGCTGTGAAGGAGAAGACTGAACAGAAGGTGAATCCAAATGGTGAGTGTGCCAACCATATTTTGGTTAGGCTTTGTATTAGCAAACACTGATGTATGCCATCTTGTCCAGATCCTTTCACCCCTTGGTCCACTCTTCCACAGCCCTTCCGTGTCAATGGAGGCACATCCCGAACCATCACGCTTCATGTTAACGATTCGGAGTTTGATGTCATTTTGGACAGCGAGCCACATGCTTACCCTAAACTGAGCAACATTCGTATAGTTGATAAAAAGACCAACGAAGAAATCTCACAGATCAGAAGCGACGATCCGTCGGTCGACGAAGATGGCATGTTGGTTGCTACACTAGATGGCCGCCGATACAAGGTGAATGCTGTCGTAGAAGGTGACAATGTGGATGTATTTGCGGAGGTAAGTGAATAATGTTCCTTGCGGAGGGAGAGTCGAGGTGTTATTTCCAAGTATAAACCTTTTTCCATCACTGCAGACCGGAAGATCAACGTTCACCATACCCACTCCATCTTATCTCACCGCTGGCGCAGCGGACGCAGTTGGCTCCGTCAAGACCCCTATGCCTTGCAAGATCTCACAAGTACTGGTTAAGCCTGGAGATAAGGTTGAAAAGGATGCCCCTCTGGTCATCTTGGAGGCTATGAAAATGGAACACATCATTCGTTCTCCGTTCTCCGGCACCATTGACCAAGTCCTCTACGCACTTGGCGACATGGTTGCCGAAAACAAGAGCTTGGTTACCTTTGCTGGTGAAAAGTAGTAGATATGAAGTAAACCGTAGAGTATGTAATCACGATTTCGCAAAAATGATTTTAAAATAAATAAATCTGTATACACTCATCGATGGAAAAGACGTTCTGTTTATTACTGTTAAATAGACGTTTTACTTGTTCTCCTTTTGTCGTCTGAGTTCCGTGACAATCGCCTCGAGCATTCTCTTGCTTCGACGGTCTCCTCCCAGTGTGTATCGATAGCTGTTCATGCAATAGCCAAATCCAATCTTGAACTCTTCGTTCCAGTAAAACAAACTACCTCCTGCACCCTACGTATGTAAATCAAGATACCAACCCAACATTTAGTCATTGCTTGTGCTAAACACTATTGCCATGTCCAGCTTTACTTACCGTCCAACCCATGAAAGTCGTGTTAAACATCTCGATGACTCCCCAACCTCCTACGGTCAAGGAAGGATTGATTTTCAGAACTTCGTCCATGTCAGTCATATCAGTTGTTGTTGCATAATCAAAGGTATTGGCGGACAGAAGCGACGGTTCGCCATTTTCAATGGGTTGACCTCGGTTTGCCATCATGGCAGCCATTTTGGCAATCTTGAAATATAGAATGATCAATGAATGTTACTACCAGGGCTAACGTCGTTTTCAAACCTTACCGAGCGCGCATTGGTGTGGCCAGAGAAGGAAGGGCTTTCGTAACGCCTGAGGTCTGATTTCTGAAGAAGAAGAATGTTTCTTTTCTCTGGAGCTGCTTCAATTATAGCTCTCTTTCCCGGGCTGTTATTTTGGGTTGTACCAAGGAACGCTTCAGGTACAGGTTCAGCAATCTTCCACAGCCAAGCCGGAGTGACCATGCGGCGTACCAATTGATGCATTGAGGTATGGTAGGGTGTGGCGATACGATGATCCATCTCGGGTCCAGGGTTATAGTGCCACTCAACGTTGTACGGATGATTAATTTCTTCTCGGGCAATTTGGCCAATTGTTCGGTGTTGAGGGTCGACGCGACGAACAATTTCGTTCAAATACCATCCACGAGTCAATGCATGATAAGCTCTCGTCTTCGTTCCATTCCAATTATGAGGCTGGGCGGCTAACCTGCTGGAAAACTTTTCTCTGTCTTTGAAATCATCCACCTTCAACGGCTGCTCTAACCACGCGACACCACCTGCATGTTCCATCTAAAAAAATTGGACGATAGCATTGACGAGTTCGGTAAGCTGACATCTTGAATGATGTAAGTTTTAATATTCAATGAAAGAAAAACATACCAAGTCCTTCAAAGTGACATTCTCCTTGTTCCCTTGAGCGAATTCGGGCCAGTAGGTGGCAATTGTTTGATCGTAGGATAAATGACCTTTATCCACAAGTCGCGCAATAACGATGCCGGTCTAAGAAATTCCGGTGACAAAGCATATTTCTCCCTTTAGGCTTGAGGTCTTCTCACGCTACGAAAATGTGAAAAAAAAATATCACCTACCATAGCTTTGCTGCATGAAAATACCATCTGTAAGGTTTCGTTGGTATATACGAGATTGGTTTCGCGGTCCATCCACCCTGCATACATATCCATTTTCAATTGTCCGTCGACGTACAGTGCAACGCCGGCACCTACGTCGTCGCCTTTGATAATGTTGTCGAGCATCAGGTCCTTTACATGTGCATACTCGGGGGCAACGAAGCCGCTCACCGTCGAGGTTGGGTCAGGACAGTTGAAGCCTGCTAATGCGCACGAGTAAGGGGTGAAGTCACCTTTGTCCAAAACTCGAAATGCAACCCAGGCGAGGACCGGAACCCATACAGTAATTTTTCGCAACAGGGATGGTTGAGCGACCGACGGGCTGGCGACGTTGCTTTTCTCGGTCATAGTGTTGAACAGGTGTGAAAGTAAGCGGTTGAGAAAGAAAGAAGTCGTTAATTAAATGTCAGACCAATCCTAGTGGCAAAATCCGTCAGCAAAAACGGGGAAAGAAATAATGTGTACCAGGAAAGGTCTGGAATGGATGCGGTAACCGTATTTTCAGCCAGCCATGATGACCAAAAACAATGCCGAGCATCTCAATGAGTGAAGGAAATTGGTATTGTATGAATGGCTTTGGCTCAATCCACTGTCCGTTCCAGATATCCTCCTTTCTGGACCGTGACTTTATTTCAGACACCATAGGAAGAAATGGAAGTCCATCTCTTCGACACCCAAAATTTTCCAAGTTCCGCCAAGGCCCAAGTCTATCACGTAAGATTTCACGATTTTATTATTTCATGCTTTTGTTTTACGCCAACGAAGCTTCATTCAACAGGAAAAAGATGTCAATACATCAGTAATGTGCATTTTGACCACATATGTTGGAAGAGCCATAAAGGAGCACAGAAAAAGTAACGAGGGTCGAGCTAAAAAGACATTTTTTATTGCGTCTTCTTGGGAGATTGCACGGCACCGTTAATACGAGTGCTGATTTGTTGATAAGCGGTTGAAGCATGCTTTTCAGCCATAGAGCGAGCAACTTGGGCCTTCTCGTTGAGGATGCCAGTGGCTTGATTTATACGAGCATCAACGAGGTCTTGGTGTCTATAATATAACTTGGGAACACTGAAGACCAAAGCGATACTAAGACCAATAATCCATCTGCTTGGCAAATACTTGGCAACAGTCCAAAGGACATAGAAACCACACAAATACTTGAGAGAGCGCTTGTTATCATCAATCAAGACAATCTTGACACCTTCAGTAGCAAGAATCTCCGATACATCGACAAGGGTGTTTGATAACTTGGTGACCCGTTGGCGGGACAAAGGTTGAGATCGTGTATTAAGACGACTGCGGTGAGGATTGGCGGTGGTGTTATTGATATCGGCGGTGTTGGAAGCAAACAATTTTTGACCTTGCACATGTGCATTGACGAATACCCAGTTGACACCTATTGCTATCGTGGCAATCGCGGCAAAAATTTGGAGAAGCGAATAGTGTTGTGTAATGATAAGTCCCAATAATGATGCTGCCAAGTAAATGGCTGACTTTGCGGGATTATGCCACATAATCAAGTTCCAGAATCGTGATTGAACATATTGGGTTGGATCTGAGTGAACGACAAGCCGTTAGTGACTTCGGTCAAGCAAGCCAACACAATCATTTACTCATAAGCATACCTTGTTCAAATGTGACAGGTGGTTCAGCTTCGACGGCTAAGGGAGAAAGTAGATAACGTAAATATGAGGGTTATCAAAGTTGGTATGTTTACGTTTCAAACACGTAGTAGACCCTTCCTAGAATGGGCTAAAGCTGGAACACGTCAACTGTGTTTTTTGGCAGAGCCATTCATTCAGCGACCGTGATATGAATCACCGCTGAATGTGACAGCACGCGACTTTGCTGTACGAGGATACGGCTTTTCTCGCTGCAGAAGTCTAGCTTTGCTCATCGATAAGAAAAAATGTGGCGGTTACAACTTACGTTTCAAATCCCTCTGGATCTGCTTGCTAAGAGAGGGCTCGTCCTTTTGGACAACAGAAGGGAGTTCCACTTTGCTCGGTATGGAGGTAGAAGTTAAACCGTTGGTACTTGGCACAGAAGGGACGGCAGGTTGGAAAGAATCCGCACTTGGCGCCGGCTTATGCGTGTAGGCATCCTCCACTCGGTCTTCACTCGCTAGCGGAGCAGGCTGTGCAACATGACTTGATGGTTGAATAGGCTCAGGAAAATTCTGCGATACGCTTTGAGGCTCTGGGCGAAGGTCAGGGTGAGTGAAAGTTGGCTGTTCCTCCATTTGATAAAAGGTGGTGAAGTAAAGGAAAAAGAGTAATGAAGTGCTTGTTTTTTTCCACCTGTGAAAATAAACGTCATTGTTGTCGGCGCTTTAAAAGCACAACATGCATACCAGTTATGGAAAACTCCCTTTCAATCATTGTGAGGTTTTTTTTTTCTTCGTCACTTTAAAGTCAAGATGAAAAACAATCTTGGGACAAACGTTTGCATAAAGATGAAATGCATGGAGATAAAGGCTTTTTAGTTAAAAGAGAATGCAAATGCTGGGGTTGGGTTGGGTTCGGAGGGTATTGGAGGATTATTTGTTGAGAACGGAGAAAAGAGGCAAATATGAGACGATCATTGAGTAAATGTTATTAAAATCAACTCAAGATAGGCAAAAACTGATTGCGTCAACAAGATATGTCAGTAAACTGCTGTGATTGGAATAGAATCATATCAAAAATAAATAACGTACGTTTCCAACAATGACACTAGGCAGGTCAAAGATATCCCTCTTGATGGTAAAACACATGCTAGCAGCAATCGGTCGTCCAGACGGCGTAAGTAGTATACACGAGCTAAATACTGCACTGTCAGTATTATCGAAAGCGTGAGTTGCGTATTTTTCCCAATACTCCACAGCCGACTCGTTACTCATAAGCTGTTAAAGGTAAACTGGTCAAAACACATACGTACAATTTAAGACGGAGGGGGCTCGATAGTATACCTCGTATATATATGTTTTCTTGTCAAGCAACATATCCCTTGACCACTGCGTTAAAAGCGAGAATTCCTTTCCAACCAATGCGATTTCACCAGTTCTCCGCCATACTACAGTTGGCGTACCCGAATAACTGATTAACTTTTCGTACTCCTGAATAGTTTGGTTAGTGAAGGCATTTATGGTTTCGCTTGCAGACTATGCTTCTCCTCCTCACCAATAAAGTTCTTTGTAAGCTTTTTTCCGTAAAGACCAGATCGTCTTCTGTAAGGTTCATCATAGAAGCCAGCACTGAAGGTCGAAATAATGCAAGAGCTCGACTAATCCTCATCAGATCTTCGCGACTCATTCTAAAAGTAGCGATCGTTGGTGGTCAGTCACAATAGGATTATTATTTTTTTCTCACAGGTATAGAGTTGTTCATTTTGCTCACCGTTCCTTAACAAACGAAATCAAGTAGTGGTATCCTTCAGCGTAACTGAAGGGTCTTTTGACATTAGCATATACAGCTTCCGGAGTATTACCAACGTTTCCTTTTCTTCGACCTCCAAATCGTTCCGACGTACTATCGCGCTTCACTCTAGGTAATGGCTTAGCAAAGGCAGTGTTGGCAACCTGTGATTGCTGTATCTCGGGTGAAGAAGTGGTAGACTGCATTAATAAACCGCTGCTGTTGATGAAAGGATTGGCTGTACTTGGCGATCCTGTCGCTTCTTGTACAGGAGATCCATTAGGCATACTGGTGGTCGGCCAAAGGGCAGCGGTAATGGGAGTGGAGACGGAACTGGATGGCTGAGTAACCGACGATTCATCATCAGCAAGAGGACGAGACATTAATGGCTGTGCAAAATTATTGGTTTGTGGTTTTAATACATCGGTTGGCGCCTGTAACATGTTCGAAAGGATGCTGTACTCCAGGTTGGCGGTTTCAGACCCAAAGCCATAATTGGCAAGTGGGAAGCCGAATATTTGTGATTCATCCAACAGCCCAGAGCCTAAACGTACAGACATCAGTTAATCCCGACACTTAAAAGATCTGAAAAAGATATATAGCACATATACTGACCATTAATGAACCCTTGATCTATTGGAGGTGTATTGGTGCCAGTTGTATTGGCTGACGGCGTTGTTGCTTGGGGTGATGACATTTCTGACATGGTCATCGTATCTATGGAAGAAGTGGATGAGTCTACATCTCAATGAAAGACGTAATATCTTCTGTTCTTACCCATACCCTCTGCGTCTTGCAGATATTTCGCTCTTTTCCGTATGCCGTCGGTACATGTGTTTGCTAAATCTCTCTTTATGCAGCGCTGGCATGGTCTCGCTAATTTCAAAACAAGTTAGCTATAAGATGTTGGCAGTACAACTCAGAACATGTATCAGGAGAAAACTTACAGTCATCGCAAGTTAAATGAGCCTTGAATTAGGATGGAAGGGTTGTGTAGAGAATCAACAGATTGATTAGTTGACCCGATAGAGTTGGCTAATTTGAGGCATTGCGAAAACGGTTACCTTTTGGCAATGAAAGCATGCTCTTGTAGCCTTCTTCTTCTTTTTAGAAGACGAAGACTGTTGGCTACTTGAATCTTCAAGGTCTCTGTCTGAATGAAATTGGTGGTCTTCAGAAGAATTGAGCCGTGATTTCTGGTCTTCAAGGTGTTGCAGCTGGTTCTGTTGCTGAGAATAAGAATAATTGGAAGAAGGCAGCATCGATGAGGTATATGACGATATAGCTGTATCAGACATCTATCGAGAAAACGATTTGATGTGTGGGGAAAAGAAGGGACAAAATGTTATAAAATATCAAGTATTGCTCTGAGTAGAAAAGGGGATTGGGTGGAGCTTTAGAGCGAAAGCATAGGCTGCTCATTTTTTGACTGGTTACCCTGGGATGATCGGTCTTTCAAAAGAATGGCATTACACACTCGCTTTTTTTTTTTTTATTTATTTATTACTTCGCTGAGAAACATCCCTGCTTAGGCACATTCGCTTAGCTTGGAGGTCTTCCATGAGTCGACAAGCCATTAAAGCGGTGGGTTCTCACGATACTTCAATTTTCGTTGGAGCTAAGCCTCGTAAGTCATATATGTTATATTATTGAAACCAGATAATCTCAATGGATTTTCCCTTTTTGTGCCTTATGCAATCTACAGCGTCCATAAATCTTATATTAAACTGGGTAGTCTTTTTACGAAGCTACCATCAGACTCGCTCTCACTTGACATGCAACGACTTAAGCCAGTTTTACTCCGACAGCCAATCACTGGAGCCTACAAGACCATGAATGTTTTGCCGAGATGGATATGATGTCTATGGTTTCTACAGTGTAAAAATGACTCAGCTTTATTATCACTAAATATTTTTGATCAAACGGCTCTGTAAACTTTGCATGCACAGACCTTGACTCCTCCGCATCTGAAAACTTGACCCCGCTATCGGCAATAATCGGAAAACTTTCCGTTTTTACCCTGGGATGCATGTCTTTCTTGAATCCGTCCCCCGCTCATCATGATCGACTTAAGCCAGCGCTCTCGAGTTTCATGGTACTGAACTTTTGCATTACAAACCCAGATCCAATTGGTTTCATAATCATGATAATGGGTGCAACCATCTTTGATTCACTCATAGTGTGGGGTTCATCTTCATCATTTTTACCCCCCACTATTCTCAGGATTAGCCATAAACGAACCGAAAAACTCTGGCGGGAACTTCTGTAGCTACAATCGAAATGATTTTTGAATTTCGAGAAAACGGGACCTTACAAAATAACGTACAATTCTTCTCAGACGTCGTTATTACGATTTGGATTGCAGCGGATGAATGTCGAGGCCATTGTCCGAAACCAATTAAGCTAGGTGCCAAAAAAGCCATTACCTCTGCCGTACCTTTGTAAACCGCCATTTCAACGAAGGCGACCAGGACAAATATCCAACCGCATAGCTGATATACTGATAATGGTAGTCATCCTGCATTATTATTTGACCGAGTTGTCGGTTTTGCCACATCCACTACGACTCTGCAGTCTATGCAGCCATGTGGCAATTTCAATTTAACCCACCCAATGACAAAATTTCTCTACAATAGCCCCTCTAATGGCGTGTATCCATCCCATGGTTTGATATTGTAGTAGAAAAGGAAATCTTGCGTATAATATTGAAAAAATAAAAATAAAAAACCAAGTTATCAGTGACGAGATTCTGATCAACTGGCTGGATCTCCGAATGGCTTATTTGAAGCTGAACTGGGACGGTATCGACGGAGCGTTTACACAAGCATTGGCGTGTTCCGTCGCATTTGATATTTGATCTCTCTTGACTTGACTTTATCTCCTCTACTCAAGATCCCACCTACCCTACTCTACGGCTCATTCCAAATCCTGAATTAATGACGACACCTTTAGTGATCGTGTTCAATCCCGTACAAATTGGACAGTAGTTTTGTTTCTTCTTTCCGTCTCCTAAACTTACGCAGACTTTCTTGGTCAAACTTGATTCTGCTCAGTGCACACCTTTATTTTCTGTATCATCATCGTAACCCTCTCTTAATAATACTACTACTTCTAATTTTCAATTAGCCTTACTTCTACATCATATTACATAATGTACTCACCATATATGCCATTCTTCACATCACAACAGCCGCGATCTGTCAACGGTGGTTATCGCCATGACCAAGTCATGTATGGAGACAATGCCAACTTAATATCTCGATCCGGCAACCGACACCAACCTTTAATGAAGCATCCTTACCATCCCTCAAGTAATTCATCGTTACCTCCAATCCCTCCTAACGGCCACTGTGGTAGCAACAATGGCCTAATGTACGATTTTACAGCTGCGGCTGCAGCAGCCGCCGCTGCTTCTGTGAATATGTCCACAGGGAACGATATGGCATATACCAACTTGGATATAGATAGAGGAGTTAAGCGAAGACGTCGACTCACACAAGAAGAAACTAATTTGCTGAACGATATTTTTGAGCGAACGTCGAAACCCAATGCACTCGTGCGTAAAATGTTGGCAGAACGTTTGAATATGAGCCCTAGAACTGTTCAAATTTGGTTCCAAAACCGTCGTGCCAAGGTGAAGAAGGATGGAAAAAGTAGCGGTTCTATAACTGGTAATGACAGCTCTCCGTCTACCAGCGGCGATTCTCCGAATTCAAAGAGCTTGAGTGATTCTGGACCAAGTCTCAGCAGATCAACATCAACATCATCGACAGTGACAGATACCACATACAAGCTAGTGTCGCAAGAACAAGAAGCATTCACTCCGTCATTACGAACGGATAGCATCACATCCAATTTGAGCGACTGGTCAACGGATTGCGACTGGGCCTTCCAAAACATGGACTATGGTTCCCCGAACAATTCAATGTATGTTTCGACCAAAGAATCTCCAGCGCACCAAGCTTCCAGATCACACGACCCTGAAAGTGACACTACCGGTAATTCCGCTTCATCAAACCAGGCATGGCCACTTGAGTTCCCTCTAGGCACTTGCGAAGGCGAAAATTACTTGGGAATTCACCCATTGAGACCTAATCAAGAGGTGGATCCTAATAAATGCAAGCAGGAAGATTTGTCGTTCAGTACACCGTTGGCGGCCGGAGCTGTCGCACCTACCGGACATTCCAACGTACATAATCCTCCTTCTGACTGGTTTCCAGACTGCAACGATCCCAACTATCTTCTAGGTATATATCCTCCGCAGGACATGCGAGTTAAAAGTGTTTGTTTTGTACTAACTCTCCGTTTATCAGCAGATCAGCACTGTATGCCACTACTTTTCCAAAGTCTTCAGGGCTTAGGTGATATTCATAGCACTGAAGATTTGTTTAAATAACCTACCTGTAAAAATTTATAGCAACTTGCACACAAAAAAATCGCAAAAAGGAGCAACTTCCATATTGATCATCTTAAAACTTGAACATAACCATGCACTTGTACCATATCTACTCCGAAACAAACTAAAAAGAAAAAAATTGTAGTCATTAAAATGCGGGCCATTGCCTATTCGTCTATGTACAATGTTGTGCGCATATACTATTGATCTTGCAAACGATGTCCTCAGCATTTGATCGAAACGCTCCGATCGCTATACTGGGCGAGCGATCCACCAACATACAGTAAAAATGATTTTATTCAATGCCAAAGTAGTACTACATAAAGACTCACAAATTTGTGACCTCATTATCGTCTTCGCTCTCAGAGTCATAGTGGAGTGCCTGGAAGAGCCACTTGTCGTCCAACCAATTGGCACCAGAAAGGAAGCCAAAGCCGGATGCTGAGTTGTCCGCCCTAGATGTTGCAGTAAGGCTACTATCGAACGATGGTTGTCGTTCATATCGCTTTGGATCAAAATCTTCCAAAGCTTGTGGCCCAGCCTCGTTAACAAATTCAGTAACGTCTTCTGATAACTTCTTTCGCATGGCGCGAAGATTTTCTGCTGCACTTGGGTTCGATACAGCTAAGAAAACAGGTCCAAGCGATCTACGATAAATTGCATACATAAGCCGTGTGTACAATGCCCCAACAACATTTATAACACCACTTACTTGTAAATGTCAATTCCGTTTTCCGTCAAGCGCAATACTGTGAAGTAGAGGATAGGCTGACCAATCCAAAGTGCAAGTCCTATGAGGATCAGATTTCCAACACTTAAGTGAGAATAACGTGTATGAAGATAATAGGTAGCGAGGAGGGAATAAAATCCAAATAGGAGTGGTGCAGCGACGAGAGCAACAAGAATCTTCCATGTAGCCAACACATCACGAGCCGCTATTTTGACAGACGAATTGGCGAGGGCCTCTGTGTCGCGCAAATACAGGGTAAATATCTCCGTACTTTCACAAAATCAACGGCTATTAATCATTACCTTTCTGCTTGATTTGACTGATATAAATTGCCAGGAGGATGATAGGAGAATTCAAAATGGTCCTAATGAAAGAGAATCATGTTAAAGTTGTGCGTAGACGTATACAGATAGGGACAGTTTAGTCATTACGCTGGCAATCCTACGGCAGCCACCATCATTAGCTGGGACAATCGTACAATCAACGTTTTGGCAGCATTGAGTGTGGCCGTTGAAGTTTTTTCGACCTGGTGATCCCGGATGCCAAAGTATTTGAGCGTCTGGTTGTAAGCTCGAATTTTGCGTGCTAACTCAATGACTCTGGGATCGTCCTTGAACTGTGTCCATCCGATTAAAAATCTGCGGTTTAATTCCACTACTTGCTCTAGGCGTAGCTTTCGATGAGCTGGTTCATAGAGGCGCCGAGCTGCTTGGATGATCAGCAAGACGTCGTAGTCGGGTGCATTAACCGTAACACTCTTCAATCCGTCACGACCTTGTTGAAGCAGTTTGGAAGTTGCATCTCTTTTCGCTTCCCCGCCATTTTTGAAATCTTGCACAAGTTTCTTATCAATCGAGATGGGTGCTCCATAGGATACAACCGCTCTTGAACGGAAACGGTGTGGGTGGAAATAATTTAGACCGACAGGCACAATCTTAACATCAAGTTCTGGGTATTTTGCCATGGCACCAAGTGCCATCAGTGCGAAACCGACTAGCAGATAAGGTGAGTATCGTTACTTATAAGCGACAAGATGCTGAGCAAGAACATACCTTTCAAGGGCAAAAGCTCCAAGCGATCGTGGCTGCCTCCTTCAGGGAAAATCACAATGGAACGGCCTTGAGCAAGCGAATCGTGAACTTGGTCAAACAAGTCATGTTGATCAACATGAGGAATAATTTTGTATTTAACTCCCTCTTCCTTGTTCAGCGCTTCAACGTCGGAATCATTCAGAGGTGAAGCCAAACGGATTTGAGTCTCCGATATGACTTCCTCGACCTGCACCTTGATAGTTTTTGAAATACTAATCAAATCCCTGGGTTGAGTCTGTTCCTTAAATTTGGTATCAATTCCTTCAAGCAAGTTCTTTTCACCAGAAGAGGACACACAGACTTTTCCAGCACCCGGAGCAGCAAGATCCTGCGGACGTATAACAGGAACTATGACGATTGTTGAATTTCACTATTTTGTAACACAGACAACCTGAAATAACTGCACCTACTTGCATGCAACAATCTTGCCGCCGTTCCAATAATTTTTCTCTTGAATTGCGACGCTGCCATTAAAGGACAGAACCTTACCGGTGAAGTAATCATAACCATACCGGGATCAACAAACTATTTCCGCGTTAAAAAGTACAATAAAGTTTCACCGTCAAACATACATATTCATTTCATGAGACTTTTCAAGTTACATGTATAGCTTACTTGGTTTGCATGAGGGGCGACGATAAAGATACATGGTTTGTCTGCAGGAATCTGGTGGTAGCCACTTGTTCTGATTTCACGAAAGAATATGGTGCTGATCACTTTGAATGACTTTGCAACAACGTCATATGACAACTGGTCAAACCGAGACTCGTCGAGTGGACGATCAGCAGCCTTTGCGACTTGCTGGTTAGACATTCCACTTGCAACAAAGGGGAAGAGCGGGGAGAGAGTGCGTTTGAAAAAATAAACCTGTGGTTATGAATAACCACGTGCGTCATGCGACGGTACTGATCCCACTTGATTCCCCTTTGTGCAAGCAAAATTTACATCACTGTAAGGTTTTATAAATGAGCATTTGATTTAAAACCTTGTATCGTCCATTCATTGTATTTTGTAGCCAACTCTATTCACTCGTTCCAACCTCGGGCAGAGACAATACGTCGACCTTGGTATAACTCCGATGCCCATTTGGCCGTTTTGCTCAGCAAGCAGCAGTGAGCCCTAACCCATTCCCAATATGGAAGTGAGTGGGCTTCGGTTTTGTTGGACTCAGCGCAGAATAGCAGAGCGGTTTTTTTTTCTACGCTGTAACACTCTTTGCACTTTTAACCATGGAGGATTCAGCAGCTTTGAGAAGACTTCAAAATCCAACGGTGATACCAACCATTGACTTCACTCAGCACACCATGGACGATGGAAGGCTTGTAAATACTCAAGAACGTGTTATTAAAGGCAAGCATCAAAATCATCTCAGCCCATTGATCTCGCGCTAGAGCGCTTGTGGCAAAAGGATCATCAAATTCTCACAGCATCAATCACTTACCATTTTGCTTAATTTCACTAGAGGTGCAAGCTCCGGCTGTGATGGTGCCAACTGATGACCAGTTCTGGTCCAAAGAGAGACCCGGGCTTCCCGACATTGCCTTCTTAAAAAACCATTTCTATCGCGAAGGGCGTTTGACTGAAGAGCAAGCTCTTTACATTATCCAGAAGGGTACAGAGATATTGCATAAAGAACCAAATTTGTTGGAAGTTGGTGCTCCCATCACTGGTAAGACGGCATAGCCAAGTAGAGTTGTTTCTAATATATCAGCGAGCGATGTATTCTAATTCATGCGGATCATAGTTTGCGGTGATATTCATGGCCAGTACTACGATCTCATGAAGCTTTTTGAAGTCGGAGGCGACCCAGCAAATACCACATACTTGTTCTTGGGCGATTACGTTGATCGAGGTTATTTCTCTATTGAGGTAAATACCCCACCAAAGCAATGCCAATCTCTCCCGTATTTTAACCATAATTTTCCATCAAGTGTGTACTTTATCTATGGTCTTTAAAAATGTGGTATCCAAACACATTGTTCCTGTTGCGCGGAAACCACGAATGCCGTCATTTGACAGATTATTTTACCTTCAAATTAGAATGTAAGTAAGACGGACTCTGCACAATATTTCAACGCCATAGTAACGTGTGATCGAATTTTTTTTAGGCAAGCACAAGTACAGCGAGAAAATATATGACGCTTGCATTGAATCTTTTTGCTCCTTGCCATTGGCTGCCGTCATGAATAAGCAATTCCTTTGCATTCACGGTGGTTTATCACCCGACCTTCACACTCTGGACGATTTGCGAAATGTAAGTCTTCCATTTATGATCTATGTTTCGCGGGGAGGCATCCGGTGACACTAGATATTGTTTCAGATCAATCGCTTTAGAGAGCCACCGACTCAAGGTCTAATGTGCGATCTCCTTTGGGCCGATCCTCTGGAAGACTTTGGACAAGAAAAAACAAATGAGATGTTTGCTCACAATCATGTCAGAGGCTGTTCATACTTCTTTAGGTAAGGAATTGGAAAAAGATGGATCTACCGATAAGGCATTTTTCGCAACTTGTTTGTACTCAATCTCGTTCCTATGTTCAGTTACCATGCAGCATGTGCATTCTTAGAGAGAAATAATCTATTGTCAATAATCAGAGCCCATGAAGCTCAAGACGCTGGGTACAGAATGTATCGAAAAAGCAAGGCAACCAGTTTCCCTGCTGTGATGACTATATTTTCTGCTCCCAATTATCTGGATGTGTACAATAACAAGGCCGCCGTATTGAAATATGAAAACAATGTGATGAACATTCGTCAATTCAACTGCACACCCCATCCATACTGGCTACCAAACTTCATGGATGTGTTCTCCTGGAGTTTACCCTTCGTTGGTGAAAAAAGTAAGAATGCTGTTTGTGAACTTCACGGTTATTCCATCCACACACTCATCGGCTTTGCATCCCTCTAGTCACCGACATGCTACTGGCTATTCTCAATATCTGCAGTAAGGAAGAGTTGGCGGAAGAAGAGACCAAAGCCATTGCAGCTGCCGCACCGAAGGTTCCTGTCACAGCAGAAGAAGCAGCAGAGAGAAGACAAATTATCAAGAACAAAATTTTGGCCATTGGAAAAATGTCTCGTGTATTCTCAGTTTTGCGTGAGGAGTCTGAACGTGTTATGGAGTTGAAGAGTATCTCACCCACCGGCAAATTGCCAGTCGGTACACTCGCTTTGGGTGCCGAAGGCATCAAACACGGTACGGTATTCTAATACTATCCATCCGAAAAATATGTAGGTTTTTACTCATACATCTCTTGCAGCTATTACATCCTTTGAGGAAGCTCGTAGATCTGATATTGAGAACGAACGCCTCCCTCCCACACGCCAAGCTAAAGAAGCCATGCAAAAAGAAGAGACTGATAGCAAGATCCGTGATGCCGTCGAAGAAGAGGATCAGAATCTTCATGAGATAGCTGATGCTATTATGAACGAAGCAGACCCTCAACAATCATAAGATCGATTCAGTTGTTTTAGTATAGTAGTTCGCAATAAAAGAAAATACTTCTTCATGATACAATGCAAGCCGCAACAATAACAACATCCAAATTAGGCATACCATCTCTGGTAATTAAAGCTGACTTTATGCTTGTTCTCAGCTACACCTTCTCTTTACAGCATAATGTATACTGGCACTTCGCTGCCATCTGCTATTGATGTTGAGAGCACTCTAAGCTATGAAACACTACAACAATGTCTCGAATATGCGTTTTCGTCACCCGACCCCACTGTTCAGTTACACACAAAGCCGACGCGTAGCAGAGATGACGAAGAAGTACAGTGTTTGTATAACAAATCCCACCGCAAACGACACTCTGAATCACCATCATCATACGACCGTTCTCCTCCAGGACAATATCAGTATATAATGCTGAGAAATCCTCCTGTTGAAGTAAAACGCAATCACCAGTTTGGGGACGGTATGTTACCTGGCTGGATGCTAAGGAAACGAAAATCTCAGCCGGAAATGGCAGTCAGCTCTGTTCAGCAGCCGCTTCCGTCTATAAGTTCCCCCATTGCCCAGCGCTCCTATTTATCAGATACGACCAATCCCTCCACCACGGATTCAAACAACCTACAAAGTCTTCATCAAAAATCTTCTCATCCTATATCTAATTCGCAAACCCAGTCTCAGCCCATGAAGCAACAGCACCAATACTATCAAGACACACCTCAGTCACCTACTAGACGCAGTATGGACACCAGCAATTCTGATGAATTTGAATATGTGATACTGCGAGTCCCTGCCAAAATGCGTAGTGCCGTACACGATAATCCTGGTTACTATGCACAAAGTGGAATGTCTTCACATGGAGCTCAAATCATTGCAAAGAAACTGTCTACGGAGGATGCACTTAATTTAGTCGCTGCTATTCGCTCAATGAAATCACCGCCTTCGGGTCCCATTGTTCAAGTAGCCAAAACACCATCTCCTCACCAGAACTATTTGTCTTCACCCAACTGGATGCAAGACAACTCGGGAAAATATGAATACCTGTAAGTATTGATTCACCATTGACTGGCGCTCGTGAAACATGGACTAAACATTCTGTTTGTTGTAACAGAATATTGAAGACGCCCATACTGAAATCATCATCGTCATCTACGACGACAACAACAACTATGTCTGATACCTCTAGCCCCAAAGTTTCACGTTCTTCAAACCGAGCATCTGTTTCCACTTCGCAGGCACGCTATGTGTATTCACCACAATCAGTGTATTCATCAGCATCGAATTCTGCCTCTACCTCCGATTTCTCTCAACCGCATAGTGCATCCTCTGCCACTAGTGTGGAAAGCCCCATTTATGCAACGTCAAACAAGAGCCATGTTAATCTTCGCTCAAGCAAGACAGACTATCAACATGCTATCGAGAAACCGCATGAATTAACACCGCCGCTTAGACAGCGACACCACAGTATGGTATCGGCTCCAAGTGATCTAGAGTCTCCAGAGCTTTATAATGAGCTCAGCAAACATACTAGATCGACATCTTTAAGCAACACATCCTATAATCAAGATATGCAACAAAAGCCTCATTCTCGAGAAAGGTCTCCTACCTCCACACAGCACCTCCGCAGATCCGCCTCAGCCAATACGTCTTTGCGTTCCAGCGTTGACTCCATGAAATTCACCAACGATGAATTATCCATGCATCAGCCAAACCATATGCTTGGCCACGCTACATTTTGGAACCCTCGCTTCGAAGGTGACCCTTCTATGTATGCCAGAAAAGGACTCAGTCAAAAGGTGAAAGAAATTTTATCGCCACGAAAAGCGAAGATTGAAGGCGCTATGAAAGACCAGCACCAAATTGAGAAAGGCTGGAGTGTTGCCAGACCAATGACTCCCCCGCATGTACAGCTTTCTATGAACAGATCTGGAAGACCCAATGCATTCACCATCTTAAAGTAAGGTTGAACGGCATCAACACATGCTTTTGAACACATTCTGATCCACTTTCTTGTGTAGAAATACTTGGGACATGACCGATGGAGGCCCACCTCTAGAATTTTCGGAAACCGATTTTGCTCAAATCGATGCGTATGCTGCTCAGGTCAAACAGCGGGGTCCTATGTTGACTCCTGAAGTCCTTTCTACAAAGTTCCTCACTCGACCGTATCGACGAGATGTTCACAAAGTTAGAGCAATATTCACTTGGCTGGTCCAGAATATTGGCATTGGAGCTCCCTTGGACGACCACATCCAGAGAAGACGATCTAGCATTGATGAAGGATCAAATCGTAACGATGATACCGACTGGATTGAGTCCGCCGAACTGGTACTTTCAAAGAGATGGTGCAGAACTTCCGTTGGTATGGCTAGGTTGTTTTGTGAGCTATGTATTGCCGCCGGATTGGAGGAAACTCGTATGATCTATGGTTATCTTCGAGGTAAGTTCCTTATATTTTTTGAGCAAAGTAGGAACAATGCCTTATGTATCTCGTTATATGCAGGCCCAAGAGACTCTCAGGACATCGCAACCTTACCCAATGGGAAGACCAAGAAAAATCATGCTTGGTGTGCCGGTAAAGTTTGGAGACTCTTGTTGTTTTAGTTCTTTGATTGAAACCCACGGTACTGATGAACCTTATGTTTAGTCAAAATTGAGAGCGAATATCGATTCATTGATTGCTACATCGCTTCGCAGTTCCACCCTCTTAACGATGGCATAATACAAGATGAATGGTTTATTAAGCGTCCTTTGGATATGATATACACGCATTTACCCTCTTCCAAAGGGTGTCAGTATCTTGATCCACCCATCGAAACCGAAACTTTTTTTGCATTGCCTCATGTCTGCGCCCCGTACTTCTTATATAATATGAGCATTGTTAATTTTGATCCCACTAACATTGAACTGGTAGACGATCAAGGTACGTTGGCATAAACAGCTAAACAAGAACGATTACAAATATTGATAATATTTGCCTTAACAGTATGCCATCTCGATGTCGCCATCGATGAAGGTGTCTCATGCTATGCTGAGGTAGAGACGCGTACAAACTACGGCGAGCATGAGCAGGCCATCATATCAAGAAAGACCTTATCACAATGTATGTACCTTGGAAACAAAAGAATATGTCGTGTCAAGGCCGTTCTTCCTCCAGACTGCCGCGTCGGATGGTTGAAAATTTATGCTGGCCCACGGTTCATTTCATCGGTAAGCATCATTTGACTGAACGACAGCGACAGTTATAGATGGATAACTAATTGTTTCTGTGAAAAAAAAAAATTAAAATTCAACACATAGGGTTCCACTCATGAAAAGACACCTGTAAATCCTTACTATCTAGCCATGACATACAAGTTAACGCATTCTGGCGTATCTTCATACGACTTTGATTTTGTTCAAAAATTTCACACTCCTCAAGAATTTTACATTCAGGAGCCTCAATGCTATAACCTCTTCCCTCTCCAAACGTACACCTTTCGTTTGTTTTCCTTGGGAGGCCGTAATCAAAAACTTGCTCTTCGTAGCCCCGGTGGTCGCATGTACAAGTTACTTTATTATCCTCAAGACATTAGCTATGACGGTACTGTCACTGTATCAGAAGTTGGCATTTGGAACTTGGTCAGCCTTCAGCAAAACACTGGAGGCTGGCATAGCATAGCATCTTGGGAATGTACAGCTTAAGTCCATAATAAATATTAATAAACATGTCTATAACGTTCGTACGAAGTCTGGGGGGAGATGTTTGTCTGAGAATGAATTTTAAATATGAGTTGCCAGCGGCAAACCAGTCCAAGTCAGTTTGGTTGTGCCTTCCTTTACGAGCATGTCTATACAGATTAGCGAATTCATAGGTATGTATACGTTTAAAGGCGATTTTCGTCTCCCATCAACCTAATCTCGCCCATACCTGTGCGAGTAAACTGGAAAATGTTGCATTTATTAACCAGACATTGCCGTGTTCCTTCATTATAGAGGGTGCTTGTGCCGTCTCCAGATATGAGCCGGATCTCTCGCTCAATCTCGAAATATGCGAGATGATTAATAAGAAGCAAGGAAACACGTATGTAAAGGTTCAGCATTGTGAGCGAAAACATTCCAGCGTTCTGTGCAAAGTTTAACTCACACCTACTTCTTTTGCTTGCAGACCTAGAGAAGCTGCCATGGCTATCGTCAGAATGGTGAACAGCCGACATCTCAACGTCTCCATGCTGGCACTGACGGTAAAGTGTTTTTTTGTTAAACAGACGTTAATGTCCTTGGTAGCGAGGACATTGTCATTCACCACGTGTACTGACGAGCCACCTGCAGTTGTTGGATAACTGCGTGAAAAACTGTGGTTATCCTTTCCATTTACAAATAGCAACCAAAGAGTTTTTGAACGAACTTGTTCGCAAATTTCCTGAACGGCCAGCGGTATGTGGTGAAATGTCTTGGCAACATGGCTTGGTATAAGTAGACGTGCACGGAAATATTGATCCCGTTGTATAGCCGTTTCCCAACCCAGTTACGCAACGTATTTTATCCATGATTAAGGAGTGGAAGATTGCCCTCGCCGATATGTCGAGGCATAAGGATGACCTTGTTCACATTAAAGATATGTACCGGTTATTGAGATTCAAAGGTAAGGCTTCGTTTACGCTTTTTTTAGCACAGGCGCGTTTGACTAACCGCAGCATGCTAGGTTACCGATTTCCAGACACGAGAGAAGCATCAGTGGCTGCACTAGCTCCGTCTCAGGTAATGATGCGAAGCAGTTGGTAATATATATGACAAGTTGGTACCCAGCTAACGAGCCTATAGAGTCTTAAATCCCCAGAAGAACTTGAGGCAGAAGACAGAATTGCCCAGTCGGCAGTAAGTAGAACATGCTATTTCTGAATGGCTCGGTTCATGGACCCTGGGCTGTTCTATTTCTTCTACCTCCATATATCTCAATCTCACTCCATTTATCCTGCCACCTACTTTTCCAGAAACTACAAGAATTGATCCGAAGAGGTAGACCTCAGGATCTTGTGGAAGCCAATCATTTAATGAAAATCATGTCGGGATATGTAGGTATCACATATATTGCAGGGTTGCAGTCGCAGGATTTAACCAAAAAATGCCTCCGAACAGGATCTGCGGCAAAAGCCAAATTACAAACAACAAGCTGCAGAGGAACTTCATAGAATACAAGAGAAGGTCATCCTGCTGAACGAGATGCTACTAAGTCTGAAGCCTGGTGAAAAGCCAGACAAGGATGATACCATTGTTGAGTTGAAGAATTCCTGTATAAACGCTCAGCCTAAGATCCAGAAATTTGTCACAGAGGAGGAGGATTCAGAAAGCATAGGTATAATCAAACAAACCCAGTTGCTGGAATGTTATTGCCACCAACTCAAACTGAACCACTTGCAATTTTACAGAGAGATTGTTGACATTAAACGATATGATCAACAATGTGACAGCAAAGTATGCTGACTTACGAAAAGGCATTTACGACACTCACTATGAAGTCAACGGTACTCAGCCGCAACAGACGAACTCCACCGAGCCTCCCAAGCAAGCTATTAGCTTAATCGATTTTGATGATGAGATGCCTTCCCATGGCACGTCCGCTTCACAAAGCAAATCGTCAAGCAATGCGAACTCCAGTGCCAACTTGATGGACGAACTTGATGGTCTTTTCGGACCCAGCAGTACTACTAGCACACCCGCCGCCTCTAGTACCAACCAAAATGCAGATCTGTTCGACTTGGTTGCTCCCATGGGAAGCATGTCAATGAATGCCCCTCCTAAGATACCTCAGCAGCATATTGCAGCCTCTCCCAAACCGCCATCCATAGCATCACCTGCCACCCACTCTGCATCGTTGTTGCCGGATTCGTCTTTTGGCTCACCAAAGACCAGCGCCACGGCTATTACCAAGGCTGTATCCCCTCAGCCTGAAGCTAGTGCCAACACCGAGAACTGTAAGCAGGCATACCTTTCGCAAAGTGTTTTAACGGAGCTTTTTTCTCATTTTTCATATCTACTTTACCAGTTGCCCCCATCACCTTCTTAGAAAAGAACGGCCTTAGAATTGTTTTCCAACCTTCGTACTCTAACGGCACCACTCACTATGAAGCTTTATTCTCCAACACATCGACTGCTCCAATGGACCAATTGATGTTCCAACTAGCTGCTCCAAAGGTAAGTTTCCTGGTCAAGCAAACGATGGATACGGTCATGGCATGGCGACAGGCACTAACCAATGCAATGTAGAGCATGCAACTGAAAATGGATCCTCAGTCGTCTCAGACTATTCCTGCCCGAAGCGTAGATAGCGTGCGACAGAAAGTGCACATCAAGAATCCCAACCAGGTATGGTTCCGACTACGGCCTTGGTTTTTATTTATTTTCCAAATGCTAATTTCTGTTCTTGTGCATAGGACCCTGTCAAGCTCAAATACAAAGTTACTTACGCACAACACGGCGTTGATATGGAACAAACCGGCCAATGGTCCTCACACGCCTAAACTGATATTTGTCACCCTCAATGACGTCTATAATCACCATGTTGTATTTTCTTGCCAACAATATTGGTTGGAATAAAATCATATCCATATTGTTCTCTACATACAACTATTTCGTCGCATCTAGCAAATAAAATGAAGAAGATCGTGTTTGAATTGATTTAATGTTGGAAGAAAATGTACAAGTCTGTTGTGATGTAGTTTTGAGTTTGTATGGGGGGATGTAGGGGAATATGATGGTATTGCAGTGCAGGTTTGCAAAAATTCGATTGAATGTGAAGTAGTAAATTAAAGGGAAAAGAACTCTATGCAGCATGACTAGTATTTGTACCGAGGAAACTCCAGAACCCACGAGAAGTTCCTTTCATGAGTTCATGCAAGGCAACTAAATTTCGAGTGATTTCTTGTAAGCTCCAGAACCCAATCCGCTTAAGGCGCTTATTTCGTTCTTGTTGATCTACGGTAAGGTCGACAAACCCTTTACCAAGTTGTTCAGATATCGACCCCATTAGCATAGAGTCATAGGCCGACCACGAACCATCAAAATTAGACTAAAAGGGAAGGGAGTGAGTGACGGATGCAGATAGACTCAAAAATCCATATTAAGACATTTTACCAGTGGCAGTACGACACGACACTTGATGGGGACAATGGTCTTGTTACGGTTGATATAAGCGACAATAGGTCGTACCATGGCGCTGCTCAAGTAAGTGAGTTCAGGTGTTTGTAATGGAATATTAGCCTTGGTATTTTTGAATCTAAAATCAATGTCCATGATAAACTGTGGTTCAGTGGTTGGCTTGGGTTTAAGCTCGTTTTCATATTTGTGAGCACCAATAACGATTTCATCGTCGCCGTTTCCTGTGCCTAGCACAACGGGCTGAGGTAACTCGATTTTGTCAGCGATCTCATAGACTAGTTTTCGTAGTAATTCTGTTGAGTCCGCAGTGGTTGCTTCAGTTGGTATATAAATGTCTGCAGAAACGTCCACTTGTCCAGAAGAGATCCATCCCGGTGGCCCTTCAATACGTCGAAATATGTGGTCAGTATTGACGCCATCAATGCGTAAACGGGACTACAATTGAGTGAATGCGTTAATACTTCAATCTATATTCTCAGCCTCCTTCACGTGGATGACTCACCATTCTTTTATAACCACGTTCTTCCATCGCTAGTTCGTTGATGATACCAAATCCTTCATTCTCATCGCCAACAACAACACCGTTGGGATTGGGTTTAGGGTAGTAGTGGTAGATGTCGTGGCTCCGGAATCTCGATGTCTGGTCAATATGTGAAGACTGTTCCAACACACTCTTTTCCAGCTGTGGGGTATGAACGCTAAACAAGCATTTGTCGAAAGAACCAACAATCTTGGTAGCACACAGGATATCATAGAACAGCCTATAGAATGGTTAGCAAAATGAAAGCAACATTACATACAAGTATGGAGTTATTGCTTACCATTGTTTGCGGAAGCGGTTTAGCTCGGCACTAAAGATAGATACAGGATATGGTCTAAAGCCATAAGGTTGGTAGACAGTGACCAAAAGGTCATCTATGGTCAGTTTTTCTAACTCGAAATCGCCTGGTGTATACTTTTGTCGAGCTGCAACTGGATCCCAAGGAACGTTTGGATCCCATCTAACATGCCGACGATCTTTTGCAAATAGACAATAAGTTAGACAGGTATCAAGCCAGCTTTTGAACGTATCATGCAGGCACACTTACCAACAACTCCACGGACTCCTTGCACATCTGCATCCTGAACAAGACCTTTTCCATCCAGCCATCGAACGAGATTCAACGTGACTTGGATACTTTCGATCCTCAAATCAAACCACATCCATTTCTTGAGAACTTCGTTGTTCTTTTCTTCGTCATCGAAATAAACACCAGCTAATGGATTATCATCAGAATCCGGTCCAGAGCTTCCTGTCAGCAAAGTTACACTCTCTAAGGCACCACTAGTGATGGGAGAACCAGCTGAAGTATGTAAGTTGTATTCATTGTCATCCTGTAGACTTGTCCTTCTTTCAAACTTTGCTCGCTCAGATTGTGGCATACGAGAAATGCGTACATTCTTGAAAGTAATTTTGCCCTCTTTCCAATTTGGAACAATCGCGGAATCGAATATGACGGTAGCGCCAGTAGCAGATGTCAGGTACTGGCCAATACGATAGGCAATCCACTCTAAGGAAAAAAAAAGACATATCATAGTTAGTTCTCGGTCATGAGATATACAGGTTGTAGGATGAGTATATTCACCTTGGAATTGTAAGGAATTCGCTGTCCACAGAATCAGTGATACAAAACTTGTTGTGCCTACAAGCAACCAGACGGTTTGACCAAGAAACACCCACGAAAACACGGCACCAATATCGTTGAGGGTCCACGGTCGCATGGATCGCATCAAAATAAATCTGACACGAACTCGCATCCTTTCAAAGAACCCACGAGCTTGAGCCAGTACTTCTGCTTTTGTCGGTCGGTGTGGTAAATGTGGCATGTGAGAGTAGGAACGTTTTGATAGGTGTAAATGTTGATGACGTCTCGCCATCATAGGTACACGTTCAACACGAAAGGTCTTATCAAGAGTTGAAAGCCGAGCATATGACATCAAACGCATTTCTAGGGGGAGTTGGCTACGTCTGCATGAATATTGCTTGGCCGCTTCGGTATGAGGTGACCGAAAAGTTCGTCGAAAACTAAGGTGGAATGCTCGAGTGATCTCCGATTCTACTTGTTTAGTGGCAAGGGATTCATGAATTGCGCCCAAGGCGGTCTTGATGTTTGATATAGTTGGAGCATTGGTCGTAGCTTCGTGGCATCCTGTAGTGTTGACGTTGTAAGCAAAGAACCCGGGTGTAAGGCTACGCGCAAGCAATTGCTTTCGGGTGCGCTTTGATGCAACTCCTTTGACGAATTCTCTGTAGCGAATCCTTGACCAGGTTGACATATTAAAGGGGTGGTGGAAATACTGCTTCAAAATGAACAGTGCATTGGGACACAGAGAGTGAAAAAGATATATCTGTATGAAAGCGAAGTTGGAAAAAAAAAAATAACAGCAAAAGGTCCAGCTGAAAGTACCCAGAAAATTTCCTTCGGGATTTGGTCAATGATGAAACCGCGACCGAATACAGACGTACTACGCTTGACTGACATGTATGTGTCCGTGAGCTGGTGAGAGAGAAAAAGGTCTAAAGCCATTGACTGAATGACTCCACCCACACTTAAGAAACCATCAGTGTTGGATTTTATCATTGCTTATCAAAGAATGGTCGTTCAATACACTGAACCTACCAATTTTCTTCACCTGCTGCTGGACATTTCACCGTCACAGCACTGACCTGAACCACCCAGCACTTACTGGGACCGCCAGAGGACCATCACTTCCACACAAGACATGGAAGACGATTATTATGAAACCATTGACTTGCACATAAGATGGTCAAACGAGCAGGATCTCGTATTTACTGTATCGCCACACGATACAGTTAGCACCGTTAAAAACAAGGTATATAGCTGGTGTCGTAACTTTTCCAGCATAGACCGGTGTGAGGCTAACATCACTGCTTTCATATAGATTAGAGAACTGGCACCACGAACATCTGATAAGAATATTCGACTTATATATGCTGGAAGAATCTTGGAATCATCACAACCTCTCAGCAATTACAACATTGGAAAAATACAGCGAGCAGAAAACTCCAAAGCAAAGATACCCCCGCCTCCACCAATATATATCCACTGCTCAGTATCTGACTATCGACCAGAAGATGAAAATGTAGAATCCAAAAATGTAAGAGATGATCACTTATGCTCAGTGAAGTGGATATGTTCATAACCTTTGCACTCGCTCGTTCCTCCAGTCACAGCCGCAAATAACGCCACTGATGGGATTCGACCGGTTACGAGAAGCCGGCTTCACGGAAGAAGATATCCGTAATATTCGGATGCAATTCCATCATTTGCATGGGACGACGTTTGATGGAGGTTCGTATCTTGGATGTATGAATGAATTGAACGATGAAGAAAAAGCCAGCCGGTAGCATGAATCATCATTTCTCAGCATTAATCTAATGTATCTACCATCATCTTTAGAAAACACGGAACAAACTCGAAATCTTGAAGAGCAATGGATGGAGAATACTGGTGAGACTTTGCCAGACGGAAGTGAGTAAAATTTTCCGGCTTCAACATGCAATTATCTGTACTAAGCAATGCCATTGTTGCTTGGCAGCCCTTACTGGCACGTACAAGGAAATGGTGTGGGGATTAATGCTGGGTTTTTTCCTTGGCTTGATATGCTTATTTTGGTTCCGTGAGTCTGTATTCACTAGACGACATCAAATGGGTAAGTTATTTAGGGAAATGAAAAGTTGTTAGGTTTAATAGTGTGTAAGCGTACCTAATGCTACTCTGTGTGCGCTTTAGGAATCATTGCTGGTATCCTGATCAACTTGTCATTTGGAGTTTTACATGTATATTATTGAAATACTTTTTACTTTATACAATACCGCACTTGGTTTTTTTTTTTTATTATTTATTCATTTTGATGTCTGATTTTCATCTACGTCTATGCTGTGGGTGGTGGATATCAAATCGAGGGGGGGTATCATGTACATAATTGGTAAGTTTTCACTGGCTCAGCCTAGTTATAATTATACTGTGGTAAAAACGGAAATGCTGTTCAAAAATTTGACCAGGTCCTCTTCCAACTTGCTCCGTTTGCGAGCTAGGTATAATGGAGTTTGTCGGTAGAGATCTAATAGGCATACTAAAGACTGTCGGGCGAAGTGTTGGTGTTGATGACCAATATATGGCGAAATAGCTAGATACTGTGGATTTTAAAAAGCAACAACTGTTATGAGTATGTGATGGATGGAGGAAACACCATGCTATGTGTTAGCTTACCTTATAGGTATCGATAGTGGCCATATAATGATACAAGTAGGGTCGAAACATGCAGTCCGTTTCTTGAAAGGTGGGAGCAAGCCAAGCTATAAAGAGTGTTTGTAAAGTGTTGGCTGATTCAGTACACCGGCTGAGTGCCAATTTTTCCAAATGGGTCAAGTTGCGCAATTCTCCCATGGGAGGTAAAAACTGTCGATAAAGAGAGATCCAGTTTGTACAATTTTCAATGAGGGTGCAAAAGCGAATTCGCCTTCTCCAGGTGGTCTCGGCTATAGGAGAGCCGGTCTCTTCTTGTTTAATCCAAGCGGGCAGGCCGTCGTGGAAGGTTCTTAGAACTTGTTCTAGGCTTGTCACTTTAGGCATAACGTGTGCCTCCTCCTGGCTGCTTAAGGTTGCTTTAGCCTGATAGATTTGCCGGCTGATCATCCTTGCCTTGATCATATAACGAACGTACTCTGTTCTTTCAATTTCGTAATGGTTCATTCCTTCAATGATGCAAGGCAGGTCAACTTTGATGTCTTCGGGGTTCATAAGAGCAGAAAGGCCGAAGAATTGTGGAACCAGAGAGTCAAATAGCCAGGTACACCAAAACAGTCTTTTGGCCTGTTCTATGGCAAAATTATCCTTGCATTCACTATATCCAGCTGGTACATGTAGATCCAGAGCAAAGCAGGCGCGCACCATAATGCCGATATTGAGATATGCCTTTTCGATGGAACCGTAGTCTAGATCATAGGTAACCTGATAGAATAATTTCCATATTAGCTCCACACTTAAGTTTCCAAGGTCAGTGTCATGCACGATGGGAAAGGCCAGATCGACAAGCTGTTCCACTTCTACATCCCTATGTCGATGGAACCTAGACCCATGAATATTGGTGGTACAGTATATGGTTGCATGGGTACTTTGGCTGAATTCTGAGGTGCAGAACGGATAGCGGTCTGGCCATCTTGTAGGTGTGACGAACACCGGAAATCCACAATCGGCATATTTGACGACGGCTTCCTCGAGCGCTACTTCATTGATGATAATGGGCGTCTCGAATTGCATGGTCTGGTACGAATGACTGTTGTCTTGGTATCGATTCAATTTTTCAAATACGATCATGTTTTGATATGCGGCTTGACGGTTAGTAGCATAGTTAAACGGTGTTTGAAATTGCGAGATATCGGGTTTTCCAGGACCAGGTCGTAAAGGAAGTCCAGCTCTCCCGTACATGGCTCCTAGTAATTTCAATAAAGTGGCTCTTAAATCGTCCAGCAACCTAATGTTGGTGTTTAAAGTCATTACACCATCTTCTCTCTCTACAAGCGTCCATCCAGCAAGGTTGACTAGCTCCTAATGAGATTGCAATGGTTTAGACATGGGGACGCGAAACGTAGGCGCAGTTGACCAATTCTAACCTGCATGCTCAACATAGACGAGCTCAGAGAATGATTATTATCTACAGTATTGTTTTCATCGTGCTTATGCACATGGGGTTCCATGGCATCCAACCAGTATTTGACTTGAGCGATTTCACGGTGAAGTTTGGTTATACGAGCTTCTGCCTTGTCTCTATCGTACATTCGCATTCTTTCGGAATAATGGCAGATGGCACCTTTGGATACACATCTCTGACAGGATGGCTTTTCTCTACCGCATCGTACTCTCTTTTCTCGACATCTGTGGATGTATCAATTTAGTCTTTGCTTGCACATAAAAAAAAAATTGACATGAATGAAGTGATCGAACCTGTCACAAGTATGACCAGCACTTTGTCTTGTAATTTGTGTTCTAGGTTTTTGGCCACCAAAAAGCTTTGCAGGCTTTGGTTGCTGCTTAGGCGGTGGTTTTGCTTCCATTTTAGTGTCGTAGGGCGAATAATGATTCAAGCTTTCTTCTTTGCATGGCTCTCGATAGTGGTTGTAAGGAGATGCTGGTTTCAGTAATCGCTCATCAGACGGTACAGAGTAACTAGTATGTGAATCAATGCCTAATCTTTCATGCGAAAAAAAAGGGTCTGCCATGAAAGAAAGAGAGGGCAGTGTAAAGTGAAAGGCCAGGGCATGTGGCTTAAATCTATTTCCCTTTTCCTCTCTAGCCGAGTATTGCCGCCACCCGATGAGGGAACTGCTGGGCGTCAACGGTTAATCCACAGTGCGACCCAATACGGCGGAATACACTACTGAATTTAGACACCCAGCGTATGAACCGCAAGCACTCGTTTTGCTAAAGACAAAAAAAACCTTCTTTACTCCTCTTCTTTGATTTCACAAAGACTGGAATTTCACAACTGTAAAAATCCAACCCAGTGGTTCTTGTCACCCGTTACTCGGCGTAACGTGTTTTTAAACAAAAAATCCTGTGGGTGCGTGCAACTCCAATACTTTATTCAAATGTGAATGTTTCATCGTTCAGCACCCTGCCTCGACCTGGTTTTCTTAAGATTCATAGACATGCTGTAATTTCGAGTGGATATACGGCTTCGGATGGACATAGAGCTCATTTGTGACGCCAAGCTGATATTTGATTCGTTGGAGACTCGAATTTTGTTCCAGTCTGTGTTTATATTAGAGTCAGCTCGAGGCATGGAGGGCTTTACAGACTGTCGCTTTTGGAAAGGGGATGGCGGAGTGAGTTCATATATGGACACAACGTCCCAAACATGGGTTAACTGTGTGACTAGTGGCTGTGTTCTCCTGATTTGAACGCTAGAGACCATTGTTACTGCGCTCTCAACTTCGACATCCTGAGCTTGCAACATGGTCGAAGGCCGCGGTGGTGGTGGCGCCATGGCTGCGTGATTGGACGACCGTGATTGACTCCATAGTAAAGAGGTTGGAATAGACCTTTGTAACTTGGAGTCAAAGCGCTTAATGAGCAGTTCTAGCAGGTCTCTATTGTCCTGTCCACACTTCTTCCGTCGTTCGTAGCTTTGCAAAGCGGTATCCATGAACATTACTATAATTGGCAAACGTCGGTGCGTGCATAAATGGCAATTCAGGGACAAATACAGAAAGCTTACGTTGTTTCATCATCAGCGCTGAAAACTGTGTTCGTTGGTATTGGGGACTACTCCTGTTCAACAACTCCGTCAGCTGGTATGTCGCCACTGTCTTCTGAGAGTTCATTTCGGACATGGGCAGGGAGGTGCAAAGGGTTGATCTATGGAAATCACACACAAATAGTGAATGGCTGGGGGGAAATGAACAATGAACAATCTCATTATGGGTATACCTATATACATTGTTATCATGTTTTTGAACGATTAACAAGCCTCCATCTTTGCCTAGTATTGTGGGGTTTGACACTAGAGAGGAACTGTCGTCATCTGGACTTTCGAAGCACAAAGCCATGGAATTCTATTTTTATGATTAGCATTCCACTGGGCATTTATTAAAACGTTTCTTATTTTACCTTTGTCGTACACAAGTTGTAACCTTGTTGGGGCCTTATGCAGAAAAACACGTCGCTGGCTCCGACATGCTTTTTCAAAATGAAAGATTGATCTGTGAACGTGGTAGGAGTTTTTAAAGTTATTTCATATTGCCAAAAATGATTTAGTATAAGCTCTCAGCGAACAAACCTTCTCCAGAAACACTAGTTGAAGCTCTTTGCTCGTTCACCAGCCGCACAAAAGATGGGCCACCGTGGCTGTTATTGCCTAGAACGTATTGCCTCAGACGCCCGGAAGAGAAATACTCTTGATCATCCATGGCGTTGTCGGAGACGCGAATGTAGATTATATCATCGAGGCGTTCTGGATCCTCTGCAAAAAGTCATTGCCATGAGTCAACTTGTCTGTAAACAAAAAAACAAAAAACAAAAAAACTCGGTTAACCGTACCAGCACTTCTTTTAGGAATGGAGATATCAACACTGGTCAATGAAACGCAACTCTTGAACTTGAAGTCTGTACGATGACTATGACCTGATAAATTTCGGGTGGCGACCATATCCGGAAAAATCGTGTTACTGTGGCTGTACTTGGCGGAGAGGTCATCATGTCCACCACCTGTTTGTTCAATTGGGAGAATAGTTTTACCACTTGCACTCTGGGAAACACGCTTGACAACCACCAAGATATCGTTAAACAGAATGAGCGTCACAAATCTCAGAACCTTTCCATTCAGGATGTCGATCTCATCAGCATCAATGTGGGATATTAGCCGTCGATTGGTTTTCAGCAACGTAGGCTAAAAGAAAAAGTGCATATTGAGTAACAAGTTGCTAAACCCGTGTCGTCGGCCCACCTCTTAACCGGTCACAATCAAACGTACAGGGCAGTTTTTGACGCTGGTGATGAGATTATTAATCACGCGAGCTGTTATCTCTTCTTGTCCTTCATGCACACTGGCGATTTGGTTCGCCACATCCTTTGCGGAGTACAAATGCTCCCGGTCATCATGGTCTTCAGCAGTAAGTTTGAGGATCTCTATATGGAAATGCAATCGGTGATCGGTTAATGCATACTTTGAAACTCCATTACAAACAGTACTAATGCCATACCATCTATTAAAAGTGTGTATCTTGGAATGCGTTGAACGGGTTCTATGAGAAGGCTGGAGATGGAGATCTTCTCTGTAGCTGTTCCATGGAGGCTCTCTAAAGTCTACCACGAGAGTTAGCGCGATAGAAATTTACTTCAGGATGACCACTCACGCTAGACTAGAACGTACCATGATCAGTTTCTTGTACTTGTTACTTTTAGACATTAGCTTTTGGTGAGTTTCGATGGCTTTGCTTCTATTGCTAAGGTAAAGATAATATGGCTTGGAAAAGTTCTCGAACTACCAAAGAATGTTTTTCTTTCAGTTTATGTGGAATGCAAAGTTCGGATACTCGGACCAGGACCACTTACATTTTCTTTTAAGATTTGTCCTAAGCACATCTCAATCTCGCTTTCTCGGCTTTTCATGCAATCAGCTAGAGTAGCATGCCTTTGGTAAATTTCTGCGATGTTGCCGAATATAACGTTGACCTCGAAGCGGACGGTTTGTAGTGCCTTAGTCTCAAGGATCTCCTGCTGAATGCTTCGAGAGATCTAAAAATTCATGTTAAAAAGATACAATAGGCTCTCTTCCTTTATATCGTCAAGAGGTTACCTCCTCCAATTGGCTAAGGCTTTTCAGATATTTCTTTTCTGACTCTACAAGTTCTTGGATTACCCATGATCTCTTCTCAAGGTCCTATCAGCGGGCAAGTTTGGCAACATTAGCCGCCGACACATTACCTTTTTTAAGCAATTCCAAACAGTATACTTACAATTTTATCCGCATACTTGGTAAGAGCCGCTTGTGTATCATGCTCAAATCCATCGGAATGCTCTTTTCCATCCTTTTTGACATCCAAGATATTGGCTAAAATAGACAGAACTGCTGGAGATTGAGAATATGTCGTCAACTCTCATCTCTATACATATTAGACATACCTTTTTCGTGCTCGCCTTCTTTAACAGGAACATCAATGAAATGAGCCCTACGGACCTGTATGGATAACCAAAAAACCGTTACAACTGCATTTGAGTCCACCTATTACATGAATTGCTGTACATACCATAGCCAAGTCCAATCTTCGAAAAGCGTCACAAATACCGTCAACGTTGCTCTGATGCTGTTTGCTACGGAAGCAGGATAGACCAGAGTCTGCAAGCTTTCTCAATCGATGAGTGGATCCCAATGACAAGACTTTGCCTTCGGATTTTTCTGTGTTTTCGACATTCTCGTCCTGTTGATTGTCCTGTCCGACAAGACCGTGTATGTCGGGATAATTCGTCTCTAAAAATGCAGTGTATGCTTTTAAGACGGCAAGCAGCGATACGATTTTGACATTTTGACTGTTCTTGGAATCCTCCACTTCTCCTTCACCTAATAGATCAGCAAAGTCCTCTTGGCGCAGTTTGATATGGGCAGATAACTGTCGGTTCCGTTTAGTGGCAAGTATTGGCAATTATGCAAAATAAAAGTACTTACGAATTGTCCATGAACAATGGCTACGCAATATGTAGTCAGACATTCCTCCTTTATAGCAATACAGAGCGGTCCTAGCATTTTATCTTTGCCTACATAAATGACATGCTCTGCATGACCCGCAAATGTCAAATGTGGTCCACCGACTATTCTATTGCTTCTAATCAACACGAATGCTTACCTTCATCGTAGAACTCTTTTTCGTAAATGTTCTCATTCAGCTTTTCAACTAAGACATTGTCTTCCCAAAACCTCGGATCTGTCCATTCATCTAGTGCATCCATCGAGACATGGCCCGAAACCATTTTCAAGGAGTCCATTAAGGCTGGCACCGGGATACCAGCGTCTTCTGTGATGTCCTCTACAACACTTACTGGGGTTACATCCGAAGGGATATTTTCATTGTTCACGACGCCTTCGATGCTTTCGTCTTGGTCGCCCTTGTCGCTTCCATCTATATCGCTGTCGCCCTTGTCCTTTTCTATGCTGTTTAATTCACTAGAACGACGCCTGTCTTTAACTTTTATATCTTGGAAGATGAAACGTCTTGATTGTGCAGGAGATACTTTGGATTTTTGGAACAACTTGGCAAAGTCTTTCTTGGTCCCTGAGTGATCGTTGCTGATGATGCTACGCAATAACGAAGCACTGGGTGATCTCCGTATAAGATGAGAGCCAGTATTGGCTTGCTCGTCCACTTTACGTTGAGCTTTGGTTGTATCCGGGATATCTAGGAGATCTTCCAAAATGCTGCTGCTGGTGCTTTTTGTGCTCGCCAACGCTTCCCGATGTTCAAAAGCAAGAATTGCTTGCATAGCCTCCGCTTTTGGTAAGATCACATTGGACTCCACACATTCTGATAATGGTCTTTCAGCGCTTTCGATATGTAAGTCTTGTTTAAGAAGTGTGCTATTGATGTCGTTGGGAGTATGCTGTGAACCATAGCGCAGATTAAGTTTTGTTTCCGATAGTACCGATAAATAATAAGTATTTTACCTGCAAAGTAGATGTACTATCCTGAAGCAAACTGTTTCTGAATTCCGCCATTGTTGTTACTACTGCAATATCTGCTTCTAATTGTGCGTCGTCGGGAACAAGTCACAATGATATTGTGGAATGAAATAAAGTCTATGACGAAGATGGTAAAAGAAACACTGATAGCAAGTGATGCAAAGGGCTGATAGAAAAAAAAATCTCCCGCACATCATCAATTGGCCTTAGGCGTGGCTATATGAAATGAACCAGTGGCCAAGGCAAAATGCGGTTGCTTTGTCAATTAACTAAGTGAGACCCTCACTGTCACTACGCTGTATTCCGTATGTAAAGAAACTACCTATTTTTCTGCCCTGTCTTTTTTTTTGTTGCTGCTGAATATGTGCACTATTTACAACTCTACAATCGTTGGCGCAAATTCGCCTTCTTCGTCTTCATCATCCTCGCTATCATCATGAATTTCTCTGTCGCTACTCCTACGGCGGTGGTCTTTCAAAGAAGCTGGTAGACCGGGTATTTCCCAATGAAATTTCTCCTGCAGCTTCTGATGGAATGCCACAAATTTTTGTCGTAGTTTCTCGTTCGATCCTGGGATGTTACGTGAAAATGTCTAACATGGTTGAAATAGTTAAAGCCATCAGTCTGAATAACTCCTTAATCTCATTTAAACTCCTTGATTCGCCTACCTTCAACTGTTGTGATAAAAAGTGGTTTTCCGATAGTATATCATAGAAAAAATCTTGAGGACATTCATTCATCTGCTTGGTGAGTACATCTGTAATGCAACATAGTAACGGTGTTAAATGAGAGCGTAACAAACAACATAAACCTTGGACGAAATGTTTACCCAAAAAGTCGCTAAAGAGCTGTGGTGATTCATCCACTAATTCCTGGCAAGAGCAAAGTAGCTGAACAATCTTCTTCCATTGATTGAAAGATGTGAAGTTTTGGCCCAGCAATGTGGCGACAAATGCTAGCTGAAGTTCTCCGAGAAGATTATGATAATCTTTTTTCCATATATGAATAGATATACATGGTTAGGCACACTACATCTGCGTTGAGTTGGAATATGCTCTAGGCATTACCTGAATTGTATACTTCTCGTAGCAATTCCTTTGTCAGCCAGGTTTTGTCCATACTCCACTTTGTTATTTCCGAGCCCGAGGCACCGGGTGGGAAAGATTGCCGTGGATCAAATGCTGTAAACTCTACACCTTCCTCCTTTTCAACCACCTCCCTTCCCATTCTTCTATCCATTTCTTCCAGCAAGCTGGGCAACGAGTCATTGTTTCGAGAAGGCAGGTGTGAGATTATGCCATTGTTTGGAAATATTCGATGTAGCAGTGATTTGGTGATATAGTTGGTGAGCGCCATCCATCGTTGCCAATTAGTGGGCGGTGCCAAAGGATAAGGACCCAGGTTATTATCGAATGATTTGATATCTGAGGCTAATGAGTATATGAACAAAAGTATTACAGAGCAGAAATGCACATACCACCCTTATATCTTTCGGCTTGCTCTGTATCCATTTCGCTCTCATCCAATAGATCTTCCGTTTCGTTGCTCCATTTTCTGACCAGGACCTTTTTGTGTGAAATATGCCTCACAGTTAGAATAGACTGGAAACCCTCAATGGTGTCATGTATAAGACTCATTTAACAATACCTCTCCAGCTTCGAAAAATCGGAAAAACCCAGTTCGCATACCGGGAATACCTTCTTTACTTGTTGAGCTATCATGGCTTTGGTTAGCCAAGGGTGGAAACGTATTATTTTGAAATGAACTACAAAGATCGCCGAACGTACCTGTAAAACACAAAATGGAGTCCCGGTGGAATGAGTTTCACGCCTTTAAACAGTGGACCAGTCGACCAAGCATTGTAGTCAATGCCGAATTCCAAGTTTTCCGGGGGATCAAGAAATAATAAAATGGCGCCTTTGTCGAATAAGACGTTGGCTGTTTCTTGATCCATTGCAAGTCGAAGTTTTGTTCGCGACGCTTTTGTCGAACTGGTAAATTTATTGTTTCGGAGCTGTTACAAACCCTCCCCCTTCCATCACGCAGTCTCCACGCTAAAACTCGCATTAATGAGTAGCATCACTCTGACGATATGAAAGGACTAAGGTTTGAGCTGTAGTCAATAGGGTTTCATTAGTTTGCATAATCAGTTTTTTTTATTTCTTTTGGCATCTGCTATATTGTAAAGCTTGCTTGCTTGCAATGCTTGTTTTCACCGCAAATAACTATTAACAAATCTATTCCCGACAACATCATCAAGCGGTTGGCTCAAAGAGCTGATTAAGCATTCTATCAAGCTGATCCTTGTCCCAGCGAATATATTTGGATGGGTTTTTAGCAAAATCGGTTGTTTGATATCTATAGTGAAGGAAACGATTAGACAACGACAAACACGATGGACAGCTGCAGTGTAGATACATACTTCTCGACAAATCGACTATACATGGGAAGAAGGACGTTTTTAATGTCCTTAATGATAGCATGGCGAAGTTCGCTATCAGGGATAGCGTAAGTTTTCTGTGTTCGCAATGTCTCCTCAAATGCTAGGTTGAAGTTCTTTGAAAGCAAATGGAGGGTGAGGAAAGAAGTCATACTGCTGATAGTCACCTCATACCATTTATGCTTACCCTAAACTTGTCTTTGATCTGTTGCCTTTCATTGTTTCCGAGCGACTGTCGAATGGCCCCACCTCGTACATATGTGACGTCCATCAAATTCTCAATACAAGGCTTCCAGGTTTCCTGATAAGCGTCCATCTGTCGTCGAACCATTTTGCCATACCGCGCTTCTCGTCCTTCATCGAACACAGCATTGAGCGGTGGCGATCTAATTTGCCGCAGTACGTGGTTAAAGTTATTGAGCAAGAATATGATGGCAAGAGCTGGTTTTCGGTATGCCTTGGATTTGTTTTGTAGTGTGGTATTGAGTTGATCGACGGCCTCTACAAATAAGTTTTTCAACAGAACGCGTCCGTCGGCGTTTGGCTTTAAGGAGAGCGGTTGCTGCTCAGCAACACTTGAGACTGGATTATTCCAGCCTTCCTTACCCAGTATTGTTAGAATCGGTTCCACAATATCGTGCCATGCCCATAGACGTTTCAGATGGCTCAGGGTCTGTATAAACCGTATTAGCTTGTACTTCTACGCCGTTCAAATCCCATACAGATACACGTACATTACTGGTGAGCTCATGAACAGTACCGTCATTGCTAAGGTTGGGATTTGCTGCATCCTTGCGGCCTTTGACATCTTCCATGAACTCATATATGCTTCTAAGAGCTGTACCTCGGAAAGCTGTCATCAGTTCCAATATGGTATCCATTTCTTTTCGTGGCATAATTTTGTCCAATGTCGAAAAGCATTCATTTTCAAACCTCTCCAGTATATCAAATATGATGAATACATCTTGATATGAACTTCGTTTGACTTGAGCATTGATCGCTCTACCAGCAGTGATAAAATCGGTAAGCGCCGGCGCCAGGGCGCCTTTCAAAGCGGTGGTTCGTTGTACTGGGTTGGCTAGTAGACTAGTAGCCAAATCATGCTCGAACTATTTTCCGACAGGCAAATATTAGTTTTTTGACAGTTTGCCTGGTGTATGGTTCCATTTTACTTACCGAAAACATCTTGGTTAGGCATGTCATATATTTTAAGAACTCGGCGGTACCCCTATCATAGACACCGCTATGCTGTCTATCGGCCGACGCTGCAGTTTGCGATAATGCATGCATTGACTTGGAGAGGTAAGTGGATCGAATTTCTATATACGGCTTTGTAAAATCTACGACATAGCCAAGCTCGGTTTCCGACGACGAAAGGTAAGTTGATAACTGTGACAGCCGCTTAACGTTGGCACTGTCCATCGCAGGGGGTTCGCCTTTTGGTAACCAATTATCTCTGTCATTAAATCAAGCTAACGTAAAGAAGGTAGGCAGTCATCGCACCCACCTGAGTCCAACATTTTCGCGTCTATGGGTATACTGGATGTCGATAGCCATTTTCTGAATAGCGTTTCCATGTGCAACATTCCTGCTTTCAACAATTGTTTCTAGAAATACTTTGTTAACCTCCTTCCGTAACACCCTAGTGTACGCTTGGCACACTTACCATATGATTTATAACTCGATCAGTTGCTCTCAGCTTGGAATTTACCAAAATCTCAAGCGCATCTTTCAGTCTGGCTAATGATTGAAGATACGGAAGCGTGTTGTTCTCGTCGGGCCTGTTATCAGGGAAACAGTTAAGCATGGATGATGACTATGTGATGCTTCGCATGGCAATATTCTCACCCTTTCAAGATCAATGCTTCCTCTTTGCTAGGAAGATCCATGCACTTCACGATGGAATCTGTGGACTTCAATGTCGCTTCTATGTCTACAGGTGTAATCATAATCATCAGCACGAGGTCCGATATGCAACAGAAAACTTGATTTACACATACTATCGGCCAAATGAGTGAGGTTCTGAGTTGATCGATGGATAGGTAAAATAGACGCTTCTAGTTTCATAAGCCGTCCGTCGAATGAGTCCAACATCCCGGTCTACAATAAGATTAAGTTAATGCTTCTTATTTTGTTAACGCGGTGTAAAAACTTTGATAGTCAGTACCATGCGCTTAGTCAAATCTTCCATCTTCTGAAGATTGCCTTTCATATACTCGAGGTCGGCTTCGTCCTCTAGCAATCTAGCTTGATTGCCGTTCCTCACATTTGGATTAGAACTGAAAGGAATGAAGTGAATATACGATGGTTTCCGAGCAGTGGTAGCATGGAGTCATCACTGACCTGAATGAGTTCATTGGTCCCAATATGCAGGTGGACAGCAAACACCGAATTTCAGGCCACGCTGCCAAACTTCAATTAATATTTCCCTTGGTAATTTTTTGCAACTTAAGACTTCTCCACTTCATTTTATATATATTACAGTAATATACAGGCTACTTCCACACAACCTCAGTGCTAAAAGTATATATGCATTTTGTTGAAGTTAAAACTTCAATGTGGCATGATCGATTATTCTAGGTACTTCACCGCTTCGATTATCCACCACCATCCATTCTTCTGAATTCGTTCACCATATAAGTATTCAGCTCCACGCGTACATCTTTGTCGGATTTCGGTATAACATCTCTAAGTGATCCAAATATCGATTTGGTGCTCTCTGCTCGATGATCCACTTGTTGGTCTCTATGGGCACCTTTTTCCGCGATGTTTTGCTGGAGGAATGTCTTCTTCGGCAAGAAGATGGTGGCCTCTCGCAGCGCCGTGCCTACTGCAAGTCTAGCACCAATGACGACACCTATTGTTAAGCCAACTCCAGCTGGGATGCTGGTCCCAATATTTGGCACAAGCCCCATTAATCCTATGGCAGTATATTTTCCAATTTCAGCGCCGATGGTCAGCCTGAGAGCAATTTGTAGCCAGTAGCCTGTCTTCATCACCTTGAGTGCTGCCATGGCCGCTTCATCAATGATTTTGTAAGCCGTGTCATGGTCACCGGTTTTCGCACACGCTGTGATGACCGCTTTGTACATGTCCAGGTCAGGTAGGATTCCTACCTTTTTAGCTTGATTGAAAGCTGAAAGAGTGGTTGGCAGATCGCCCCAGTTAGCTAGAAGAGAGAGGTAGGCGGCGTAGGCTGGTGCCTTGATTCTTTCACTCGGTACTTGAGCGATTATCTTGTTCTGCGCTAATTGAATGATTGTGGATCTATCGTACGTTTCAGCCCCCGGTCGTTGATCGAGTGACAGGATATATGCGTCTAATGGGCTTGAATTCGGTTTTACTTGGTGCTCCTCTGTCAAGTACTCTGCAGTCGTTGTTTGGCCAGCGACACGAGAACATGCTTGTAAGATTTGCACAAGCATGCGCTGTGATGGCCTGGGCACTTCACGAAATATTTTATCGATAGCTACTCCTAGTTGATTTGGGTTATGGCAGTCATCAAGCATCTTGCGCCAGGATTGTATTTCAGTAACAAAATTTCGTCGAGCGATAATATCGCAGCGTCTTGTGGTCAGGAGAATATGGCATGGCTTTCTGGCGATGGTCTGCCATCGTCCGAACATTGACAGTTATGCTTATAAAATAACGTTGATAATCGGTTTTGTCTTACTAAGTTTGAGCAATTGAGCTTTAAAGTTGTAGTAAGACGATTGTGCAATATGGCCACACAATTGAATGAAACCGGCTCACTGAAGTCTCTCGTTACAAAATTTCAGTGCTTGCTTACAACTTGGTGGTCGGAGATTTATTTATTTTTCATCGTGAGCGACAAATTTGTTAGCTTCATACAATAGGGCAGGGGTGGCGTTTACCTCCAATTATTCATGATAGTAGCTGTAATAGTCGGGTACCAAATTGTATTGCTCACTTCCACCTCCCATAGTAAAACTGACCAAGGTCTTTGTGTTCTGAAAGACTTTTGATCGGTTTAGCACTTGGAAGCATTGAGAAGCTTGAAGAATTTAAAGCCAGTCACCCGAAGGCAACGAAAAAAACAATCCCAAAAAAAAATTATTTCGAGAGCTTTCCTTTAGAGCCAAATTACCAGAGGAATTACAACATGCCACACGCTGCACAAGACCATTCCAGAGATCCATGGTATGCCACCTCCTTATAATTGCGTCCAACCGTTTGGAAATCATACTAACGAGTCAATATTTAAATCACTACCAGCCCATGGGTAATTTTGAACGATTTGGGTGGTGCTTTCGTCATGGGTGCCGTCGGTGGTGGTATCTGGCACTCTGTTAAAGGAGCAAAGAACTCTCCTAGGGTAAGTTTTTCGAATACAAATGTTGTGAGGATATATTGCATCGAGCACCATGGTCTAAACATGTCTTGAAACTCGTCAACAGCACGAACGTATGATTGGAGCTGTCACTGCCATGAAAGCTCGCGCACCTGTGTTGGGTGGTAACTTCGCAGTCTGGGGTGGTCTGTTCTCCACATTTGACTGTGCACTCAAGGGTGTCAGACAAAAGGAAGATCCATGGAACTCAATCTTGTCTGGTGCTATCACTGGCGGTGTTCTGGCAGCTCGCGGTGGTGCAAAGGCAGCAACTGTCTCTGCCGTAGTTGGTGGAAGTCTTCTCGCTTTGATTGAGGGTATTGGTATTGCAATCACCAGAATGACTGCTGACCAAAGCAGACCTGTCATGCCTCAGGTATGTGAACAATTTTTTCCATTTGTTTTTGAGTGGGCGGTTTGGCAATAGCAGCCCCACCTTAGCTCTCATTCTCACCATTTCATTCTCTAGATCTAGACGAACTGAACGCGGTATCAAGACCACCATATTATTCCAACTACATCTTACATCAAATTTAAAAAAAAACCTCATCCCCCAACATAGAAGCTGTATTATCAATTTACATGCAGCAAATGGTGTATATACTCCTTTGACCTTCCCCGAAATCTCCATCTGTGTGTTACGTTTTTTAACTACTATAGCAACTGATTTTTTCCTATCACACCATGTCCCTTTCTATTTTCCTTCCAAACCAAAACTAAAAGAAATTAGGCATTCCTTCTGGATTGTGTGTTATATTGAAAGGGCTACTTTGTTCTTGAACAATGAATGGGGTGATTTAAGTGATACAGTATGGCTACATTTGGGTTCACATCTGTCATAGGACTATACAACGATAGAGATAAAAGAATGGAAAGAGTAATTAAATGAAGGGGGAGGCTAATGTACTGGTCCCATTAAGCTTCTAGCTGAGGAAGGAGGGGCATTTGTTTTGTTTTCTAGAACACTGGTTGGGATGCGGCAATTTAGACTTTGTCGTCCGTTATCAACAGTCTGCCTTGATGTCATAGTAGGTGACAGATCTTGAGATGGTTGGCGTTTTCGTAAATGTGAAATAGACCGCCATATCGTTTTTCGGCTTGGTGGTACAGTAACCGCAACTCTCGTCGCTGCAGGGTTATCTTGCTTAGTTTCATTTGAAAAGTCCATGCTGAATGAAGAGTTGAAATAGTTGGATAGATAGTCTTGTTTGTCGTCCAATGAACCAATGATATTCAGTGGTTTGATTGTTTGTGGAGCTTCTGAAAACATTGTTAAGATCCTACTTGATTCACCTCGCCAGTGTTCAGTGCAAAGTCTGTATTCTAATGAAAGGATTTGACCTTCTCCACGATCCGTTTGCATTCCTCGCGTGACATAGGATTCATAGTATGGCCCTTTGCAGAAGGAACAGGCTCGGTAGGATACAATGTAGGATATCAATTTTGGTGGAGTAGTCGGTGGGATCGCAACATTTTTGCGAACAATAATTCTTGCGCAGATCTCTCTCAAGGTCATTGGGAAGTTAAACGAAGTTGGAATGACTTTGCGAATGATGGGACATCCGTCTGTTTGTAATTTTTGTAAATCAGCTAGCCTCGATATCTCAACTGGAAGTACCGTAATCGGATTCCCACTGATGTTTAAATGTACTAAATGAACGAGGCTGCTCAAGTCTCCAGGAAGCTGCCCAATCAGGTTGTAATCTAATAGCAATGAGTCCAACTTAGTTAGTTTGGTTACGCATGCAGGCACTTCAGTCATCCGGTTCTGGGACAGGCAAAGTTCTCGCAGGTTGCAGAGACCGCCAACCGTAGCTGGAAGGGTTTCTAATAAATTCTGGCCAAGATCCAACGTTTCCAATCTTTTCAACTGGCCAATTTCGGGCGGAAGGGTCCGGAGGTGAGCCATATTACTAAAGTAAAAAATGAACCATATCAGTGCCTTGAATGCTACTACACAATGTAGCAAGGTCTATTCTGCCTCCTTACATTTTCATATGCGTTATATTTGCATACAACCTAATGGCAGGTAGGATTTTCAAGCCAGGTATATCAACGATTTTCACTCTTTTTTTATCGTCAGCATCTACAATCTGTGCAAGACTGACTTTTTTCCAGTTTTCTGGCTTTGTTTGTTGGAAATCTGTTGATGATGTGACGCTATAGGTGCATGGTGAGCGGCAATTCGTCTCGTAATCATACTGTTCGTCTTCGTCAAGCCTATTGGAAGACTGCGTGCTGAGCGCTTCCAAAGAATCGAAGTTGGGATAAATCAGCTTACCGACAGTCGAATGTACGGCGTGGTCGGGCGGCGCGCTTTGATCAGATGATTCGTCGAGAATCAGCGCAACTTTGACAGAACCATTTTTTTCCTTGCTAGCAAGCTGACCCATTGCAGCAGCGAGATTAAAGCAAAGCACTTATATCGATTAACCGATAAAAAAGCTATTCTAGAGAAGAAGAGAGCAGCAGTAATACCCAATGTGATGATGAAGCAATAAATAAATTTTTATTGCCCCTCATTTCAGCCCCTCTTTTTGTTTATCACTTGTTTCTCCCGGTGTCATTACCCGTACTACTTTGAGCAGTTTACTTCTATGAGAAATTCATGGTCGAAATTAAAATTTATGGTCTATTGCTTATCCATTATTGTGCATTTATATACTAGTTGTGATCGCAAAGATCAAGCTCAAGGAAATTGAATTGTCTGGTCGGCCACAGCCTCATGTTTTGGTATGCGAACCAGGTGCACATCGATTTTGTTGGTGTCTTGGTCTTTACCAAACGGCCCCGCCACATTAAGAACGTAAAACTCGAATAAAAAAGCAAGAAAAAACTGGTGCGTTGGATACCTAACTCTCCCTGTATGATAAACGAGGTCTGCTCTATTCGGACGATAATTATGATTTTTTATATTGAGACAAGTAGTCAATGTAAATCAAATGCCTAATGCTATCAAAGTCGTCAGCGATTTTTTGACCATCGACAAGGTTTAGTGACCTTATTGGTTTTGATCCTAAGACCATAACTCGAACACCCTTTTGTTTCGCCCAGTTGATCAGGTTATTTAGCATCTGGTTGATGACACATTTGTAACCAGGGCAAACGCCTAACCGACTTAGCTGTCCCTCGTCTGTGGTTGGATTATAATCAAACCCTATTGCTCCGATAATGCTTGACGATTCCTTGGTAGGCGTGCATACCCAGAAATTGGATTTGCCTTCAGGTTCGTATGTTCCATCTGGTCCAGATTTGAGCTTGTAATACTTGATGATATTAAGCAGGTCTTGGCTTTGCTTTTGTTGCAAATACTGTCTGACCTTCGTTCTTGTCAGCCAGTGGCACGTGAGATACACACCAGTGCCCCATAGTATTATGCCGCCAATGGTTGCTGAAATCATGCTGTACCTATTCGCCCATTCTCGTGATCGACCGTGGGCAGTCCCAATGCTGAGCATTCCAACTACGCCAGCACATAAAAAGGAAATGGAAGACCAGCCAAGGAACATGGCACGAGTAGCGCGCTTAGTTAATTCGTCGGCCTCATTACAGAAGAGCTTTTGCACAGCTTGTAGATCAGACGGCTGGAAAACTCGAATGTACACTGCCGGGGTCACCATCCCCTTAATATAAGGTTAGTGTGTTGAAAGAGCAGAAACTGAGGGTCGAGTGAGAGGGTCCTCACTGAACAATTTTCAAACACCGAATGTGGGAAACATTGAGGAAAAAATAATGAGAACAATAACTATGGTGACCAGTAAACCAGTACAATTTTTATTTATGAATTTCTAGCGGATTGACGCAGACTCCCAACCTAAATGCTTAGAGGGAACGAGTGACTTGCCAGACACGGATCTTGTTATCAGTGTAACCAGAGAACAAAGTAGTGCCATCAGCGGACCAGGCAAGGGAAATGCACTGGGGGTCCAAGGACTTCTTACCACCCTCGAAGAATTCGGGGGAGAGTTCGTCAACAATGGACTTGGACTCGAGATCCCAGATCTTGATGCCAGAAGCAGTGGCAGCGCAGAGCCAGTAACGGTTGGGGGAGAAGACAAGGGAGTTGACAATGTCACCAGCCTCAAGAGAGTACAAGTGCTTAGAGTCGTTAAGATCCCAGAGCATGACAATGCCGTCCTTACCACCGGAAGCGCAGAGGGAACCATCGGGAGAGACGGTGACGGTGTTGATGTAACCAGTGTGACCAATGTGGTTGGTTCTGAGCTTGCACTTGGTGAGCTCCCAAACCTTGACAACCTTGTCCCAACCTCCGGAAACGATGACGGGGTTGGCAGGGTTGGGGGAGAAGCGAACGCAGGAGACCCACTCGGTGTGACCATCCTCTTGGATGTTGAACTTGCACTCACCAAGGGTGTTCCACAACTTGATGGTCTTGTCACGGGATCCAGAGACAATTTGACGGTTGTCAGAGGAGAAAGAGACGGACAAAACATCGTTGGTGTGACCGACGAAACGGCGGGTGGTGGTGCCGGTGTTCAAGTCCCAAAGACGAAGGGTCTTGTCCCAGGAGGCGGACAAAGCGAATTGGCCATCAGAGGAGATAACAACGTCCTCAACGAAGTGGTTGTGGCCGGTGAGAGACTTACGGGGAATACCGTAGCTGGTCTCATCTCTGGTAAGGTGCCAGACGATGATGGACTTGTCTGTAAAGAGCAATGGTGGAAAAAAAAAGGAGAAATGTCAAGATTAGCCTTCAGTCCAAAAGCTCTCAATTCTGAAGATCTTCTCAACTAACCGCGGGAGGCAGACAAGACCATATCGGGGGCCTCGGAGGTGGTGGCAATGGCAGTAACTGAATGAAATTGAAAATGTCAATGCGTGATTCTATAATGTACGATTTGCAAATTTGCTCAATCAGAAATTTACCCCAGCCAGAGTGGCCTGTACGAAAGAACAAAGAAACCGTTAGTTATCATCCATCGTATATCATCCATAGGCAACCATCCAACATCAGATGTATTATCTACCTTCAAGTGTTCCACGGAGTGACAGCGAATCCATAGCTATTGTTAAAAAAAGAGGAGGATTCGCTATCTGCGCATGCACTTCTTGAATAAAGACAGTCGGCGGAGGAGAGCCTGAATCGGAATTTTGATGACGACAACACAATCGCCACACATCAAAGGTCATTTCATTCTTCAAGCACGCAGGGCAAGAGTTGAGCTTTCCAGAACCAAATGTTCAACAATTAGTGCTTTAGATTCAATTTTACTCATGACTATCATATTTTTTGATTAGTATTGCTCCTCTCTTTGCTTTTTTTCTTCAACTTCCTATATCTTGTTGATTTCACAAAATATATAACGTAATTCGGGTTTATGCAGCAGGACAAGACTTACTAATGAGCTTAGCCGCATTTTCTATTGCTTTCTTTCTATAATATTTATCAAACACGCTCTCTTTCTTAATTTTTGTGATCATTTCATGTTGGACAAACTCACCTTCTCTTTCTACGACAAAATTAAATTTGTTGAAATCACGTGCGTGCTAGCTCTCTTGCAATTTCATTGGTTCTTTGCCAAAAGTAAATGCTGTGCCGTCAAAAGTAATAGAACTTCAGAGCACCTTGTACTTGCAATTGTGACCAATGTTGAAGCGGTTACCAAGGAAACTCTCTAAATTACACCTCCACCATAATTTGTATGCCCCTAACTGCGTTGTTAATAGAGCACTTGTCTATCATTCTGTGCGAAATGTATCCCAAACTACTTCAGTGGAAAGCGAAGCGCTAGCCAAAGGAGATAGCACTGCCAACGTGAAGCACCTTATTCGCAAACCTGATACTTCCGAGTTGCAAAACACTTTTTACCAACGAAAGCTACCGGAGCAATTGATTAAAATATCATCACCCCACGGTAAACAACTTTTTCGAGAGGCAATGGATGCCGGGCAAACCGAAGGTTTTTTTCCTTTGACAGGGGCCTTTGCGTCCCAATCATCACCATCTTATTGCGGTCCTTCTTCATGTAAGGCATTATTAAACTGTCTGCTTCCACAAGTTCACATTTTTAACTCGACCTGACTTCCTTGCAGTGGCTCTTGTTTTAAATGCGCTAAATGTTGACCCTAAAAAAATATGGAAAGGTGCTTGGCGATGGTACTCTGGTATGTTGAAGAATAGTTTGCTCTCCGATATCTCAATTTCTACTAACTTGTTCATTTTACAATAGACGAGATGCTGCAGTGCTGTTCTCCAAAGGAGCAGATGCAAAAAAATGGGATCACATTCGACCAGTTTGCCTGCTTAGCAAAATGTCATTGTAGTGTTGTTGTTAAGAGAGCTAGCAAAATTACATATGAAGAGTTCCTTGAGGACCTCAAGAAGGTTACTGCAACTTCTGATCAACATATGGTTATATCCTTTTCCCGGAAGACTCTTGGTCAGACTGGTGATGGACACTTTTCTCCAATTGGTGGATTTCACCCTGATACGAATATGGCTCTTGTCCTCGACACAGCACGCTTCAAATACCCAAGTTACTGGTGTTCAGCTAAGGTTCTTTTTGAATCGTTGATGCCAATTGACAAGGAAACTGGCCTTTCTAGGGGCTATTTCATCTTGAGCTACGATGACCTAAACCCTCCTGTCAGTCTCTGCCATTCTCAGTCCCAAACGGCAACAGCAACACCGCCACTGACGAAACTCGAAAGGACATTTCCATCCGATTCTCCACCATCAGCCTGTACGTCAGCACCGAGCATTAATACAAATACGAAACTCAATTGGTCGGCACTAGCCAAGGTGTTTTGCCAAAAGATCCCAGAAGACATGTGGGTGGAAAAGCCACAGACATTGAAAGAAGTGGTCAACCTGGTGTTGAGGAACATTCCTCGAGAGTACAGTAATATCATCGGACAGCGTGTCACATCCTCATCAATGGCTACGGCAACCGACACCTACATTGATGTGCTCTTCAAGGATACATCCGCCTCGCCTTTGTATCCCATTGTTCACCAAGCCATATATCCATCCAGTACCTCTGAAAAGCCTGACTCACATGCTGTCTTCGCCACTCTGTTCTTGCTTGGCTCTCCTCGCATGTTATATACCTCACTACCCCGTGACCTCCAAAAGTTATTTGATCATTATCGAAGCACTGTCAGCTCGATGCCCTTGGTTAAACGGGAAGTGGATAGAATTTCTATAGAAATTATTGAATTGACAAAGTCGTTTTGTACTTGCGGCAAACCTATCTAGAAACTTGTAAACACACTGTAAATTCTCATACAAATGTACTAATACACATCGCATGGTGGCAATTTGTGAACTGTCAAGTCTTCAGACCTCTAAGGAAATGAAAGATAGCAATACACCTCAACAGGCTGCATGCAATGACTTCCTCGACAAGGCAAAATTTGAGCGGAACGTGACTGCTTTCATCTGAAGCAGCGTGAGCCACAAAAAAAATAACATTTGTACCAACTGGCGATTTGATTGAAAAAATAGTCTACGCTCAATAAACTTCAGCAAAGATGGCACAACTGGCCATGAACCGACCAGAAGTCATACAGTCTCTCATCGATGGAGTTGACAGATACAATCCCGACAACATTTCCATCCTGGAAGAATACTTGGCTACACAATGCCAAAATGAAGAATATGATCTGATGGCCAACCTCGCTGCATTGAAGTTGTACGGTTCGAGATTTCTGCTTTACTAGACCTTGTAGCAACTTGTATGACGCTGCATTGTAGTGTATTTGGAGCTTTCCAGTATACTCGACTTCTAAATGCACGGTTGCTGCCACCTGATTGAAACTGCATTGAATTACATGAAAACTGACCATTTGGTTCATTTGAATAGGTACCAATTCAACCCTCATCTCACCAACGACCGTGTCATCATAAATATTCTCGCAAAAGCTTTGACTGCTGTTCCTGCACCAGACTTCAACCTCTGTCTGTATTTGCTTACCGAGCCCATGGTTAGTTTGCTATAACAACGCTTTAAAATTAGGAAGATATATGTGATTAACATGACGTTTCGTTTTTTTTTTTTTTTTTGGTGCAGATCATAGACGAATCCATCAAACAACTGACTGCACTCCATCAATTGCTTGAGCAATCTCGATATGCAAAGTTCTGGGAGACTTACAAGTCTGATTCAGCTTATGAACAACTTGTTTCCGAAGTTCGTGGATTCAGCCGCGCTATTCGCAGCATTGTCGCTCGCGTCGTTAGTATGACACACCAGCAAATTGCTTCCTCATTACTGGAATCTTACCTTGATCTTAGCGGAGACGATTTTGCTGCCTTCGTCAAGGAACAGAACTGGGAGCTCAAGGGTGCTATTGTTCAGATCCCTGTCAACAAGGATAATGAAGCCAAGACTGTTGTCATCAGAGAGAACATCAAGTTTGAACAGCTTACAAAGGTTATCGGCTACTCTAACGAGATGTAAAAAACGAAAACAATACCAAACGAGGCGTATAATCGCTACTTCCACGAGCTCAACCCCCCACCATCCACTTATCTGAACGGCGCTTTTTTAGATATAAAGCGACTTGTAGATATACTTGAATAAAAAAAAATGAAGCAATATTAGCGGAACGATGAATGTTTACACTATATATTGGTCATGTAGTTTTGTTGGTTGCAGAGGCGGCCCTCCCAAAGAATGGCATCCATATGTTGCGATGGCATTGTACGGTGAAATGTCGTATCCTTGGCGACGAGGTTGTGGCAAACAATTGCGGTGTTTTCCGTTGATATAAGACGTCTTCAATATTACTGTCAGCGTTTAGGTACTAGTTTCGGCATGGTTGTACAAATACAGATAAATTGCTATAGCAACCACTGGAATATCAATTGGTCTGTGAATCGCGAAGCAACTGGTGCAACAGAAGGGGTGTTAAAAAAAGTTTATTCATGCCTGCGTTTGCTCGAAATTACAGAAGACTGAAAACCTGAACCACGCACGAAGGATAATCTGAGGCGACTATGGGGAACGTAGGATACTTTTTGTAATTTCAGGTCAACATATACAACTAAGGAGAAAAATTGATGTAACTGTACACTGGTACTAAGTGGTTAAAATAAAGAATTGCTTGTGCTAGATGCTTATATCTAATCATCGCCTAATGGGCTGCTATTGTCTCCGACGCCTTGAAAGACGTCTTCACCCTCGACGATCTCAATGTCACTAATATCACCGCCATGTGTTCGATATATATATTCAAAACAATTGACTAGGGTCTTCAGGCCTAATAAATACCCTTTGTCTGGACCATCGTGCGTCGGTGGGTAGGTCATCTTGTCGCCGTGTTCGCGAATTTCATTTGCACTGACACAGTGGTCAAAGTCAATGATGCGAATGTCGATTTTCCTTTTACTGTCATTATCGCCGTCATATATTACAAGCAGTGAGGATGTGTAGAAGCGATATCCGTTCAGCTGTCGTATAACACCTGCGAGACGCCGCAGCTTGCGCAGAAGCACTGGGATATGCTGTATTTGACAGGATTCGCCATTGTCAAGATATTCCACAAGAGTGTTACGGAATGTAACCGCATTAAGACCTCTTCCATAATACTTGTCTTGGAATAAGAATTGAGAAATATTACGCTTATAAACCTATCGTATTTAAAGCAGTCAGATACCGGGGTATGCTTTACTTCCATCATAATCGAATAGGTCGTCTTACCTGCATGCCGCACACACGAACGCCTAGTGATTTGCTTGTCGAGCTTTCGCATTTTGCTGTCTGACTTTTCATCTTTGCTTCGGTAGCATATACTCCATATTGTCGCGTTCCCATCTTGAGATCAAGTACGCAAGGATATTTGAGTTCATCCGTCAGATCCTCTATTAAGATAAATTGTTGTACATGATCACCACTTGTTTCGTCAGTAGTTTGTGTTTTTTGGGATTTCATTTTTTGCAACCCTTTGTTGTAAAGTTGAAGCGACCATGGGTTGTTTGGACGGCTGATTCGATTAAAGGTTGAGGATACCGTTCCGCTTTCTGTTGGGTTCGTCATCTCTTCACCAAAATGAGGTCCTGCCTCGCTGTAAGCTTCGTCCTCAAACCTTGGATCATCTAGCAATGATTTGCTGGAAACTTCCTGTAGAATTGAAGAATCACGAGCGATTGCTAGCTCTGGTAACGTCGAATAAGAACTACTTGTATTCATAGGCCGAGGTAGGCTATCTTCAAGATCATCCATTTCGAAAATGATCTCTCCGTCGTCGGTGTTTAATGGAGATGGACTGCCATTGGGTATATCATCGCCACGCTTATGACGATGCGTCTTTTGAGAACGCATTTTTGGAGTTTGTGGGGCGGAAGTAGTGGAAACGATATTAGGACGTCGCAGCTGTACTGATATCCTATCTACTGAGCGGGCTCCTACATCTGCTAAGGTTGGTTCAAAAGAACTAGCAGCGGATAAAACGGATGCGTTGGAGAGAGATTGTTTATACAGAGAGGATGGATTCTGAGGGAGGTGAATACTAGAGTGATTATCAAACGACGTGTCCAAGCTGTTGTTGGATGTCGCGTAGGGAAATGGTATAGGTTCGATATGTGATAAGCTTCTTGAGGTAGGTATTGAATTCGACCTTGGTGAGCAGTCTATTAAATCATCGAAAAAGTTCTGAGACGAATGCCTCCTCAACTTTGCAGGCTGGCTCAATTGAAAGTTATCTGCTGTATTTACAACATCCTTGCTATAGACTGGATTCTCGACATAGTAGCGGGAAGATTTGCGGTGCTTTGAATGATTATGATGCCATCCCCGAACCTGTTTTAACCTCTCTCGTAAAGCTTGCGGAGAAAATACTTCGCTCAATACCTGCTCTTGAAAGCTTTTGTTTATTGTTCTTGGCTGACCTGTGGCACGCTCAGAGGAGTGGCTTGATGATGAGGCTGAATCAGAATTGCCACAAAGGTTATGACCAAGGCGATCCTGCGATTGATTAGGCGAACTGGATCTTGAATGTGCCGTACTGTTCTGATGTGACATCCAGTCTCTTAAAAGATGTTTGTTTTTATCAAAAACGACTTCCGGCATGAGATGAGATTGCCTATCTGTTTGATCAGTACTCGGTTGGCGATAAGAAACATTGAGGACGCCAAGATATTGTGGTGTGAAAGGAATCAGCAAATGATGATCTGATGCGAGGTGTTCATAAAATTTTCGTTCAGCTGGAGTAGCTACTTTGCATATAGCACGTTTCGAAAAGCGAAAAATAGACGCGTGGCCTGCAATCGATTTTTGTTAGCCAACGACGGAGGTTGGGTTGTTACTATAAAATGATATGGACGAGCCTTACCTCCAACTTGATTATCAAATGGTAGCAGTGGTATTGATTCTGTTATTTCAGTTGGATCGAATAATTGTTGTTGACGTTCGTCGTCCGACCAAGAATCAGTATCACTTGCATCATGATCGAAATCGACGCTGTCGCCTTCACCATCGTAATCAGAGATGTCCCAGTCAGTCATTCGAGGTGCAAATGATATGCACAAGAGGACCAATGGGGTTATTAATCAGATATAACTATATAAAAAGTGTATTTTCACTGATTATGACTAAACGATTCTCTACAAACGAGGTTGCGGACCAGGGAAAAAAATACTCAAACTGCAAAATCGGGTTTGCTCCAAAAGTAATGGTGAAATATTGAACCCCCGATAATTGACATCAGTGTCTTGCAGTATCAATTTTGGGCATGGTTGGACACAGACCGGGGTCATGTACAGCTCTCTGTCATTTCGAAGAAGCCTATGTCTTCCTACAACAGTCTATGGATGCTTTTGTTTTCCTTCAAATACTGAGATATGCCGTTTTGCCAGGTCACCAGCCGGCTCTGTAAAGCTAAAACTTCTTTATTCCTGCAGCCACGTGAGGCAACCAAGCGTATCCCATTTGAAGTCAACCAGCCAATGGGACCACAAGGTAAGAAAACGTATCCTGTGCTGGTTAAGGTTGCTCAAAATTCTACAGCACATGGCGAAACTCATTGCTCCCCACTCTTCGACTTCCTTTCTTGCGCCTCTGTGTACGCATTTGGTATTCGTTCATGAGAATTTACCCACCAGGCAATTTGCGGGCCGCTTTCTGCTCCTTCTGCCATTGGACGGCCGTTAAGAAAATGTGTTCGTGGCACACTGTTCCTGTCTTTGCTTATTTGGCAAATTGGGTCTCAATTTATCATTTCATTTTATTCTCAACGTTTGAGTGTGAATGCTGACGGCTAGTTAGTTAAATATGCAACTTTGCTGTGAAGCATTTAGATGAACTGACATGCATGAGTTACTACGTATGATGTCCTTTGAACAAAAGAAAATGTGAATGGACAATAATACTCTTGGCTGCATTGTACATATCGAATGACATGGGATGCTATTCCAATTAAAAATACCCTTTATTCATATTGTGATTCTTCCTACATGTATAGCACATTTCAAGCAGCGTCAATGCACAATATGAGATTCAAGTCAGTTCGGTACTTTTATTGGCACACCCCTTATTAAGCGCATTACTCGAATGCCTGTTTACACTTGTAACGAGACAAGAGAGTGTATAGAAAGGTTCGGCAGCTTTCCGGTGGCTTTAGTTTTTCAGCTGTGCGTAAGCGTCCGCAAAAAGCTTGTCGATCTGTTCTCTGACTGCAGTTGCATTCTTAGCCATTTCATCAGATAAATGTGCCTTGAAACAATCTCCTAGACGATCAACGTGGTCTTCTAGTCCCTTAATACGGGACTCGATACCAGCTGCATTGAAAACAAGCCCGTACTTTTCCTTGAGGGTAATGAAGGTATGTAAAGAATCATCAAACTGCTTTACTATGTCCGCAGTCTGCCCGAACAGCAACTTGGCCTCATCTGGCGTGAACTGGCGCTGTAATGCCGTGCATTGGAAGGTAGAATTTTCAAATAGCTTCTCTAGCTGCTGCTCTGTTACCACAACTTGATAGGCGGAACTCAATGAACCAGTCTTTTGAAATTCGTGAGCCAATGAATTGACCTCAACAAGCTTTTTGTAGATCAAGTCGTAACCCAAGGGTACCGACATACCAGCTGGATTTACTTGTTTTCCAGCGAATCCGGCATGAGCCGTAGCTGCAGCGAGCAATAAGCAAATTGTTGATAAGCAACGCATTAGGACGTTTATTACGAAAGTCGTATTCTCAATGGTGTCTTTTATATTGACATAACCGAATTAAAGAGGCACAGTCGTAAAATTTGAATAATGCAACATCCAACATACTTGTTGATATCATGTTAACCAAATAGTTGGTAATACCATAGCTCGCATGCCTTGCACTCGCGACATAATGGCGATAGGCTGTGTTCCTAGTCACATTTAAGATCGCGCAATAGCAGAATCACATACGCCATTGATCTTATTGAGAAAGCGCATAGAGAGTTAAATAACTAATAACCTTTCTTGCATAAGGCCAAATATGTCAACTGAAAATTCGGGGGGGGGGAGGGTTTTTATGACCTTCAAGGTCACAATAACATACCTGAGATTCAAACCAAAGCTTCTGACATCAAGCATTGTGGTAAGGGTGAATGAGTTTAGGTCACTGGACAATTTTCCAGTGAGAATTATGGACGGCCATAGAAGAGCTCTAACTGAGCTGTGGAGGTGCCTTGTGTGTTCTATATATATCTAAGTTTGCGCTCGATTAAAGGAATGGTGTGTGCATTGGACTCAAGTTTGTTGCTGTAGGAACTGTTTCCAGTACCAGAACTGCACCCCTTAAAAAAAAGACGGGGATTTTTCAAGATGTCATGCGTCGGGTCGACAAACGAAAAATGATTTTTTTGAAATAAAAACCACATCTTCCTTCTGCAAAAGTTTAAATGTACTGAGCATTAAAAGAGTGCTCTTGGCGAGGATCGAACTCGCGATCTTCGCGTGACCTAGTATATACAGATTATGCATATAAGCACGACGCATTAAACCACTATGCTACAAGAGCATGAATTGAACTCACGACCTTCTGAGTGCAGATTGGAAATCTTCCCCAGTCGGCTATATGTTCAGCTTTGAAAATTTTTCAGGCCTGGTTTTTTTGTCCGCTCAAAATATAATCTTCCTATTGGTCATCACTGTCTCCTACTTACCCTCAACTCTCCGTTCTTATTGACATTTATTTCATTTCACTCTTTTCAATCTCACTGTGAATGCTATTATTTTTGGATTTTAAAAGTCGGTGTTTCCTGCTGGATGAAAATAGGGGTTACTGAGAATATAAAAGGTACGCCATAACTCTGACAGAAACGCTTATCATTGCTTTCCTAGATATAGAAGTGATAACAGTTGTGATATTCCAAGAGTTTTTTTTTTTTGCACTCATTAGTATAGGGTTCTGCAACAAATACTTCACTGTACAGAAATTAGGACGGTATTAGCAAGTTATCTGAATGACCGGTTTTCAATAATGTTCGAATAGATTGGTAGGTAAATATTGGTGAATTTCTCTGCATACAGGCTTTAGCAAAATACACTTCTTTCTCCTATCTTTCCTTCCACATATAAAACCATCTGCTGAGATAATGATCTGGCAAATGTCAAGGTTATCCCTGGATACGGAGACGTTGAAGCACGGCTTGGAGCTATGCGAATTAAATGGTATCATGATAATCCCTTGGTGGTTAAAATCAGGGCGCGCGGCAAGTGGCAATGTTGCCTTTCATGTTCTGTTTTTTTTTTTTTTTGGGTGGCCGACATGGCTTGCCCTACGAAGATTGCTTACACTGAGCCCCTTTTACGGGCACCTCCTTGTGGTGACAGTAGAATAGGGATGCGTGTATGGCGGTCTTCTGGTAGTAGTTTTTGCTAATACATATTTGGAACATCGAATAGAACCAACGTTAGTCACTGGAGTACTCATGCATGTTTAATATGGAACTACGATTCATAGTTCCTCACATTCAGTCTGTTAAAATTAATCTCAAGTAGCATAGGAGATGTTGGATATCATTTGTTGCCGAATGGCGGATGTTTCAAACACATTAATATTCATGCAGTGTCCGATTTTTGGTCACTTTTTCCTAATCTATGAACTGTAGATGAGCAGAGCAATTCGAATTTCAGGTAACTGTTAGCTTAACATTCATGGATATAGAAACTAACTTCAAGTTATCGATCGCTCAATGTACGATTTAAGAGATATGGGATTGCAATTTTCGTTGATGCTGCACGTTCGTAAGTTTAAGATATATGCATTCAGTAGCCTGTTAAGTAATTGCATTAATTACGCTGTCTACCCACTCTTTTGGATTCATCCTTGCTATGATTGCTTACCTGCATCTACATGTTTTCTTCCATGTTTTTAGGCTAAAAATGGCATACATTGTATGTTCTCTTACTGTATGTTAATTTACTTTGAAGTTACATAGAATTTTAAAAATCTCAACAATATCAAGTCCCGTTTGCCCGTCACTAAAGGCTATTGAAGATATTGGTGAAGGCCTTATATGTCAAGCTGCCAAAGTTGTTCAACTTATGCGCCCCTTGTCACTTCTCCTACCACCTGGCTATATGATTGTTGTGCCATTTCCAACTTCACTGTATAGATGCCAATCGCATCGCCACAAAAAAACAAAGAAATGTCTTTATGAAATCTAATAAATATTTAATATTGCTTATAATAATTCTGTTTCCTACCATGTTACAGAAATTTGCCTTCCCGAAAGAACAAAAATAATCTACATGTTTCCAGGTCACCATCGATGTCGGTAGTTCTCTTCCATCTCCATTGATAGTGTTTGGTATCGTCCCTAAGCTGAGGAGACGCATAAGCTCCTACTGCAGCAGGAAGTTGCCGCAGGGGCGAGAGGCGGGTAATGGTCATTGTTATACAGCGGCAAGGCGTGAGCAATATCATAATGAGGCATGAAAAAGTGGTATGTAATGCTGGTATAACGTATAATTATGCAGGTGATGGAATATTTGATGATGGTAACCCATTATAAAAACATGTCGAATAAAAAATTCGTCCGAGGGCTTTAGTATAAGAAATTCATGAAACGGGATGTTGTATCTCCTTGGACGACGTTGACTGGAGTATAAAAGAGGTATCAGATCTATGTATGATCTTCACTCAAAAACATCATGCGCTTACATTTAATTTTAGCCCTATTTCTGGCCTTCAGCTTTGCCCAAGCTATAGCCATCAAGAAACGTGAAGCTCTGGACAAGTTCCTGGCTATTGACATGGTCGAGAGCAAAGTTGATGCAGTTGTGGCACTCGCAAAGCAGTTACAGACAAGTCCGTTCATCAATCCCGTCAAGTTCATAACGACCTATCGCAATCTTCAAGACGCGATATCCAATTCCACTGACCTCTGCATGAGCCATCCAGATCCCTTCACAGAAATGCAAGCGGAAAATTTGATATCAAGGACAATGGTCATAGCGACAAAGTTGGAAGGAGTTTTGGTCATATGCGAGCGATTGGCAAGCAGAATTGGGATTTTTAGTCCTACAACGGTATTTCGTGTACTTCTCAATCAAATGAAAACACTTTTAATGAAGGCAGCTAGCTGCTATAGTTCACATGTGCCACCAGAATATAGCGCGAAAATCGTAGCCCTTTTGAAGGCCATTAACCAAATTTTGGATGAGAGTTTAGCGAAAGCAAAATAGTTCTTATAATAAAGAAGAGTTATCAATATGCCACTGGTCACTTAATCTACGGTGGGCAAGCTTACCCAAACTGGAAGTTGGAGTAAACTCTTTGCTTGGTGGGTGTTCGCATTCCGTCGTAATCCAGCTATACGAATGTCGGATTGGAGTTGATCTTGCATATTGAGCAAACTTATGTTTTCACCATTGCACTTCGCCTGATTTGGGAAATGACAGCTATCTGTGTGTGTTAGATTATCATCTACTGCAACGACATTGTAAATTACTTTCGTAATTTAGACACCATGCCCTCCCTGATCTAGTGCGCACTGTAAAGCGAAAAAGTATAGGACAAAGAAAAATTCTGTCAATATCTTTGGCCGTGGCGGTTGTAACTTCTGATTTTCTTTTTTTCTTTTTTTGAAGCATTGATGTCGGTGATAAACTCAAGTCACTTGCTACGGTTCCTTACAACTAGCAATAGGAGAGGAATCAGGCGCTCCTGTATTAGAAGGGATGCCTGCAAAGGGCAGCTAGAGCTTTTACAGCACATAGCACATGTACCTTATTTTGAAAAAGCAAATAACACTGGCAAATGGAGCGCGTTCAAGTCGCTGTGCATGGAAAGCTAACGAATAAAGATTGAAATGAACGTCAAGAGCGCAATTAAATTGAAGAGTGTAAAGTACTAGGAATAGTGGCCACTAATAAGTTTTTTTACACATTTATGAAGGACATACAACCTATTCAGCGGTTGCTCCCTAAACTGAATGATATAAAAGTACTCATTATGTCTGTTGTTATCTCACATATCATGTATACCTTTCGCATTTTTACTCTTTTACTGTTGCTTGGTGCTGTCCACGGTTTCGTCATCAAGAGGAGTGATAATCCTACCGATACAAGCGATCCATTTGGACTGGGAGCCGTGGAGACACAAGTCGATGTTATCGTATATTTGGCAAAAAGTTTTGAGAAGAACAGCAGGTTCAAACACCCTGTGTTGGTTGCTATTGCTGAGCAAAAATTGGAATACCTCTTGGATAGCTCTGTTTCTCGCTGCTTAACGTTCTCAGGCACATATTCGTCAATGCAATCACAACAGCTACTGGTCCGAGTGCAACGGATAGTCTCTAAACTTGAAATATCGCTGGCCGTGTTCATTAACCTCAAGCAAGAATTTGGAGTTTACCTAGGCATCAAGCTTTTGATAGAGCGTATCTACAAATTAATTGAGATAACTGACAATGCCACAGCCTGTTTCAGTGGACATGTGCATGCTGACTCCTCCAGCACACTGCAAGAACTTCAAGTGGCCATTCACGCAATTTTTGATCATGCATTGGAAAAGCTAAAATAATGATAGTACATAAAGTAAAGGACGTTGGTACTCGTTCGTACCGTTTCAATGTTTACGATAAAATAAATAATGTAGTAAATTAATTTAACATTAAGATGATTAGGGGTTTGTTAATCAGATTGTAAAGGTTCTCTGGTTACCATTGCCAGCTTTATTGGGTTTATGTCCATCAGCCATTACAAACCAACTATCATCAATGCTGGGACTACATACTGGAAATTGTAAGGCTTCGGCTGGGGTTATATAATATTAAGAAGTTATGATACAGGTATATGTACAATGGTGCGAAATGTCCCTCTATGCGATAGTACCAAAGATACGATCTCCAACAAACTTCTGAGATCTGGCACCTACGAAACCACGGCGATTACCCTTATTCATCAATATTTTCCAGTTCGCCTTCAACTTGGCCAAAATGCGATCTATGTCTTGGCTATGATCCGGTACAGATGCTAGTATTGAAGTCATTTGCAGCATTTTGGCAGCGGTTGCGGCAGGATTCTGGGAGGATTCAAAGTCGGTAAACAATTTATCAAACATGTCTATAAGAGAAGCGTTAGTGAGAGCTGATGGACGAAGCCAAAACATAGTGAGCAATTTTACCCTCAAGCCGCTTTATCAATGGTAAGATAACATAGTCACGGAAGCTTTGAAGCGCCATGTTACGTACGTTCCAGTATTCCATGTCGTCGATAGATGCATAGCGAACATCAGTTCGTAGTGGCAAGAATGTTGCTTCAAAGTAGGGTAACACGTTGCCAAAGAAGAATGACCATTGTTCCACTAAACGATCCATAAGCTTTTCGTCGCTCACACCAAACAGCTTTGCATTAAGTGTAAACATTCCGTCCCGTAGGAGTGCTTCTATATCTCGATGTAAGGTTGGTGGTATTGGCTCCGTAAGACTTCGCCTGAAAAGTTCGTTTAAATCCTCAATGGCTCCATTTACACCTTCTCCATTAAATAAAGGTAGAACTCGTATACATAATAACTGCCAGACATCGTTATTTTCGTTGATCAAAGACGAGAAATTTGGTATAATCATGCCGGTAGGAGAATTCAATAAGTCATCGCGATCTTTGGATGAAGTGGAGCGCTGGATAGATCTTTCTATATCGCGAGTTATCATTTTGGCATCAAGAGCATTCAGAGATTTGTGTATGCTTGGCGAGTTAACCGGCGATGTTGGTCGAGGAGGTACTGAAGATGGGGAGCGGTCCAGGCTCAACTGGGAAATGTTTGCAGGGAATGACGGCTGGCGAGTGGGAGTGGAAGGCATTGATGGCGAGCGTAGTTCTGTATGTCGATTGCTTTGACTTCCACCTCCACTGGGAGGGGAACGAACCAATGTAGTGGATGCTCGCGACGGAGCAGTTGTCAATATAGCCGGTGGACGCTCATTTCGTTCGATAAATGAAGAGGTTGAAGAAGTGGATGAGCTCGGACTCAACCCTATCCTCGAAGGCGAGGTAGATTGCTCTTGATCTAAAAATTGCGTTACCAATTGTTTTGGAGCAGTTGGTGATGCCATTGGGTGTGGTGAGAGAGGTGGAAATAAAATCGAATAAGGATTTCGCCTTGCTGCGAAATTCGAGCTTTTTTTTTTTTAACACCCTTCAAGGCAAGCGCTAGCTTTCATGAGCAATTCTTGGCATAAAGTCAAACGACCAGCAAAGCAAACACTTCTCTCCCCAAAAGAGAACGAATCGACGCTAGATGTCGCTGAAAAGACAATGTCAACAAGTGAAGGCGGAAGAAAGCGACAGCCGTTGATGGCGGTTAAACAGAATGCCAATCGACAGCCTCTACGATTACAACGACCAAAGCCTTTGGTCCTGAAGCAAAGCATGTTGAGTATTACGATGCAGAAGGAAAAGGAGAACTCCAAGGAAAACAGGGTAACCTCTCCCACGTATGACCAGGCTTATATGACCACAATACCCGAGAAGCGAAATCGACGCCAACAAGACGGCTCAATACTTACGACGGTTAGTGCCAACTCGGTACGAAAGACCGTTGACCGAAAAGCCTTGGTTCACAGATTACAAGAAAAACCATCGAGTCAAAGACGGAAGGCTGAAGACGCGAAATTGGCGATTGGACGAGACGACGATAGCCAAGACCTAGATGGCGGGGTACGCCAAGTGCGTAGGAAAGCCAGCGAGAATACGACACAGCCATTATGCGATTCTAAAATCGAAGTTGTATCGAAACAAGATAAATTTCGGCCAAAGGAGGAAGAGGCGATGCTGCCTCGTATAAAATGCCCATCATCAAAAACGTCTTATGTAGACCATGAGGACGGCACACCTTGCAACACATCAACCACATATTTACGCGGTGAATTTGAACCACTTAAAGATATACGACCTACCACAGGCAAGTCGAAGAAATCAGAAGGCGAACAGAACAGAAAAGCCGAAATGCAAGAAGAACAGCTGCATTCGAAGCAAACTGCAAATAACATCGTTTCTGAGCTTTTGGAAGACGAAGCAGCATCTCCATTTTCTTCGCCTCAACAGCGGGTAGTTGCTTCAGTTGAATCATCTCAATTGCTTTCTAGTTCGCCATCTATCGATGAGCCTCCTACTTCGAGCACAGACTTGCTGTCGCCAGATGTACAATACGAAGTTCATACTATATACCCCAATCCAACTGGCAAGTCTCTTACAGAAAAACTTGGAATAGGTATGTAGATGCTACGCGTGAACCTTTAGTTATTTAAGACCCATGGTAACATTGTCTACACCAGTGAAAAACCCCAACGCTCAAATCAGCTGCATTGCTACTAATGCCGACGACCCGTCGACTAATGCAAGTGGTATAAGCACCCCCTCACAAGCTCGCAGTGCTACTATTCCACTTTCTTTAGAATTAAGCGAATATGATATGATTACTGCATTCCCAAATCCAACCGGCAAAACTTTGCTGGAGAAGTTAGCTCTTGCTGCTCAGGAATCACAACACGCGTTGCATGCGTATAGTACTAAAGACGCCGATGATATTCCGTCCTCGCCATCGTATTGAACTTGGGCTGTAGCCATTCATTTGTATATATTTCATCCTTTCGCTCTAGTGGCCATTTCGCCTTTGATCACACACTGCAATACCTATAGTAGCTTATTTGTTCCCACTTCATGTAATAAAATTCCGCTTGCTCTTTGCATTGCTTTTAATAGATTCGGTATGGAAAAAAGACATTCTACGCCGCTTTTATTATTTGTCTACTTTTGGTGAGGTTTCATGATGGGGTTACGCTTTTCGTTAATTTGTGGTTGACCTTCTGGTGATCCTGGGATGTTCTTTTGCAATCCCTGTAACGATGTAGCATATTAGAAATAGGTTCTGAGCTATAGGATGTAAAAGGAGCATGATACGTACCAATTTCTCAAAAACACACGAATTGAACTGGCGTTCTTCCTTGCGGCATTGATAATAATCCTGGTTCTTGACATCCAAGCACTTCCAGTGCTTTTCAAATTCGGCATCGCAGTTTTCACGAAGCTTCTTGATACTGGAGGGTAAAAAACGGTGGTAAGTCATATATGCAAGCTTTGCTTTGCAAGGCGAACTCGGTAGGTACTCACAGATCTAATGCACATCTGGTGACCTTTCTGCCCTCCTTTAAACAATGCTCGGGATCATTGTTCTCGTTCTTACAGAGCATAAAGTCAGCATTGTAGTCTTTGCAATATTGTCCAATGAAGAAGGATGCACTCTTAAGAGGAGCTGATGTCAGACCGATTTCCTCTACTGGAGGAACTGACTTTGGTGCTGGTGTTGGGTCAACAAACTTGGTGGATGTGAAAACTGGATCGCGAGTCGCTGTCATGAGTGGGGAGAAATCTAGACCACAAAGTGCACTATTGAAATATATGAGTTAAACGAGAGTGAATGTCAGATTTCTCTGGTGTGCAGCCTGATTTCTGACCTGTTTGGGGAATTAAAGATAGTCGCTTATTGTCTTGCCCTGCCAAAAAACTTGCCATAGAAGATGTTTGACGTCATCACTTTTCTCAACACTGGTTCAATTGTTTTTTTTATTTTGGTCGCCCGAAAATTTATTGACCGTTGACAATGGATTGCGCGTATTCTTTAATAACACTGACTGTAGTATCATTGTGATATACACCATACCAACCTGAAGGACATGTATTTAATATATATAATTGAATGTACAAAGAATCAATCTGAAGCTAGCTTACCTCTAGGTTCATGTTGTGGGTCTAACATGAAGGATTTAGCGAGGTCAGCCATCGACAAAGGAAAAACTTGGCAAAACTTGACATATTGTCTTACCTCCTATCCAAACCATATCAAAGGAATTTGGAATATCGCTCGGGTAACCGTCTCCACTGTATGCCCAAAAATTTGCTCCTGCTGACGCGCCGTGCGAAGCTAGTTTCTGAATGAGTTGAAGAATATGTTGATAATATGTATCCTTATGGGTCGTAGCTGTCCCAGGATTGTATTTATAAAGAGGAAATGAAGGGTCTCGCCAGGCATCTCGAGCCATACCAAACTCTTCTAAGACCATAGGTTTGCCCATACCTACAGCCCAGCCCGAGCAATTGCTTATAAAGCTATCAGCATAATCCAAAGCAGACTGTAGATTGGATGATGATGAATCGGACGCATTGTAGATACCCCAGCTAAAATCGAGATGATGTTTAGCACTCTCCTTTTAGTGACCTTCAACACACAATAAACCTACTTTTCAACCCACAAGTGACAGGTTGTATAATCAATCTCAGTCGAGGAATGAGTGTTCCAAAAGTCTTCAAATCCATACTTTCCTTCAATTCCAGCTGTGACTAACTGGTAAGGTGATCTCTGTCGGATGAACTTTGCAATCTCAGATGTCCACTCCTTTGGTGCAAGCTGCGGCTCATTTGCGATCTCCCAGGCTAAGTAACGTTGACATATAAGCAAAATATCGTTCTAAATACGACTCAATCGGTGAAGCATACCCATAATAACTGGATCCTCATTGTACAACTTCCCATTGATAGTGTTTCTTCTCATCATGATCGCGTTAATGTGGTTTTTGAATAATTGGTTGGTGGTAGAGGAAATTGTATCGTCGTCGTAAAAGCGATATGCATAATCGTAAAATTCATCGTAGCTACCAGTGCTATAGTTATTTACCGGGTATGGTATCCAGGACGGAGGATAAGGAATGTCTGAATCGTTGTCTGCCCAGCTAACATATTGAGCGAACCTTTTGGTACATTATGGGAACACTGGATTAATTGGAGAGAGGAGAAGCAAATTGAAGTAAGATGAAACTTACCCGCCTGACCAGTGCCAGTAGTTGTTGAGTGTAACTGGAAGAGACAGAAGCTCAGATGCTGGTGCAAATGCCTCTCAAGCCGAAACCAATTCACTCACCGACAGCTGTCATTGAATGCTTGTCTAAAGCATCTAAGAGATAGTCCAATCCGGTCAAAATATGTTCGTTATAGATACCAGGTGAAGGCATAAGCGACGGTCTCATTCTGAAAGGCTGGTCATCGGGACCTTCAGAGGCTGCCATTATTCGTAAGTTGTTGATTCCTATACTCTGCAAATGGGCTAATTCGTTCTCCAGTCGAGTTCGGTTTCCTCCCCAGCTGAAGTCGGACGCCAGATTCATACCCTGCCAGTAGTTAGCTCCTGCAATGTAGTACGGTTCGCCATTTTGAAGAAAGCGAGTGCCATTGACTGTGATATATCCAAAGCGCTGATACGCTGCTGAAGTTTGAGCGAGAATCTGTGCGGATACTATGGTGCTTGTTAAGCTTATTATAAATAATGATTTCATTGCGATTAAAGTGGTGACTGGGGGATCTCGCAAAGGGAAAATCGTGTGGCTCGCTTGAAATATCTGATTTAAGGGATTTGTTAGGCTTTTCTTCAACCCAATCTGCCTTATCTCACTTTGTTGCAGTGGCCACTTGTGAATTGTTTACACAGAAAAATGCTCTTTATTCTCGAGTGCTAATCTACTTATTATCATAGCCGCAAAGATTATTCTAGCAATCAAGTACAGTAGGCTCACCGTGGTGCTGACAGGCGTTTCAAGTCACGTTTCCCACTTTTTGTCGGGGTGGAAAATGGCATATGCTGGAGAGAGTCTGTCTGACAAAGACAACTTTACACATGTCTTCTACATCGGTATTTGAAGCTGCTGCTGCTGGCGACATTGACTATTTGAAGTCACATACTTCAGAGCTCTCTACCAAGAACGACAGAGGCTGGACCCCACTTCATTTCGCTGCAAGATATGGTCAGCTGGACGTTGTGACGTACTTGATAGAACAAAAGGTACCTACTGAGATTACTAATTCAGAAGGAAAGGTAGGCATTACTCCGAGTAAAATGCTTGTCGAGTGCCATTCAATTAATGCTAACCAGAACGAAGACGGCCTATGCCCTTGCTGAATTTTGGGGGTTCGACAATGTAGCAAAACTATTAGAGCCAGCGGAGGATGCTACCTCTGCGAAGAACACTACACCAGCAGGAAGACACATATTCGCTCCGAACACCATCAATTACTTTGCTGGAAGTCCTCTCAACCGGTATGGAAAAAGCTCTTTTATTTCTTTCGCTTCTCAATTGAAATGGAGTCACAGTATTAACCAAATTACCTGAGTAGCTTCAGTTGGTTTAGAAGCGACAAAGCTGTTTTGGACCGTTTAGTCCGATCTCAAACCTCACGCTTTGTTCTATTGTCTTCCTTGAAGCCTCTCATGGATGATTCGCAAGAACAGGCACAGCTATACTATGCATCCTGGTCCGAGGTTGAAAATCTGATTGGTGACCCATACGGTCAAAAGGAGGATCTTACCGAGATTGATGTGCCTGCGCTAGTGTTTTTAGGTATTGAAGAATTTAACGGCGTCGCTGAGAACGGCACGGCTTATTGGGCATTGGATGTGACGCCCAATGGATCTCGTAAAGGAGATATTGAACAACTTCATCAAAGTAAGTGTAGGGATAGCATGACTACCGTCGGCTAGACGAGTTAACTCACATTCACTATTGTCAGATCTTGAGAGCCGCAACATCCGCTTTTATGACCCTCGTCCAAAGGCATTTGTACTCGATAGATCATCTGCTGCGATCTTTGCCCAGGCACGCGCGATGAGTAAGTTGAACCAGGTCTACATGGGTTTCAGTATCCGTCAGCTGATGATTTTCAATATACAGTCGATTGGAATCTTCGTAATCAGTTTTGTCCAGCGTGTGGTCGACGTACTGTCTCCGCTGAAGCTGGTCATAAGCGAATTTGCCCTCCTCAAGCTGGTTCAGCCGATGAATCCGTGCCTTGCATTAGCTCTAAAGGTGTCCACAACTTTGCCTATCCTAGAACAGGTAACGTGAGGGCGATGATGGAAATGCCCCAGCAAATAGAAACGCTACTGACAATCACTAAAATAGATCCTGTCATCATTGTTTGCGTCATACATCCCACTGAGGACAAAATATTGCTGGGAAGGCAAACAGCTTGGCCCAAACGACAGTATTCTTGTTTAGCAGGTAAGGAGACACTTGTAATGATGTTTTGGGGCGAATTCTTGTTTAACCTCTGTACCAATAGGATTCGTAGAAGCAGGCGAATCAGTGGAAGAAGCTGTACGACGTGAAGTTCGTGAAGAATCAGGAGTCATTGTATCAAACGTACTCTTCCATTCCAGCCAACCTTGGGTGAGATGATCTACTTTAAACAATTCGTGTCCTTAGAATGGCCTGCTAAGTAATTGATATTTGCAGCCGTTTCCAAACTCGCTTATGATGGGTTTTATCGCTCAGGCAACCTCGACTGAGATTAAATTGGAGGACAAGGAGCTTGAACACGCTACTTGGTATTCACGCGGAGAGGTCTTGGCAGCGCTATCAGGACAATCTGGGGCACCTTTCAACATGCCGCCTGGAATTGCCATAGCTCATCAGCTTGTGAAAAGCTGGGCTACCGAAGTTGAATGGGGAGGAAACGGACTGAATGCTAAAATGTAGTTTTTGTGTGTGTCCAGAAATAAACCAACGAATTTTTTTCTCCTCAGCCACGGGTACATGGTCACTCACGTTCGCAGTGACTTTTTCGTTACTTCTTAGTTCTTTTTCGTAATGTCATACCAAAATCCCCCCGGTGCTTATGGCTCTCCTGCCCAAAATTACCAACGTCCTCCTCCAGGAGGTCAGCAAGGCTACGGTGCGTCCCCACAGTATGGACGTCCCCAGCAACAAGGTTATGGAGCCCCACCACCTGGCCAAGGCTATGGCTCGCCTGTTCAACAGCAGAATCAGGCTGCTTACCCACCTCAAAATTATGGTAAGTTGATGTCAATGCCACTTAAATAATGCTGAAACCAAAACATAATCTCGCGTTGATCTCTTCAGGTCGTCCTGCCGCGCCACCTCAAGGCCCACCACCCGGCGCCAATCCTCAGCTTTGGAGCTGGTTCAAGGCGGTTGATACTGATAATTCGGGCAGTCTCACTGTCGATGAGCTGCAACGTGCACTGGTAAACGGTGACTGGAGCCCTTTCAATATTGAAACTGTCCGAAACATTGTTAACATGTTTGATACCAGTAAGTTGTTGCTTTCGGTGCTGAGTAACCCGGCCCATAATGGGTATTAATCGCCCGTCGTTTCATTCACTAGATAACACTGGCACCATCGACTTCAATGAATTTGCTGGACTCTGGAAATACATAGAAGACTGGAAGCAATGCTTCCAAACCTTTGATGCTGACGGCTCTGGAAGCATCGATCGCAACGAGATGAGGACCGCTCTCCGCACCTTTGGTTATAATCTCTCTGACAAGTTCATCAACCTGTTGATACAAAAATACGACAAATATGGTGCGTATAATTCGATCATTGACAGGGCGAACCTTTTTTCTATTCTTGTATAGTTTTTGTTGACGACCTTGTATTTTCGTCGCTCTTATTGGCGTGCGCCCCGCCTACTTTCTCCTGATTTTCTCACTCACTGTTTATAGGAACTTCTGGTTCAGGCCGAGGAGATGTTACTTTTGACAACTTCGTCCAGGCTTCAGTTACGGTCAAAACTTTGACGGATTCTTTCAGAAAGTTTGACACAGATAACGACGGATGGATTCAAATTAGCTACGAACAGGTGCGTTTTGCATGCATATTTGGGCTTGGCATTCGAGTGCTGACTTTTTTTGTTTTTCTCAGTTTTTGGAACTTGTCGTCAGCAACCGTTAAAGCGAAATATGGAGGCAGATTAAGCAAGAAATGCCTGACGCCGTTATCGGTTCTATTTTGCAGCTATGGATGTAAAGTTTATTCGCTCCGTTTTTTCAACTGTATCCAATTTCTCTGTTTCTTATTACTATGGGCTTAATGAATTATCGTACATTCATAGCATTTTACCAAGAGTTTTCCCGCTTCTTCATGTATTTTCTAAACCTCTTTCTGAACCTCTTTTTCACTTGTTTTTTTTTGGGATCAAAAGAGAGAATGTTCGTTTCAAATCAATTTTTAAATATCCTGTTAAGGCAATTGAGATGCGTCATTTTAACGTGAGGTCTTAGAAACAAAAGAATTACATAGATGATGAATATATAATGACCGTCATTTTTTTTTTTTAAACCGACGTATCTTTGCTTCCTCTCACAACCGATAAAAAAAATTATGAACGCGGAAGTGTCTCGCATCTCTGTACGATGTATCCAGTCTGCTACAGTTCCTGTCAGGGCTGCTCCAATGGTGCGTCCCGCTACCGTTACACTACGACCTACCATACAACCCCATGGCTCTAGCCTCTTTGTCAACTCTGCAAATTTGATTTCATCCATCACAAACGATCAAAGAAGAGCTATACATTGTTCTGTGGCCCTCGGTGCCACCAAGGAGTCAGAGTCTGTTACCAAAGACCTTGAGGGAAAGGACGCTACTAAACCATACAACGAAGGCCATGGCACAGCTTCACCTGACGACGTTGCCGAAAGCGAAGCCGCTTTCGATACTGAAACGGTGGATCCTAAAGATGAAATGGACAAAGCTGGAGACAAATTGGATGTTAGCGGCGCTAATGAAAAAGCCAGCCCCACACCTGGTAATGATGATTAGAACAATCCAGTAGAAAATAAATAAAACATGTACATAGTGAACGGATTTGAAATATATTTTGGAAACTGAAGGACTTGTGAATTAGAAACTGAAGGACTTGTGAATTACAAGAGGTATAGTGCTAATATTTTTTACCCAAATCGACAAAGACCACACTTAACGACCAGAATTTGCAAAAACTCGTCGCCACCATGGTCTTCGTCCCAATTGTCATTCATTTGGTGGTGTATACGGTTCCAGCTGTGAACGTCGTACGAAAATCCCCTTGTGTGGAGGAGCATCAAAATAGAAGGTACCATCCACTGTTCCATTGTGCGGACCAACTGAAAGACGTGTTGATGAAAAAGTAGGGTTTGGGACAGGCTCAAAGGATCAAAATACGTACCACGCTCGTTCAGTTCGACTCCAATCCATTCTCCAGGTGAAAAATTGACAGGTCCAATGTACCGCACTTTCCCCAACGTTTCCAAAGGTCTGCCAATCAGTTCGACTTTGGAACCAACTTCAATAAGGGGGGCATCTTCACTAATAGAGGGTTGCCTCTTATTGCGCAATCCAGGGCTGGACCACCTTCTTTTCGGAGCTTCTTCCACACTGCGTTCGTGGATAAGCGGAGCAGACTGACGCGAAGGAGTCTTCGGTATTTCAAACTTGAGCTTCGCAGACCTGGAAGATTCTATTATTTTTGGTTTTTCTTGTTCTTCTAACCGATCAACGGTTTGGGCATTGAGAAAGTCTAGTAACTGATCCTGAGTGTGGGAATTTCCGGAGCTCGGTCGGGGGGATTTGGCATTTGAACAAGATGGTTCGCTATTGTCTGGGAAAGAATTAGGATATTCTTCAACATGAGCAGTACTAGCCGGCATCAATAGAGAAAATGAGCTGCAATCAACAAAAGAGAAAGATATAAAAAAGTTGGGGAAATTACTGGCTCTCCTCTCCAACCAAAAGTGGTAAAACCATCACTCACAAGCAACACTTTTCAGCACACATGGCATTTTTCCTAACCATTTCATGCCTGATTTTTTTTTTTATTTTTATTCAAGCGCAGGCAAGTCCTGATTTTATTTTTTTATTCAAGCACACGCGCAAAGTCCATGACATTCACACACCTTTGGCTGAATACGCAGTCAGTTTCATGAAATAGCCATGTTTCTGAGCGATGCGAAATCACCACTTTCCATTTTGGTTTCCTCCTATCCTCATCTGTTTATGACCCCATCACTGAAGCAGCACAAACAAGTCGGAAAGTTTTCATTTGGCCCATGGTATCCAAATTGTCCTGTTAAGGAGTCACCTCCTCCGCGCCTTATGATCGAATATCATGCCTTTTAACATGCGCGGGAGCCAATCTCTGTTAAAGGTATAATGCAGAACGTGCTTGCGAGAAGTCAGGCTAGGGTCAGTATGCAATATTTGGGATGGATTCATGTTTGACAAAATGGCTGCTGCAAATGCTATTCGCCAGAATTTCTTTAATGGAACACAGGTGATTTTAGGCGTACAAAAGAAAGGCTATAGCTTTGTGTTTTTCGATTGGAGTGGCCTCGGTCTTTTTCCATTGTAAGCTACTGCAGCCACATTAGCTGTTGACACCATACCAAAACTGTTTCTTGTCAGGTCAAGCACAGCATAAACATTGACGACAGTGCAGGCACAATTGGCAAATATATCACTGTGGTGAATTCCCATAGACGGGAGAATTCAATGATGGTCAATTGGAACATAAATTACAGGGTTCACAATGGCGGCTTAACAGGTTTTTTCTGCAGGCCAACACTAGAGCTTGATGATGGCCTTTTTCCGATCAGACGTTTTTTCTCTTGGATATTTCCGTTAAATCAGGCCATTTTGAACTTTTCCCCTGAAAAAAGTGTTGCTCAGTTCCGATGCTGAAGTAGATGATCGGCAGATCGGACTATTTTCAAGCCCTCTGAATCAACCTACCACTCCAAAGAGGAATAGCAATATATGAGAGGAGTCTACTCCATTTGAAAATGCAATTTTCAAAAAGTATATTCATAAATGCAACATTGAGCTTTTCCACTTAGGAGATGAGTGTAAGCTTTGGCAATTAAGAAGGGAGTTGCTGGCAAGAATAGACAAATGCGTAATGATAGTTGTGGCTTGCAAGCCCTAGTGAACTCTTTCTTTTGTTTGGCTGAGACATTCCTGCTTCTGTCCAGCTCGTGTCAATTCCCGTCTATAGCAAATCATCACATACCTCCTTGGCTGGATGTTCCCATCATGCTCCTTTCCATCAAGCGACTTGAAGGGAAACGACCTTTTATCAGAATTGAAAAACCCTGTAACCACTATAAGGGCGTCGTTGGTAGTTTGGACTCGCTGTGGTAGCTACGTTTATCTTTTGACGGCGCCTTCATCGGTGGTTTGACCCAATTTTTCTGGTCCTGAGCATGGACAGAGAACAGCTTACTGCTTGATTGGAAAAAAGACCTTGCCCCCAGATATCTTTTTTGATTTCTTTTCTTACTGAAGCCGAGATATGCATTGACAAATTGGTCAATTCCGAATCTAAAATATTGAAAAAGCCCCCTTCCATAGATTTCCTTGTACGTATAAATAAGTAACTCTTTGAGTCGCGGTTCTCATGTTACCCCTAGGGAGTAATGGGATGTGTTAAATCAGGAACAGAATGAAGACTGCCTTCATCCTTCACCGAGGTCTCTCATTCGCTGTATGGGTTAGGTTGCAGTGCCGATCGCGTAGAGTGACTGACATATCGCATAAAAACGGCTGCCCGTTTTCTAATTAGTTCTCAATTCACTCTATTTCTGATTTGGCCCTGGTATTGAAGATCGAACCTCGGACACTTAATTGTACACTCTTAATCTCTGCAGTATATAACGTGTGCATACCAGCCAGAGTCAAATATCGTTTTCCCTCTCTCTTTTCAATCATCACTTTTTTCCATTCTGAAACCTATTCTCCAGTAACCAACGGCTCACTCATTTCAATTCATCCAATCTCTTTTGCAAACCTCACACCCTGACACCTCACCATGGCAGCGACAGGAATGATCTCCAATCAAATACATATCCATCCAAATCAGCGATTTGAACCCTCCAGCGAAGAATTTCAATGCGGCTACTATGCCACCACTCCACCCACCGCAAAAATGTCTCATCCACGTTTATCTAGTAAATCATTGCTGTCGCCTATCTCACTCACCAACAGCGCCAAACCTATGCAAGGACACCAAGCTCTTCCCCTCTCTCCACCCCAGACACCTAAACCGCCGTCAGGTACAAGCCCTAAACAAATGACCGTGTCAGCTCAGCATTTGAAGAACCATGCTTTCCATCCGCAGTTTGATGCAAAGTATGCCATCGGCGAAGAACTTGGCAACGGTGGATTCGGTTTTGTCGTCTCTGCCATCCAAAAACACACCAGCCGTGAAGTTGCCGTAAAATTTATCTTTCGAGATAAAGTGCCGGCTCACGCATGGGCTAATGACAAGGACCTGGGTATGATTCCCATGGAAATCTATGTCCTGAAGAACGTCAGACATCCAAGCATAATCGCTTTCTTGGACGCTTTCCAAGACACTAAATTTTTTTACCTGGTCATGGAGCTGCACGGCACACAATGGTCGGCCACCAACCCCCTTTTGGTATCACCCGAAGCTAGACTTTCAAAGCTGGCTGCTGCAACTGAGCAGCAGCAACTTCGATCTGGTATGGTCATGACAGGACCTCCCACGCCTCCAGAAGAGCCGATATTCCCTCCTTTGGATGATGGCTCTCCACGACCCAATTTATTGGTCAGAAGAACATCGTGTGATCTATTCGAGTGCATCGAGCACCACTCGAAATTTTCTGAAAAATTGGCCAAGAAAATCTTTCGTCAAATCATAGAGTGTGTCAGCTACCTGAGTGATATTGGGGTATGTCATCGCGATATCAAAGATGAAAACATTGTCATCGACAATAATTATGTGGTAAGCCTCGCATGCTTTGCTGCTCATGCCTATCACAAGTATGAAGCTAAATTGCTATAATTCAAAAAGGTTAAACTGGTCGATTTTGGATCGGCGGTTATCCTTCCTCGCTCCAATGCCATCAAACCTCACTACTTTGACAAGTTTTACGGCACCATCTCCTTTGCCTCGCCTGAAATATTACTCTGTAAACCTTACTGCGCAGAACCAGCGGAAATTTGGTCGCTAGGCATTTTGCTGTATACCGTCTTGACCGGCGAAGTGCCTTTCAACGATCCTAACCAGGCTATTTCCGGCCCGTATGCTCCACCACGAGTGCATTGCACACCGTCATGCCTTCATCTCATAGAGAGAATGCTGGAAAAGACCCCCGAAAAACGTGCCACTATCGCTGAAGTCATGGAACATGCCTGGTTCAAAGAAACCGAATAATGCCAATCTATCTACGGATCCTACACCAAGTCACTCATATCACTTTCCTCACTCCATATTCCGACGTCAAGATACTATCACATTGCAAAATTTTGCAATTTTTTCCCCCCAAAATTTATACGCCGAACGTGCCTTGCCGCCCGAGAAGCAGTACACTATGTTGAATCTTTTTACCAAAAATAAGCCGACAACGCTATGAACCTATATCCTATTTCCCTGTCTAATTGTGAATATACCACCTTTTTCTTTAGTTTCGAATATACCACCTTTTTCTTTAGTTTCTCTTTCTATCATTTAGACGAATGCGTTTACGCAGTGTCTTGCTTTCATATATTCTCAAGCTGCTCATAATGTAATTTCCAACTCTAAGCACAAATACAAGTTCAATGTCTCTACAAGGTCAATGTCTCTACAAGTTCAATGTCTCTACAACTTCTTTTTACTGAGTGTCTCTA